TGCTTGTAAAATATTTACTTAAGCTTTCATTATTAATTTATAGATGTTAGGTAAATAATATAAAAAATGTTTACTTTTTTTATAAATTAAGTAATTAATTATTGATAATCCTTTTATATGGTAAATAATATTTGTAATCAGTGTTACTTATATACAGCTTTGCATAAAAAAAGCAAATTAAATAAAACTATAAACAAAAATAAATTATAATTTAAAATAGAATTCAAATATTATTTGTAAGATTATTTTGAATTTGGATTAAATGAGTAATGGTTATAAGGATTATAGTAGAGATTATAGCGCTATTTAAAATGCTGGACACAATTTAGTATCAAATAGAGGTTACTCTGCTTATAAATATAATAGATATCCTAATCCTCAAGATTATAATTATGGGTATAATAGAAATGTAAAAACTAATTAGTTATCCAACGAAACATCTAGATACGATGAATTAGATATATTAGACTAATTTTCACAGCCACTTCTTTAGAAGTAAGGAGGTGATGTTATGGGTAACCTTTCTTCAATATAAATGGGATAAAATAAAAGAAATGACATTCCTTAAATTAGAGGATCAAGTGCTAATCCTAGAAATATTTTGCCTAATAATAGAAATCCTTATCCTCCTCAACCACCACCTCCTTCTTTTTAGCAATATCCATCATATAATTACTAATAGCCTCCGCCTTATAGTTAGTTTAATCCTAAATAAGAACAGTCAGATTAAGTTGCCAAATTATTATAACAGTAATTAGACAAACAGAATGAAATCCTATCTTAGTTAGCAAATAATTTAGATAAGAGTAGAAATGCTTAAATGAATCAATAAAGCTAAGCTCCTTAACCTGATTATAGCTAAAAACTTAGAGATATTGAAAAAGAGTATGAGATGATGAATGAAATATAAAATTTAAGAAGAGAAATTGGCTCTATTGTTAACTAGAAAAATTAGATCAACCCTTTAATTTAGTAATAGTAATAGTAATTTTAAATGATGTAGATGCAATAAATGATGATGAACCCATATATGAATCCTATGATGATGATGTTAATGAATTAAATGAACCAGTAAAATCCTAACTAAAATTTACAGCCTCCTCAACAGCCATTTTAAAATGTGCCACCTCCTTTTTATCCTTTCTAAAATTCTCCTCCTCCTCCATAATAAAATAAATATGAAAATGAAAATCGATTGGAAGAACTATTAAAATAATTACTGAAAGAAAAAGCTCTAAATAATATGCAGTAGAGTTAATAAATTCCTTAGTATTAAGATAATAGATTTAATTACTAAAATAGAGGAATTCCATCTAGATAGCCTTATCCTAATTAAAATGATTAATAAATTAATTTTAGTGAACCATCTGAATATATATAAAACTAATACTAGCCTATATAAAATACTTAGCCTTCATAAAAAACAAGAACACAAATGTCTAATCAAAAACCAAGAAAAGTAGATACAAGTCGTTTCAGAAAGAAAATTTGTAAAGTTGTATTGTTTCTTAGGTGGTTAAAACAAGAAGTTATAAAATCAAAGAAACAATTTAAATAATATGAGGTGGAAGAGTTTTCAAATGATTATTTAAAAGCTTAATAAGATGCTTTACCTTGGTTAACTAACTCTTCAACAAAAGCCTTATAATAAATAGTAATTAATTGCAAAAAAGAACAAGACATAACTGATTTAGTTGTTAAAAAGCTTAATGCCAAAGAGTAAGAATCACGTTTTAATGCTTATACAGAGGAGTGCAATACTATTCTCGATGAAATGACAAAAACTATTGATAACATACCAGAATCTGTGAGCCTTTTTATTGTGAAAAAGTTTTATGACAATAGCTACTTCTCAAATAACCCAGTAAATTATTTAAATGATTACAATTTAAGTTTAAATTTATTTATTTATTTATAAAAAAAGTTTTATTTGTTTGAATTTGAAATTGACAGACTTGAATTTGATCAAAACGATTAAAGGCTAATTAATATTGACAATTTTCCTGATTCTCCTAGATTTAAAATGCTTTTGCTAATATATATTTTTATAAAAATTTATTTACCATCTTTATTGATAAAACCTTGGGAATAGAATTTAGATCCCAGTATTAGAATGATCGAAAACTATATAACTACAAAAAAATTTTCTATTCTTTGCTCTATTATGTATCATTAGATTATGGACTATTTAAAAATCAATGTTCCTTTAGTTTAAAGAAAGCCTAATGAAGTTACTTGGGCACCTATTCCAAAAACTTAAATTATAAATAACAGCAAATAGGTTTAATTGTAACCTTTGGATAGTACAAAAGAAGAGCTATTAACATTGGCTATAAATAGAGATTAACTTTCAACTTTTTACAGTAAAAAATAATAATGGATTGAATAATTTAGACAAAAACTTGATCTGTATGCTAAAACTGTGAGACAGAAGCTTTAACAGCAAAGGATAGCATATTTAGAAATAAGAAAAGAGCTTTTACAAGACAAAGCTAAAGATTTATAGAAAATCATCCCATAAAACCTTAGAAATGTTTAACTAAAAAATTGAAAAAACAATTAAATTTATTTTCCTTTTTAAACAAAAAATCTTTGATTATCTTTTTTGATAGCTTACACAAAAGCATTAAATAAATATACACAAAAATACAATAATAATTTTTATAAATGTTTTTATCACCTTATTATATATAAAATACTTCTTTATTTAAAGCTAATAATTTTTTGAAATAAAAAACATATCTTGATAAGCAAGCAATCAATAGGATGTTTAATCTTTGAGTATTTAATTTTAATTATTCTTATGTCAAAAATCTATTTATTTTACGAATATTTTCTCAAGTTCTTTATTTATTTTCAAAGAGAGAGTTTAAGCAAGTAAGTTAAAATTATTATCATCAACATTTTACATGTAAACTAAGTGATCATTCAAAATGCAATAAACATGGTCAGCTTCAATTGATTCTACATTACCATGAGCAATAACTAAATCGTTCTATTTAGGGTTTAATTTTAAATATTATTCTAAATATTTTTTGTTGTTTTCATAATAATTTATATTGACCAAATATAAATATTTTAAATTGTAGCTAAACAGTTTTTTTTCAATATTTTCTTAAATCAATTTAAACTAAGACAAATCTCCTGAGTAAATAATTGTAAAATAGTCTTTAAATTATTCAGAATCTAATTAGCTTTAGTTAGAAATATCTATCATATTAGAATATTCCATATTATGTTCAGAAAAAACTGATGAGGCATTTTGTGAGAGCGTTAAATCTCTTTCTCTTATTTGCCTCATAAAATTATATTATTAATATTGAGATTAGTAATATAAAGCCCCTCCAATAAACGGTGTTAATAATAAAATTCTATATCTTTGTTTAGGTATCCTAATTCTGGTTAAATATTTTAATAAGTTCATTTTAGACTTTAGGTATATTCTACTTACTTAATTACTTATGTAATTTATTAATTTATTTATATATTACAAATTTTAAGAATATCCTTAATAATTTGTTATTATTTTCAATAATTTCTTCAAATTTACCTTTTTAATAAAAAATCAATCTAGTGTTAATTAAATTTCTAATTCAATAATTATATTACTAAAAATAATTAAAATAAATAAATAGATATTTAACAACATTCAAAAATATAATAAAATATTATGGTTAGTCTAAGAGACTAAATGCTAAATAAGATATTATACAAATTTGCTAAAACAGAATAAATCCAAGAAACTTTCACACCTTAAAATTATCTTAGAAGATTATATTCTTTTTTGATTGTTAAAGGCATGACATTTTTAAATTTAAGTGTCAAAGTTTAGAGATTTACACATTTTATGAACAGATTACTTAAATATTGCAAACTTTATCTTTCTAATAATCCTTTAAGGTCAATTTGAGCATTTATGAATAACAGTAAAGGTGAGATAAAAATTCTTAAAGTGTTGTAAAATTACTTTTTCTACAACATCATTTTTTTTGGACAAGTATTAAAATTTAAATTTAAAAATAAGATTTTATCTAACTCTATCAATATATTTTTTAATTAACATTTGAATTAAATTTTAAAATAACTTTAATTCTTAACCTTAATATTTTAATATGTAGGCAGAAATTCACAAAAAGTCAAATAATAAATGAATTTTTACTTATAAAATATGAACCATGATTTGTTAAATTAGCAATAAATATGATGAAAAGAAGTATTTATGATTTTATTTTATTTAAAATATTTTAACTATAAATACAATTAATTACTTAACAAATATACAAAATAAAATTAAATTTTTATTCAATTGAATTTGCACTTTGAGAAATCCATTTCAGGGTGCTACTTCATGAAATTTTTCATCATTTCTTGCTTCTTTAATTCATCAGAAGTGGGTAAACCTGCTTATTTCTATCTCATATCGAACATCATCTTTTCAACAGTTGAACGAGTTTCACCATCTAAATCTGAGAGCTTTGAGCTTTCAGGTGATATTTTCTTGGTATTAATCTTTTCGTCTCCTTATAAGGCACATTCCCACCAGTGCATTTGATTTTTCCACTTTTCGATGCTCAAATGAATTAATTTGCCTTTTAATTTTAAGAAATGAATATAAATCAATCATTTTTTTTAACAGGATACTTATTCTGTATAGTTTATTAATAAAAATTAATTTTTTACCTTTATATCCTGCAATATCACCATCTTCAAGAGTCCAGAGACATTCTTAGGCATTAATATTTTCTGGGAAATCTTAATCAATAAAGCTCTTTCCTTCAATAACAACCTTGAGATGCTTAATAGAAAATTCAATTTAAACGAATTTTGATTTCATAGTGCTTGCTACTGGAATATAAATATGCAATTCATTTAAAGTTTATGTCCAAATATATCTTTCAGTTTTTCCACCATTACCTACAATTAAAAAAATGGTTTTAATTAAAAAATAAAATATTTTAATATTTATAAGAATGAGAATTATTAATTACCATAGGGAGGAGGAGTTCCATCATCTTCTTCACCTTCAACTGGAGCACTTTTATCATCAGCAGTTTCTTAAGCTTTATTTGAGGAAATATGAGTAGTAGCTTGTACTTTCTTTTCAGCTTCAGCTTAAACTTTTTGCTTTTCCTACTCTTCCTTTTCTTATTATACCTTAAGTTCTCTTTCTCTTTGGAGTCTCTTAGCTTCTTCGCGTTCTTTTTTTTCTTTTTCCTTAGCTTCCTTTTATTTTTGATCATTCAAATAAAGAGAATATTATTTTTTGCATTATTCAGTGATGACTTTTTCTGCTCTTTACTAGTCAGTAAAGAAGTCAGTATTTCTTCTCAAAAAGCCATATACTGACTCAAAAAATCCATCAATAGATTTTTTGTTTTACATAACAGTCATAAAAATATTATCAAATTGAGTTTCTTCAGTCATTGCTATTAAATTTACTTTTTCTTTTGAATTTTAGAAGAATTCTATGATTTTTTAATTTTTGATTTGTTATTTTTTTTTGTGATTGCTTATTTTGAGAGGGTATTTAAATTTTTAATTTATATGCAGAAGAAAATTGTAATTTAATGCTTTTAACAAATGAATGTTATTGGCTTAAGAAACACGTAATTAATAAGTTATTTATTTTATAATTTTTTTAAATTTTTAAATATTTTTAATTATTTTTTTTTGCGAAAAAAATTTGATTTTTAGAAAGCAATTTTAGAATATTAGAATTTCTTGAATTTTTCTTTTGTTCTATTAGAATATAAAAGATACATTTCAAACAAAGCTGATTTCTAGAAAGTAATTAAGAAATGGTAACTTGATATTCTACAATTCTCGACTATTTCAAATCACTTAGATAATTTTAATAGAATTTAATTAATACTTTATTTTAATGAGCATCTGTTAAAATTTTAAATTATAATATAATCTGATAATCTAATTTAAACAATTTTTCTATATAATTATTGAAAGTAAATTATGTATGCTGATTAATACAACCTCGAATAATCTATTAATTTAAAGCAAATTAATCTTATAAATATTTAACAATAATTTTTAAATGATAACTAAGAGTTTAATTTTTATAAAATATAATTAGATTCATTTTTTCTTATTATTAGTATTAGTATTATTATTATTATTTTTAGTATTATTTTATATCTATTAATCCTGCTTTTATTTTTTATCTTTTTTAGCATGTGAGTATTAAGGTTCTCCTTTTTTTAAGTTTTGATTATTAGTATTAGTTTATATAAATTTATATAAATCTGGATTTGATTACTAAAGTTTTTTAAATTCTTCTTCCATCTTTTATGATTTTAACTTTACTAATTCCTAATTATATGCAAAATAATAAGTTGATTTTAAGTAGGAATAAAAATATAAAATATAATAAGTAAGAAAGTAGATAAAAAAGGCTTACACTTTTCACAGCATCAGTTTGGAAGGCCTTTTTTAAATCATCACTTTTACAGTTTAAAAATAGAAAAATGTTAATTAAAATATTTTAAAATAATACAAAAAAAATTGTTTACTTAATTATTTTTCCTTTTTGAGCTGCTTACAAAATTTAATCCATATTGTATCCTTTAGAAATGCAAAATAAATTAATAAGGATTTAATAAAAAAAAAATACCTTTTTTTAGCTATTCATCAATAATTTTATCAACTAATTTCATCGTTTTAGTTCCTTAAAATTGTTCAGCCTTTTATCAAATGTTTTATTTAAAATCAATAATACAAAAATAAGCAAGCATACCATCTTTTCTATCTCATCTGATTATTCATTTTTATTTACATTTTGACTTATCTTAGATTTTATTTACAGCTTTTCTTCTGCCTTTATAAACTTTGATATTGGGATTTTTCTACTAAAATTAAATGCACAGAGAAATGATTTCATGACTTATATTAAATATGATTTAAACTTATTGCTTAGTAAAATGTTAACTAAACTCTTATTTTTAATACTTTCTATGTGTTCGTTAATAGAATTAAATGTTCAAAAATAATTATAAAAATAGCAATTATTAAAATTACTTTTAATTTATTAGTTTTAGAATGTGTTAAGCAATTAATCAATAAATATCAATAACAAAAAAAATCACAAATACTTTTTATATATTTGTATTAATTTTTTATCTTATAGAAATTTCTAAGCAATACTAAAAAAGTAAATAATACAAAACTAAATCCAATAATAAGTTAATTTTAATATAGGTTTGTTAAATTATATATAATTAAGATAGATTAATTTATAAGGTACGCTTCAGTTAAAGTATATTTATTTAGTCATAGGTATTACCTATTTAATCATAATCTCAGAGCAATTATTCATACATTGTTTTTCTTTATCAGTAATATCTTCTCTACCAAAATCAAAACACTTTTTTTTACAATGAAAAAAAATATTTTTAAGCTAACTCACTATCTTTTGTTCACGCATTTCCTTTTTTGCATCAAAACCTTTATATAGCTCATCTTCTATTCTATAAATATCCATCCTGTTTTAGTTTTATAAAATTTACAGCTTAAATATAATAATTAAGTGTGTATCTTAATCAAATTCAAATATATTATTTGATTAATATTTATTTTAAGTAAATAGACAGGCAAATAAATACACAAGTCTAGCTTTTTTACTAAATTTTTAATTGAATTAACTAAAAAATCCTTTTAGATTTTTAATTTCGAAATAAGAAAAACCTTTAAATAATCATTAAAATTAAAATAATTTCAATTTGATTTTTATCAAATTTTAATTTAATAAATTTATTTCAATTTTTTAATTCCTTTAAACAAAAAATTAGATGTTCTTAGATAATATTTAATGAATAAAAAATATATTTAAAAGACTTGGGTCTAAACCCAGTGATAATTTTAAAATAAATTTGAATTTTTAAGAGAGAAAAATATTTTGATCTAAAATCAATAAAATTATTTTTTTTAGCATAAAGTTATGAGAGATGTGCTTTCACTTAATATATTTGATTATTTAATTACTTCTAAAATTAAATTTTATTTGAATATAAAGTTTTAATGATAAATTCTTAATATTGACAAATTTTTAAATAGATAGAAACAAAAAAAATGCAAAAAAATTTTAATAAGAAGATAAAAGAAATTATTTTACTGCCTTTAATAAAATTTAAAATACTATTTAACTAAAAAATAAAGAATATAGCTTTTGAATGATAAAAATGCCATATAATTATGATAATTTCAATTAAAATAACTAATCATAAATTAATTGTAAATATTCCTTTTTTTTGCAAAATGTTTATTAATAAAAGTAAGTAAATTTAAACTAAAATCCAAGCATTAATTACCTAATATAAAAGTTTTTCAATTAAAATTTTATGAATAAAAACTTTATAAAAAACATTTATTACAAAGGAATGTAAGTAAATTAATTTGAGATTTTGAAAGAGTTTTATTTTATGATTTAATTACTTTTGTTGATTGATATTAACTTCTTTCTAATTTATATAATAAGATTTTAATATTATTTAAAGCCTTAATTAAAATAAATTTATTTTTTATTGAAGAACTTCTTTCTAACTCAGAACTTCTTAATTCATAGCATTTGAAATGACTTGACAAGCAATTAAAAAATTTATGTAGACTATAATTTTAGGGTATATTAAATTATTATTATTATTTATTCAGTAAAGGATCTATCAACAAACAGTCTTTTGAGTTTATATAGGATTATAATAACTATAGCGAGAGTTCACAGTTGAAAATAAAGGCCTTTAATTAGGACCTACCGCAGTTTTTGGCCTAGAAAGTCTCTTAGCAGATTCAATTTATCTTTTGTGAAGATCATTTTTTTCTTAAAGTTACTTTGGATTTAAATAAAAGTTAGTATTAGTGAAATCAAAGGTTGGCTGAGTAGAATATGATGCGCTTGAAAAGAAAGTTGCTTAAGAAGGAGTTTTAGTGTAGGTACGAAGTGTTGTTCTGAAATTTATTTCTGTATTACTTTACTTACTATACACGTTAGTTCTACCTCCATTATTCCAACCAATATAGCTATCGCGGCCAGTACCATCAGAATGATAATGAACAAATTTATCACCTAATGTTGGTAATGATTTCCTATTTCCGTAGCTTGATCCTAACCTTATTCTGACAAAATCAGGCTTTTTTTCTTTGCATTCCATATCTTTTAACATTTATTGAGACATTAATCCACCATTATTTCTGGTTATATATGTATCCCTTCCTGTACCATCAGATTTGTATACGATAGCCTTACCATCGTACCTAACTTTAGCTTTATCCATACCTAAGCTCATTTTTATTGATTGAAATATAACTATCTTATTTTATGAATTTATAGATTTGATAAAAAAATTAGTTATTATTTTTTATTAATGATTTATTTACAGTTTTATATCATAAATAAAGCTATAAATAAATAAAATTCATTCAACACAATACAATTCTTTTAACAGGTTAATGATTGAAAATAAAAAATATAATTTCAATAAATTAAACATGCAAGACCAGCATACATACCTCTCTATGCTTATTTCAGTCAAGCATTATATTTTAACCTGACATTCTAATATTCTAAAAAATATTGTTAAATCAGAAAATAATTGATAAAATGAAAGTTTTAACCCTTAGTTGACTCATTGATTAAATTTTACATAGATATTTGTTCAAAATACTCATTCATTTTAATATTTATTAGTTTTAATATTTCTATTAAATTATTTTCTTATTAGAATTCTGTTGTAAATATTGCTATCAATTTAATCTTGATTAATTTATTAATAAAACAATCATTATAATTAAATTTGCATACTGCTTAACAAAAATAAAAGTAAGTGACTAACTAACTAACTAAATAACTTATCTATTCATTATTGCTTGTTAAATAAATAATATTCTAATTCATAAAATATGAATAAAACTGGGTTTTTTAATAAGAAATAACCTATCCCTAATAATAGTATGAAAAACACTGTGGGTCTTCTATATTCCAACTTATTTCGTTATTAAGTAACAAATAAAATAAGGAATTTTTAGGATAATAAGTAGGAGTAATAATTGTCTATAAAACTTAATAAATCAAATAGTGAATAGCACTTTAAATCAAACTAACTCAATCCTTCTCCTTTTGCTAAGGTTAAATTGAATGAAGAGAGTAGAGAAATGAAGTTAAATTTGAATTAGAGCGATTTATCAATTAGTAGAGATAATCAATAGCCAAAGAGATTTATTTTTGATCAAATTAAACATACAACAAATTTAGGATAAACGTTAGTCGAAAGCCAATTTGGCAAGAGCTTAAAAAAATTTACAAATACTGATAATAGTATATGTTAATAGTAAGATGATAATAAAAGTGATATGTAAATTGGCATTGATTAAATTTAAGAAGGATCCTTTGATAAATAAGAAAGATCCTTTTTCAATACTAGTTATGTAGGAAAAATAAAAAAGAGTGCTTCCTCCCTTAGAGATTAGAAATATTATAGTAAAAAAGTAAATAAGTCAAATAAAAAGATCGAAAGTTTAAATAATGATAGTAAAATTAAAGCACTAGTTTAACAAATCAATCAACTTAACTTTTAAGAAGACCCTATCAAAGAAGTATAAGAAGTATTATAAAATGTTTATAACGATGAGCATGCTCAGGATAAAGGAAAGAGAAAGTAGCATTTAAAGGAATTGATTTTTGACCCTACAAGCAATTCTACTAAAAAAAGGAATAAAAAGAAATTGTAAGTTAAACTCTCCTCAGAAAATATTTCTTCATCAAGCTTGAATATTGAAGATGATAATGAATAATAGACTTAAAATTAAAAAAAGTAGAAGCTTAAAAACTAATAGAAGTAATAGGCTGTCAATTTAGAAGGTTTTAGATTGCATCGAAGTTTTTCTGAAGAGGATCAGTAATAAAATTAACAAAATGAGTAGGGTTAGTCATCAAAAAACAATAATTAAGAAAATCAAGGAAATAAAAAAAAATCTGGACTGATAGAGTTATTAGAAAAAAATTAGAGCAACAAAGCTTAAAATTAATTTAATAATCTTTATTTAGACCACTATAATCGCCTCGGTAAGGAAGAGTGGAAGACTACTAAATTTTAGATAGGTGAATTTCTGTGGAATGCTAGAATAGATCAATTGAAAGCCAGTATAAAAAAGAAAATGCCTGCATATTCAACTGTTCTTTTAAAGCAATGGGAAGATTATGAATATTTACCAAACACTTATGCAACAAAAAGAAATATCTCCCAACATAGAGAGTATACCTCTCCTTAGAATTACAAGTTTTCATTTAAATTTTATTCTCCTTCATCTGCCTTAGCTAATTAAAATAATACAGACACAATGTCTTCTTAAAATTTACATGATAGACCTATGAAGATAGATAAAATATCTGTAGATGAGAGTTTGCTAAAACGATAAACTAAGTAAAATTCTCCTTATTCTACTCTTAAAAGTAACATCAGCTATGAAAGAAATCTTTTATCCACAGCCTAAAGTGATTATTAATAAATATATTAGACATAACCTAAATACGAAATGTCAAAAAGAGATATATAATTTAAGCCAAGCATGTCTACCAAAGCACTAGATGGTAAAAACTATCAAAAAGAGTTTTTATAAGCATAAGGTAAATTAAGAACAAGACAAGATGAACTAAAAAGAATAGTTTAATAAATACACGATTTTGAATAAGTAACAAAGAATTAGCCAGTCATACCAACACAGTTAATAGACTTAGCAAAAAAATAATCTTAAACTTCGTTTTTCTAACTTTAGGATATTGGCAAATAAAAGAAAACATTTAGATTTTTTGAAAAAACTCCTTAATACTCTACCTAAGTGGAAGTAGACGATATCCAGACTTTAAAGCAACTAAAATAACGTTCAAATACTTATAAAACTTTTAGAAACCATGTTAGGTAGTATCTAACTCTTTAAAAAGATTGAGATTTTGTTAATAATTAAGAGTTTTCAATAAAATTTGTTTTCTTGATCAGTTAATCAATCAATAGATCTATCAGTACTAGTTTTTAATTATTTTCTAAATTTGAATATAGTTTATTTTTATATTTATTAAAAAGAGATTAATAAATAAATAAATTTTGAATTTAATCTCATAAATTATCAAACAAAAAATAAGACTTATTTATTTTAAATTATTAAGCATCTGTTTTTCAATTAAAATAAAAATTAAAAAGTCAGGTTAGTTAATTATTTGATTAAAAATTTATATAAAATTGATAAGAATGTAGATTAGTTTCATGTTTAAATATAGCTTTTATAATAATAAAATCGCGCACTAAACATTTCTTCTAAAAATTTTTCAATTAAATTCTATTTATTTATTTAAAAAGTTAATTGTTTCTTATTTAAGCATTAAAAAATTGAATTCAATTATAATTAGATTAGTTAAAAAATGAAATACTTAATTTTTTTAAAAAATTAAAAATATTTAAAAATGTTATTATTAATTATTGAGTCTAAGACTTAATCATAAATCAACCAAATTTAACTAGTTTTTTTTTAACCTTTATCGATTATATACTTTTAATAAAAAATTTTTTAAATAAAAAGAGTTATTTTATTTTTGAATTAAGAAAAATTGATTAGTAAGTGTAGATTATACAATACATTAATGAAGATAATCTACACGGTTTATAGAAATAAGTAATACATAATTAATATAATAAGGTTTGTAATTAAATATAATTTCAAATAAATAGATAGATGTCTGTCTATATTTTTTATTATTAATTTTTTCAATCATAAATATATAAAATAATTTTATCAACTTCTATGAAAAAATTTAAATAATATTCAAAATTATAAATAAAAAAAATTGTAAAATTGAATTTGAATTAATTAATGTTTTATTCGACAATTATTTAGAATTAAAAATATTTATTTTCAAGTAATATTAACAAACATTTAGGCCTTTCTTTGATTCATAATTGTTTATTGAAGATATTTCAATTATATTAGATTCTATTTGTAATAAATTATGATTTTATCGAATTTCATGTTTATTAAATAGCCAAACTATAATACGAGAAGATTGTGATTAGATATGTTGTTAAAAAATTAACTCCTTTTCAATTAAATAAATGCTATTGGGTTTATATAAAAAAATCAAAATAAATATCAAGCTATTAAGTATTTCTTTTTTACTTATTTATTTAATATTAATTAGAGGAATTCATTTAGCATAAATCATAAATTAATTTAAAAAAAGTAGCCATCCATTTAAATTTAAAGTAGTACATATAAAATATTTATATAAATGGCTGACCATAATAATCATAGTGCCCATCATGGCCAAGGTGCTGACTAATTACTTGCATTTGATGAAGATTACTACAAAGAATTTGAAACTGCAGAAGACTATAATGTACTTGATAAAAATAAAACTGTTGAATTAGAATGTTATTAATCTATGAATGTTTGTTGCGGTTCATGCACTGGCTTCTTAAGTGCTTGGTTACCATGCATTTGCTGTTGTTTTGGTATATATTTACAAGATTATTTTGTTCCTTTTGCAAGCAAATCCCTAAACTTATTTTTGAAATATTAAATTATTATTTAAAAATAATTTAGACAAACCATTCGTGTAAATACCATAAAGCTCTAAAAGTATTATTGAGAGATTTGGTAAGCCAATTTAAATTGTAGATTCAGGTTTAACTTAGATTAACACCTGTACTGATCAAGTTAAATAAGTAAGTATGAAAACAAGAATTTTAGAATTACCTTAATAGAGAATAACCACAAAGGATAATATCATACTATTTGTAGGTAAAAATAACAAATTATTTTAAAATGTTAATTTGCAACGAAATGAAAGTATTATATATATTTTTTGATAAAATTTATAAATAGATGCTGTTATTTATTATAGAGTTATTGGTATTTTAAGAGCAGTTTATAGAATAGAGAATCTTTAAATTTCATTATTAGGTAAATAAATATCAAACAATGAGTTTTAAAATTCTAGTTTAAATATTCAATATAAAATAAATAGATTAATCAGTAGCATCTATTAGATCTATTATAGGTGAAATGACACTTAATGAAATATTGAATGATAAAGAAGGGTTAGCTCTCAGATTAGAATATATGATAAATTAAGTTTCTAAAAAATGGTACATTATTTTATATAAATTTAATTATAGAAAAAAAATTAGAGCTAACAATAAATAAATAACTAATTAATTAATTTTAAGGGGAACATTAGTTGAAGAAATCTTATTCAAGGACATTGCTCTTAATAAAGAAACATAAAGTGATATGGCAGCAACAGCTAAACAAAGAAGATTGGGAGAAACTAAGTTGATTAGCAATAAGGCTGAAGTACAGGCTGCTGCTTTACTTAAACAAACAGCAGAAATTTTAGATTCCAAGGCTGCAATGCAAGTGAGATATCTAGAAGTCATTTAAAATATTACTAAAAGTGCATAAGAATAAGTTATCTTTTTGCCTCTGGATCCAACTGCAGGAACTGTAAATGGAGGTGGATACAAAAATCAAAACAAAAAATGAAAATAATTTATTTGAAATTAATAAAATTTTAAAACTAGAAATAACCCTAAAAAATAAATAGTGTTTGTTTAAAAGATAGATAAATACATACATTAATATATAGATTGATTGATTTATATATAAATAGAAAAATAATTTTGTTTATTGAATATATAAAAATATGTTTTTTAAGAATAAATTATTCAAGTTCAATTTTCTTTCCCAAATAACTATCTAAATTCTCTGCCCTATACTTTTAGTAAATAAAGTAGCAATACACCTGCATTTCCTTTTGATAAATATATTATTATTTATTTATTTGTATTATTTTAATTTAAAATATTTTACCTCCTCCTATTAATAGCTGGAGTAAGGGTTTATGGGGAAATAAGATCTAGGTAGTGTAATAACCTACAAATAAACTAAGGACACATCCTATAAAGAATATTTTATTTGGAAGAGAGGCTATAACAAATTAACTAAGTTGAGACATTTAAGAGTTGAATATTTTCCTATAAATGTAAAAGAATGAGACTGAAATACGAGAAACCATACTTAAAATACAAGAAAGGATAATTCCTGCAGATCCATATTCCACTAAAAAGTAACAGCTTATAATATAAAAGAAAGTAGATGAATAAATAGCATTTCTGTAAGTTTGAAGTTCTGATTTCTCAATAGTGCCTTGAACGAATGCTTCTGTAATTCCATTAATACCCATAACCCATTCATAAACCTATTTAAATATTTTGATTATTATTTTCGATTTAGTAATATACATTTTCAAAACATTTTTAAATTTGATAAACTTACACAATATGCTTATAAAGCTAAAACACAAGCTGGGTAGTTCCATAAGCTTCCGTATAAAAATGTGAGGAAAGCTTTAGCATAAGGTATGCCAAAAAATATAGCCAAACAACCAATAATATTAACTATTTTCACAACTTTTGATAATATATCCCTTGCTTAATCTAATTATTCGGAATGAAGTTATTTTTTCTCTTCAATTTAAGTTTCTTAGGTCTTTGATACTTCATTTTCTTATTTAGATTTAGCAACATTTTTATTTTCAACTAAACTTTATTTCTCATCTTTATTGTCATCTTCTTTTTCGCTTTTGTGCTTATTCGACTTTTGAGAAAGCTTTGCAAATAAATTGAAATTAATTTCTTCAATGGGAGCATATACGTAACGAGGTACAAGAGATCCTATGTTTGAAACAAGAAGATATTCTGATTGTAGCTTTACGTCATCTTTTTTCACATTAATTAAAACAATTTTTTCTAATTCCTATGATATCAATTTAATAACAGACACAACAGTGAATTAATATCCCATATCAAGCATTTCAGGTGTAATGTAGTAATCTTTACCTTCTACTTTAGAGGGTATCAAACTTTGGTATCCTCTTTTATTAAATAGTATATTTTTAAAACTAAAAATAATAATTTATTTTATTTAATCTACCCAAAAAAGAGACAACATAAAAGCATCATTGAAGCATAGAAAATTTGTGACAGTCCAAAGTTAACAAGAGTATGGAAGATATTAACTTTTGTTAGGAAAAAGAGGAATAATGTTTTTGTAAAAACAGCAATAGCTTCTGACTTAGCTCCAACTGAATAATTGAAATTTAGAACAAACTTGCTTAGAAGTGGTTCACACATACTTTCAATGATACAAGCTAAAATATAGCATGCAAGTCCTTAAGTAAAATGTTCATTTAAATTATTATACCAATAATACCAAACAGCACCACAAATTATTCCAATAAAAATTGTAAACCCAATGCCAAATATCATCTTTATTAGATATAAATTAAAAATTTTTGATCATCTACTAAAATGTAAATTCGTATTAATAATATTCAAAATACCATATTTTTGGCTGACTAAACTATTTCAGATTAATTTGCCTTTTATCCTCTTTTTTAATATGAATTTTTCAGACACATTTTTGTGTAAAAAAGAACTATGTTGGTCAAAATCATATAATGGATAGTTAGCCCTTAATATATAAATTTTATTTAAATTTATTATGTAAATATTGCAATTTTACCATAAATGGTAGGTTCTACTTCTTATATAACTAGAATGTTTAGTACAAAATCTATAACTCTTGAAAATATTTTCATAACAAAAAGTATAGACAGTCCTTTAGCTGCCTTTTATATTACACTATCTTTCATTTCCCTTTATCTTTTAATATTATGATTTTTATTTTCTGATAAGGAGATAACCTGATTAAAATAAATAAATAATCTATATATTTTTTGGATATCAAAAATTGTTTTTATCTCCAAAAATTGATAACAAAAATAATCTCTTTTTTTTCATTCAAAGCTAAGTTAAAAAACACACGTTTGATTTTGACTTAAACAACTATGAATTGTTGGTTGCTATTTATATATATATATTTTTTTTTTCAAACAAAAAAATATTGTTAACAGATAGATTTTAATTTAAAATCATTTACAAAACTTTTAGAAAATATATAATTTATATCATTCTTAATGTTAATTTTATTATTCATTTTCTATGATACTTTAAGCATCAGCATTTTGCTATTATTAGATGCTTTCAGTTTCCACTAAATAATTACCCATGTTTCTCTTTATAGTTTAATCAGCTGAATACTCTTACTTTTTGGATGATCCCTATTTTAATACGCTACTTTCGAAATTAACCTATCTAACACTGCTCTCTAATTAGTGATCTATTAAGTTATATCGATTAATTTAAAATTATTTTAGGAAAATAAAATTTTTTGAATATAAATTATAACTTCAAAATAATAAAATTTATGAAAATAATAGAAATTACTTATTTTAAGAACATTAGTTTAATGAACTGTATTCTGTGTTTCTATACTTTATTCAATTCTGTAGCTGTTTGGTAATTTAAAAATTTTATAGCTTCTAGTTAGTCTTTATATTTCTAATTATAAACTCTAAACACTTTATTCTAATTCAGCAATTCTGAGGGAATATTCTTAAATTTTTTTGTAAGATTCTTAAAGTTCTTCTTCCTTTAATTATATTTCCGTTCTATCTATCACCTTTTAAACAACTACTTCTTTAATGATATTAGCTTAATCTGATTTTTGCAACTATGTTATATTAGTTATTCTCTCCATCAGTTAAGTTTTTTCTTCAGCATGAGCCTTTAAAAATAAATAAAATGTATTTAAATTGAATTAGAATAAAATTAATTTTTACCAAAATTAGCTTTTATTTTTCTTGACTCAAAATTAAGTTTTCTTATTAAAGCTAATTAATAATTTTTTAGCAAGCTTCCAATTAATCTGTGTCTTATACATAAATAACTTTTTCTTCTATATAAGGAGGAACTTCTTTTACTTTAGTGATACTCTGAACAGAAGGAACGTATACAAGCTTTTCAATAACGTTACCATTCTTTTTAAGTTGCTCATTTTCTTCGGCTTTTGGATTTAAAATATTACCATGAATTATTGAAGCAGAAAACAAAAACATTTAAATAAAAATAATCAATAAATTTTACTGATTCTTCCAAGTTCTTAAATCAAAAATAAGTTTTAGGTTTCTATTTCGCTTAAATTCGAATGAGACTGTACACCATTTACGTATAATTTCTATTATAGCTCTATTTCTAGCTATTTAATTGAGAGTTCTTTTTCAAAAAGAGTTTATTTTAACTGTTGATTTTCTTCTGATAAAACTCTTTTTTTTTACTTAATAATACTTACTTTCTCCTCCAACTATTTTATCTGTTATGTTTACTATTCTATTTAGATTAAGTGTTTCTCTACTTCAACAGATTTTTCTTTAAATTCTACCTTTTATTCTTATATGATTTCTTTTTCTTTTATTGTTTTTGCTATTTCTTACTATTCTACATATACAGTTTTCTATATAAAAATAAGAATTGAAAATTAATTTTTACTAATTTAAATTACCAATAATTCTAATTAGTGGCGAGATGTTTCTTTTTCATAATCTTGTCTTTCTGTATTAAATTCTTATTTTAATTTGCTAATTTCTTAAATATGTTAAGCTTCTAAATTTTAAACTTTTAGGAGGAGTTATTCATATTCTTTATCATTATCAAATTTTGCTTGCTTTAGGTCGATTTCTCTTGTTATCTTAAAGCGATAGGAGGGATTTAAAGAAATTTAAACAGAGTTGCAAGTGCAAGATTAATTGCATTACTAGCAGTTATATGATTTATTTGTGTAGTTAATAGCTTGATTATCATATTTTAAAGGACTGTTATATTCTACATATTTTCTAGGGTTTTCATAATGGATTACTTTTCTAGTAATTGATGAATTTAGAGATTTTATATTATTTTATTAGCTAGTTTTAATATCTGAAGAGAAATTTATCTCTTGCTATTGCTACTTTCCTAAAGTGTAAATCTATGCGTAAGGCTAGCTGTTAAATGATTATTCTCCTCCTTCATTAAATGAATTTAAAATTTCATTAATAATTTTAATTTTGACAAATTAATTTACTAAAAACGCTTTCTTACTATACAACATTGTAGCTTTTATTTATTTCAGAGTCCTAAATGACTTATTGCCTTACTTTATAATTTCATTAAAATGCTTAGATACATTTAAAATAAAACAAAAAAATTAGTAATCTCAATTAGCTAAATCAATTAAAGATCTTTTTAAATTAATAGGTCTCATCTTATAAAAATATTTTATTATATTAAAATAAATTCTTTCTTTGCATTTTTTATTTTTAATTTTAAAAATGTACTTTAGCTAATCTCTGAACTTTGGTTTATTTAACTTGCCATTTCAAAATAAAAAGATTCTTATTTAAATTCTAATTAATTAATTGATTAATTTTTTGAATATTCAATGTATGCAAAATAAAAACAACTCAGTATACGAACTTTTATTTATTGATAAATAATAGTTATATAAATTTTATTTCTGAAATATCTTAAATGATATATATGAATGATAAATATCCAGCATCAAAATTTATTTTGAAAATATGCTTTATTAAATTAAACTGATAGAGAGCTTCATTATTAGCATAAATTTTTTCTTAGTATATTTATTATATTAAAAACAGATAAAAATTTAGTCAACATAATTATAAATAAATATCCAATTAGTGATAGATAACTATAATAGCTAAAGACAATATTTTTCTAAATATAAACATAAATAGTATCTGTTGAAACTTCTTCTCTATCATCCATTTTTTTCCAATATCTCGTTAATTATTCAAGAAATAATTTAAATTTAATATTATCTATGAATAAAAAATTGTTTTATAATAAAAATAATAATTATTATATACATAAATTCAAATATTGTATTACAATTTTATATAGATATATTAATTAATTTAACGAATTCCTTTATTATTTTGTATATTAAAAATTTATTTCACTTTTCAGGCACTAATAAGCAAATAAGTAATTTGCTAATTGCATCGTTAAGCTCTGGCACTTTTAGAATTAATTTACAAAGAGATCTTAAGTTTTTATTCTCATTCTTAGATAGGCTATTTTAAATAAATGATCTTTCGTAGGCATCATATAATTTTTAAATAGTTTCAGCTTGCATTTTTTATTGATAATTTGGATAATCTATCAAGAGAAGTTCAAACCACTTGCTTTACTCTTTTAAAATGAGAGAAGTTATTAAATATTTGCATTTTTTTAATATCATGTCTTCTATTTTTTTAGAGCTAGCTTGATCTTTAATGTCAAACATTTATATAAACTCAGCTACAATTTTTTCCATTTCAGTAAATAGCACACTCTATATTAATTGAATCTATTTAACATTAGGAGAAGACTGATTGTTTATTTCATCAAAACAATTGCTCTACAATGAATTTAAGATTGGTTAATTCAATTTAATATTATCATTCTAGCTGTAAAAAAAACTGTTTGTCTATTTTAATATATTTTGGTTTGCTTGCTCTTAGTTACAGCTTTTATTTTATAAAATAGATTTCAGGTTACTTTAGCTTTTGTATTCATTTGTAAGATTCTATTAATTTTGAGTTTCTTTAAATATTTAATTATTTTGAATTTAAAAATGAGGCTCATTCTGAATCCCAAATGACTCATTTATCATAGAGAAAGGTTTTTGATTTTTTAATGGTGACAAGCTCATTTCAGTGTTTCTTCTTTTATTCATTTTTTAATCTGTCTCATTTTTACAGTTTTCTTATTGTTTATAGAAAGGACTAAATTTAGATTATTTAAACATTTGTAATAATATTTCAAGGTAAGTATATGCTGCTATTGTTTGAGATTTTATAAATTACTCATGCTAAGATACTCTTTTAATTATCCTAATTAAAAAAAATGAATGAACTTAAAAACATTGAAAAAACTAATTTACTCGTTGCAAAATTCTTGTTCTGCAGGTTAGTTAAAAAGTTTTAGAGAAATTTTAAACATGGTCTTTTCAGATAAATGTACATGCTAAAGGCTTTTTTATTTAAAATTTAATTAAACCTCCTAAAAAGCAAATAAGTAACAATTAATTTAGTCTTCTGAGTATTCTCCTTCAACTAATTATAAAAATTGTTTAGCAATTGAAGAGTTAGAATTTTCAATATGATATTCTACACTTCCAATCAGATTAAATAAGCTTGACTCTGCTATTTTTTAGTTATTTTTATACTTTTTAATAAAATAGTCATATAAAAACTCTTTAAAGCTTGGTTATTTTTTGCTACTATACTTATTTTATTGTTTTTAAACTGTTTCCTTTTATGCATAAATTTCTTCTATCAAGCTACACATATGAATAAGAGGTATTTTAGTAAGTCTATTAAATTTGTTCTTAAATAAATCAACTATTGAGCATTTTATCTTGTACTCTTTATTAGAGCTGTAGCACTCTATATTTTTTTCATTACTTTTATCTCTTTTCATGTTTAAATTAGGAGAAATTGAGCTCCTTTTTCTTTAAGGTGTAGTTTGGCTGGAATATTTATTTGTGCTTTCTGGGTTTTATCTTATATCTTCTATATATCTTCCTCTATTCTAACTACAAGGAGATAATGATGCTTTTTATTAAAATTTATTTTGAATTTTATCATGCTAGTTGAGTACTTTTAAATAATCAGATTAATAATTATTCTATTTTTATTATTCTTTTGAAGGAAATATTATTTTTTGGTATGATGAATTTAGATCATCATCTTATGAACGGTCTGTGTATAAATTTTTAGAATCTAATTTAAGGGATAATTCCTAAGGATCACTTCTCATCTCGCCTCCATTAACACTATTCCATTCACTCTAGTTTGTATTTTAAGGACAGAAGCCAACGCTCTTAAGGATATCATAAATTTCATTCATTTTATGTTATTTTTTAGCTTACTGCTGGAAAATTTAACATTGAATTTAGGAAGTGCTTTTATCTTAATTCTAAAATGAATTACTATAACAACTACTGCTTGTGGATTAAGAATGGTTTTCGCTTCCACTATTGTCTACGATCAGGATATTTCCACTTTTTGATGTCTTATTGAATAAAGAGTTCTCTGTAGTAAGATTTAAAAATTTAGAATTTGTTTCTTTACTTTTTATTGTGCTTTATGTTGCTTCAAATGGTTCTTATCTTTAATGATTTTAAGCAAATTTTTGTTATGAATATTACCTATTATCATTATGTTATTATTTAGCAGCAATATTATTAGCAACTTTAGATTGAGAATTAAATGCACCATTTGCTTAAAATATTTGGTACTAAGAAGTAGCTCTTTATCTCTTCTAACAAGGAGACATTGACTTTTTGTTTTCATCTTAGAAATTTTCACCTATTTGAGGTTTTTTTCTGAGAGTTAAAGGGATATATGGGTTGTTATTATCTTTTTTCTAAGATTAATACATATTCTATTTTTATGGATTTTAACTCTAAAAAAGTGCATTTTTATTGTCAGATAAGCTAACAAAATCAATAGAATTTCGGTTTACTTCTTTCAAAACCTTAGAATAAACTTCAGGTTTTATCTGCTTTTATGGAGTTATATTCTGTTTATTTATATTTTATTCCTGTTTTTTCTAAGAAATACTCAAGCTACTTAGATTATTTCGCTACTCTTAAGGTTAAAAAGGCGACTAACTTCTTTTTTTTAAATTAGGACTTCGAGATTAAAGTCTTATGTTTTGATTTTCTTTATTATCAACATTCTTAAGATGATTTGGAGTTGATTGATATAATTAGTTTTATTTGATCTCTTTTGCCTTACTGTTAATATTATATTAATATTCTCTAAACTCTGATCTTTTCTATATAGGAGATGAACATAGCATCTAATCTTCCTACTCATGTCTTAATGATGTATATTTATTAATTATTTTCTTTTAAGAAGTTTGCAATTTTATTTATGCTACTATCTCATTTTTTTAAGAGTCTTCCTTTAGAGGGATATTATTCTCTAAGATATATTTAACATATTAGTCTTTTTGAACTTCATTTAAATCGCTGAAGTTAATTTCTTAGCTCATTCTCCGATTCTAAGAATTATTGAAACAAAAACTTAGATGGCCTTTTATGTTTTCTTAACTAGCAAGACCTTTTTACAAAATTATTAATTACTCTATTAACTAACAAAAATAGCTTTTTCTTAATTTAATAAAATATTGTGCGATCAAACTTCGAATTGAGAAATAAATCAATATATTTTTAATTATTTTTGTTAACAGCTAGTTTGGAAGTAGTGTGTTATTTATTTTGTAATGTTTTAGTTAACTATATAATTTTCAATATCCCATCAGATCAAAACTGAATGTTTGCTTAGTGCTATACAATAAGTATTATCATAAATAAATATTTTTATTAGATTTAGCTTATTCGAACATAGTCTTTGTTTTTATAAAGCTACAAATAATAATTGCATTTTTACATAAAAGGAAAGAGTTAAGTTAAAATTTAATAATTTAATTGATAAAATAAATTTATTTTAATTATTTTCTAATCCTAAAAAATTGTTTATTATTAAAACTGAATTATTAACAATTTTTTAATATTAATAAGTATTAATTCAATTTTATATTTGGTTGGCTATGTTAAATTAGATTTATAGAAGGAGTTAATTCAAAGAATTAATAAACAAATACGAAAACTTCTTTTTTGATTGTGATGGAGTGCTTTGGAAATCGAGCAACATTAAAATAAAACATGCATTTGAGGCATTAGATGCTTTGAAAAATGAAGGAAAAAATGTATTTTTTATATCAAATAATTGTATGAGAAGTAGGAGAGTTATATAGGAAAGATTAAAAAATTTTGGATTCGAAACTACTTAAGATCATATACATCTCTCTAGTTCGTTATTAGCTCACTATATTTCAAGAGAGAAAAAGGATATTAAAAAAGTTTACTTGATAGGAATGCCTGGAATAGTTGAAGTAATTATTTATACAGAGTACGTTTTTTATAATATTTTTTTATTTAATTTTAGGAATTTAGAAACCATAACATCGATATATTGGATTCAGAAGAGCATAATCAAAAAAGAATAACAGAGCATAAAGATGTAGAATATATGGAAATAGATAAAAATATAAATGCAGTTGTTTTAGGCTATAATTATAATATAAATTACTATAAAATGTGCTATGCTAGTCTTTTAATGTAAGAAAATAAAGCTCAATTTTTTGCAAGTGAAGACACTCCTTTGATAAAGTTTAGAAATGGCAGATATATGCCAAGTGTTGGAACATTAACCCAATCACTAACATATGGGCTTAGAGAAAAGTTTCCAAACTCTGTATAAAAAATAAACTTATCTAAGCCTAGTGAATATGCTTTATTGTAATTTGTCAAAGATTTCAAACTTGAATTAAATAAATCAGTTATGATAGGAGATAAAATAGATACAGATCTAGAGATGGCTAAAAGAGCAAATATAGATTCGGTTTTGGTATTAACAGGAGAGACAAGAGAAAATAATTTACATGAAGTTAAATCTCTTGGGGATAAATATCTTTCTAACCATATCATACATGTATGTGAAAATTTAAACATTTGATTGTGGAACTTAAGATTTATTTTATTTTCACAGTATTAAGTTAAATCAATTTAAAAAGTAAATTAGAATTTTCTAAATAAATTACAAAAATGGGTGATTAAAAGAATAATTTTATAATTACTTTTTTTCTTAAAGATTAACTAAAGTAAAACAAATACACTTGAAAGGATTCTATGAATATTTATTTTTATTTTAATCAATAACATAAATGTATCAATTAATTTATAAAAAGATTAAATAGAAATATACTTTAACTTAGTGAAATCTTTTTTAAAAATTAAAATACTTTTCAAAAAAATTATTTTTTTTTCTGTATCTGAAAAATGTTTTTAAAAATATGTTGAGCTAAATTAAATATTTTATATTTATTTAAATAATGAATTAATTATTAAAATAAATTCACTTAATAACCAAATTATTCATAAATGAATAAATAAATTTTGTATCCTAAAATTAATTTTTGATTTTAATTTTAAAAAATTATAAAAGCTATTTGATATTAATTGACAAGATAATCATTTGCTTATTTATTGTAAAATATGTTATTTTTTTTATCTTTCATTTTATATTTTTTTTTTATTTTTTTATCAACTTTTTTAAATATTTCTTAATTAATTTTAAAATTTATTTTAATTTTATTAATTTATCTAAATGATTTGTGTTTTAATCTCTGCTTTTCATTTTAATTGAATTTTTTAATATTTTTTAATTTCTTTTTTTTAAATTATTTTTTTAGTATTTAATTTTCTTCTTTTGAATATTTTATCTATCTGTCTATCAATTTATCATTTTCCTATTTTAGTAAATATTTTAAAAATCAAAAATAATATTTTGGAAAAAGATTGATATAATTTGCTAATTGATTAGATTATTTTTGAGTTATGAGAGAATTCGAATTCGGATTTAAAAACTTAAGGGGATATCTCGTAAGCAAACATTTTGGCCTATGAATTAAAAACTATTGTTTCTCCTCCTCTCATAATATCAAAAATTTTTAATCAATAGCTATATCAATATAAACTAAATTTCGCTATTCCAAATTATTTAAAAATGAGCGCTTTTTTGTTGAAAAGCCGGGTATGGTGGAATGTTATGATTTTGTAAGCTGGATCTATTCGTGTGAAATAGAAAATCTAAAAACTAAGTTTTGCTCTCATATTTAAATATACTTTTATTAATCTTAATTTTCTTTTTTGAAAATTCAAAATTAATTTGTTATTTTTTTTAATTATTCTTAAGAAAGTTTTTGTTAGTTAGTTAGATAGATATTTAATATTTATCAATTTACCTTTTTATGATTAAAAAAAGATTTCAAATCAAAAGATTCTTTATTTTTCTCTGATTTTTCTTATTAAGTAAAATATAAATGAAATTAAAAATAATTAATTCATATCAAAATTTATAAGATCACATGATTTGCATTCCACTTTACTTTTCGTTAAATTTTATTTAATTTTACGATTTATAATATACACAAATGTATAAGTAAACAAAGCATTATTTATAGACTAAATTTCTATATTTTTGTAATCCTTTAAATTAAATGATAAAGGCTCATGTAAAATTACAAATAAAGTTGGAATATAAAGATATGATTTATCAATTTTTGAAAATAATTTTGAAAAATAAAATAATTATCATAGACAAATTGTATGAAAATAATCATTGATTTAAACTTTAGTGATTTAAGATAATAGTTTGTTATACTATTCAACTTTTAATCACATATCATTTGTTTTTATTATTAAGATTTTAGATGATGATGATGATGTGATAAATTTTATAAATCAAGAATAATCACCATATATTTCTTTTATTGTTAAATAATATCTTTTAAAATACAGAATATTCGCAATTGAGTTATAATTAATTATTATTAAAAAAATACAAATTAAAGATATTTTCAAACCTGTTTGTTATTAATAAATGGCTGCAAACTTATAAAAAATTTTACCCTTTGAGGAATCTGGTAACTTCGATAGCAATAATTTAATCATCTTTTTGCATGGATATCCTGACACTAGTGATTTATGGAAAGAAATTTCAAATAAAGTAGATAAAGATGCATTTATCTTAAACTTTAGCTATCCAAACTATTCTGAAAAATATTCTAAAATATTTGGATTCACTCAACTTGAAGTAACGAAAAGAATCAAAGAAATAGTTGATATTTACTAAAAAATAAAGTAGAGAGATATCACCATAGTAGCCCATGATTGGGGTGCTATACTTGCTTATATGCTTGACAAAAACTATCCAGGTTACTTTAAATAAATGATAGCACTTGATGTAGCAGGATGGATGTAAAGAAATTTTACTTTTTTTTATACATTTATTTATTTATATATTATTTTAATTAAAAAGTGATAAAAGTCCAAAAGTAATGAAAGCTATTCTTTCTTACTAATTTAAGCTAGCTTTAGCCTTTATCATAGGTTTAATTCTCCCTTTTGTTGGCAATTTTATTACTGATCATGTTGTTAAAGGATATTTTAAATACTAGCCAGAACACCACAAGCGCATTAATTATAAATGGAACTACTTTTACGTTTACTTTTTATTTAATGCAATAATCTCCATATTCAGTCCTAAAGCTAATTACCTTTATAAATACAAACCAAACATCCCAGTTGTTTTTATATATGGTGAAAAGAAACCCTTTTAATTCCACTCTTAAAAATGGATTGAATACTTACAAAATACTAAAGGTTGTGAGTGTTATGGTGTCTAATCAAACCATTGGATTCCACAAAACGAAGGAGATTTTGTAGTTGCTACAATTAAAAGAAGACTTCAAGCTAAATGAAAAAAAAATTATATATATGAATAAAAGAAATGAATTATATATTAATTTTAAGTATTTCAAAGAGTTTTGTAGATGTAAAATAACTTACGTATACATAATCAAATCTAATTAATTATTCATTCATTTGTTTATTTATTCATTATGTATAGAAATGAATAGTTAAAATTAATGTCTGGTCAGGATACAAAAAATAATTTACTTATTATTATTTTAAGGTATATTAGTTTAAAAATATAGATTTGACAACTAAATTTACTTTTTTAATTATTTAATTAAAATGGAATAATTCCATATAAAAAGTTAGTTTACTTTTTATTCAGCTTCTTATTATTTGATTATTCATTTTTTATTAAGAATTTTTTTTAATTGAATAAAAAATAGATTTAGTAACTCAATTATATTTTTTAAGCACAAATAATTATTGTTTTTAAATGAATTTAAACTAATTTTTTATCCTAGCTATATTATCAAAGATATTTTTTTCAATAATAAGCTCTCTTGCAATATTTTTATATTAAATTAATTTTTTAAAGATTTTATTAGGGATTTATAAAATGAGTTATTTATAAATCTCGAATGTATTAATTTTATATGAAATTATATTAGAAAGAAAATTTATATGTAGAATAAATTAAGTTTTTGCATAATCTAATGACTCACTTATTCATCATACTTATAATTGATTATTTGTTTAAATTAAAAAATTATCAAAGATATTTTTTCAATTATTATCCTTTAAAAAAATCACTCATTCTAAATTAAATTAGCTTTAAAGAAATAATTTACATTTTATAATATATTTGGTTTTATCAAGCTTATATAAAATTATAAATTGGTCTATTGATGGAGTTATGTATATAAATAATTACTTAGGCTTTTACAAAATCAAATCATTCAATTTTGTTAAAAATTTTTTTTCTTCAAAAAGTAAGCTCTGAAATAATGGTTTCTTTTCTTTCTTTCTTTTCTTATTTTATTTATTTAATTATTTTATAAATTTAAAAAGAGTTTTGAGAAATATTTTTATTTTTAATTTAAATTATTTAATTGAATTTTATAAAATGAATTATTTAAGAGTCTGTCTTGTCAATTTTAAATCGATAAATATAATCTAAATGATTAGATTTATTTACCTTACTTTTCTAAAGCTAATTGTTTTTTCAATACAACTAATTTATTTTTAATATAAATTTATAACATTATCTAAAGTATGAGCTTTTTTATTTATGGCTGTAAATTTAAGGAAATAAACAAATATTAATCATCCAATTTTGTTTCTAAAAAGAATAAACTAATTATACAAAATTAAATTATTAAAATGCTTCAAACAATATTTAGATTTTTTTTCTTATGACCATAAATAATTCACTAACATACACTACTGATTTTTGAGTTAATATATATATTAAGTGAATAATTATTATTCTGATATTTTTATTTATTTGCAAATAAAGAGATAGCTAGTTACATTTAAGCTTTTGTTGAATAAAATATAGATATATTTTAGTGACAGAGTACAATAAATGGAGCAAAAATAATATGTAATATAGCATGATTAGAGCTAAACTTAATCAAGGATGTTTTAGTTCAACAACACTTCTTAAGAAAAGTGATTATTTATCTTAGTTTATATATTCATATCCTAACGGATCTATTTGATTATAAGATTATGATTCTTTAGTAAATGCTCAATTTTAACTAAAATAGCGTTTTTTAAAAGAGCGGAAGTATTGATGGCTTCGGCACAGAGAATGATACTTAAATGATGGGCAATCATACCCATTAGGCAACTGAGGGTGCAGATAATAGTATAGATTTTTTTTTTGCACAATGCTAAATTTAATAAACAAAACGAATATCTAAGCAATATTAAATTAAAAATAAAAAGAGTATGGTCAGACACTTTATAAGAAAGGCTAAACTTTTAATATATCTAAAGATGAAAACTCAAATAACTTGTAGAACAAAGGAAATATTGTTGATATGGATATAAATAGCTAAGTTGAGTTCTTTAAAAATTATAAACTTAACATTAGAGATTTATTTACAATGGAATAACTAAATAATGATCCTAACTTAAAAATGAAAAAGTACAAATAACAAGTATTCTATGGAATTATTTTAAATTCTAAAAGACATGGAAATGGTCAGTTTTTAATTAACTAATTCGTTCATTTTTTTGACAAATAAATACTTTATTTATTTAAAAGGTGTTATGGTTTATTAAAACGGCCGTATTTATGAAGGTCAATGGGAAAACGATTTAAAGCATGGAAGAGGATATGAAATATTTCCAAGTGGTAGCACTTATGATGGTAAATATTGCTCATTTTAGTGAAGTAAATGTTAACATATTTTAAAATTTAGGATATTATATAAATGGTAAACCTGAAGGAAGAGGTACATATAAATATGCTAATGGAGAAATATACGAGGGAGAATGGATTAATGGTATGAAACATGGATCTGGTATTTGGAGAGGTAACAAAGGAGATTCTTATATAGGCGAATGGAAATTTGGTAAAACTGATGGATATGGTGTTCACACTTGGCTAAATGGTATATTAATTTTTTAAAATAAGCAAAAATAAAATGAATTCATTTAATTATTTACTTACTTACTTACTTTCTTAATTATAGGTGATAGATATGAAGGCTAGTTTAAGTAATGCTTGAAACATGGAGAAGGAACAGAAAAGTTTGCTAATGGTGATAGCTACATAGGTATCTAATTATTTCTATTTATTAAATACTAAAAGATAAATATATTTGAATAAAGGTAATTATTAGAATGGAAAACCAGAAGGTTATGGAGAATATTACTGGGTAAATGGTTCTTTTTTCAAAGGATACTTTAAAAATGGTTTAAGACATGGACATGGAGTGTGGAAAAGGGGGCCAGGAAATAGTGACATGTATGAGGGAGAATACTTTAATGATAAAAAATGTGGTTATGGTGTCTTTACTTGGTCTTCAGGAAATGTTTACAAAGGAAATTATTTCGATGATTTAAGGAATGGGTATGGAGAAATGTATTGGACTGATGGTTCTTTTTACAAGGGTAAATTACAATATAAAGAAATAATATTATATTTTATGATAAATTTATTTATTAGGTTAATGGGAAAGAGGAATATAGCATGGTGAAGGAGAAATGTGTATGAGAGGAGAGCCACCTAGAAGAGGTTTGTTTGAAAATAATGTTTATATTAGACCACTAGAGGAGCATGAATAATTCAATTATTAATCACTTCCTAATCCTTAAAGCTAATAAAATTTAGGTGCTATTAGAACAAGTACTAACAGTATAAAAGGAAATAAATTAGGTAGAAACTAAGCAAATAATTCATAGCAGTTTGAGTAATCTTATACTATCGTTCCTAATAGTGGAGTCAATACTCCTAAATATAAACTTCCTTAAATAAACAACCGCAATTCTTCTTCGATGAGATCTAATTCAATAAGAACTCCTTAAGGAAGAACTTTAGGAGTAAGTGCTGACTATTATGATACTACACCTAACAGCAACAGAGCATCAACCCACAAAAAAAGTATCACTATTTTTTCAAGATATTTTTTTGTAAATAATATTATTTATTTTCTAGAAAAAATTAGACCTAGTAGCACGATATAATAAAAAATTAATCAAAGAGTGCTGTAGGAAAGATCAAGTAATAGTTCTTAAGAGAAAGGAAATGGATAGAATAATCTTACTAAATTTAAATTACCTAAAAGAATTTAAGGAAATGGTAGCAATTCGAGAAGTAATTCTCCGACAATTAAAAACGAAGAAAATAAAAGAGCAATTATATAAAATTAGAATGCATAAAAAAAGATATGGAAATCACCAGGGATAGCTGGTTTAAGGGGAAGAATAAGTCCAATTTGATAATTTTAAAGCACAAAATAGAAATTAATTAATTGAACTAACTAACTCAATCTATTAATTTATTTACCTACCTCCCTACCTTTTATATTAAAATAAACAGACAGACAAACAAACAAAAAATAATCATGAAAAATGTAAAAATAATTCAAAATTTAAATTTATTTTCGTTAAATTAAATTATATAGTCAACTAAATAAATATATAACTAACTAACCAACTAATAAATTAAATAAATAAATAAAAATAAAATAAATGCATATATTTATACAGACATAGATACATATTTTGTAAATACATCAAAATATATATATTCACATTTAATTTTTTTCTTTCTTTTGTTTATTTTATATAAATAGAAAATAATTTTTTATTTATTTAAATATTATTAATTAACATTTTCTTAATTCCTATTTTAAACAAAGGATGAAATTGTTGTTTTTTTTTAGTTAATAATTCAATCAATTCACAGTTATAATCCTAATATTTTTCCTATAAACTTACATTTTTAAATTTTTTTCATCTTCAGATTCATTGAACGAGAATTTTAATTTTCTTAAATTCGTAAGATTTTTTATAGCTTATGTTAAAATGAATATTCTATCTTCTAACTCACCACCTTATGCTTGAATTTGGAAAGAAAATTATAAATCCTACAAACTTTTAAGTCCCTGAATATTACTTGTGAAATCTTCTAAGTTTTGTTTAGGAAACTAATAATCGAAAGAAATTTTTAAATGAGTTAGATACTTAAAACATTCAAACATGTTATTTGATAAAAATTATTAACCTTGTGACCAATTTTCAATGTTTAATTTAGTAAGCTGAGTGGTATATTATCCATTTAAATAAACTCCATCTCTCTAAAAACTTATATTAGAGTATTCATTGAATTTGGTTTATCCCGATTTTAAAAACTCTAATTCTTAAATGAGATTCAAAACATTTGTTTTATGAAAGTTCAAAATAATAACTTTAAGACTAATTAATTATTTTATTTTCTTTAGTTCTTAATATAAATTTTCTTAATCTTAACTTTATAATAGAATAAAATATAATTTCAGGTTAGTCAACTTTTTTAAGTTGCTCAACCCTGTAAAGTCCAATTCTCCGTCATCATATTAATTAGTGTGTAAACTCAAGTTTAAAACTGCTAGGTTTGTTAGATTTTATATTATTTTAAGTACGTTTTGCAAGTTCTTATTTAATTAATTCAAATTTGAAGATATCTGTAGTTCAATTAAATTTTAAAATGAAGGTAGCATATCTAAAAAATAAAAAATGTTATTATTTTGATTATCTAATTGAATCATATTATCAATTTAACTGAAATTTAAACTACACATTAGGTGTGTGATGCTTTTTTTATCTTATTTATCTGTAATTTTAAGCCAGTATTCTTCAAAAAGTTTGTTGTAAGGCTCTAAAAATTGTAGTTTTTTTTATTCATTTTCAAAAAACCACTTAGCGAAAGATATATCGCAACTTGAAATAAAGCCATTCAGTTAAAAGTAACTTATATTTTGTGATTATTCTAAAAATTAATTAAACCCTTCAAAATGTTGTTCTTACAGTGAAATTTAATTTTCAGCTTAAACTATACAATCCTGCTTAATTGTATTTATTTATTTTGGGATATAACTTGCTAAACTACTAGATGGTTTTTTAAAATGAAGAGTTTTTTATTAGTTTTTGAAATTGAAAAATGAGAGATTTCCTAATTTATTAACATTGCTTAAAATAGAATCAATATCCTAATTAGTAACGTTATTAGGATTATTTATTTCAATATTTAACCAAATTAAATTATTTAAATGTGCCAAAGAGTTCCCTATAGCAATAGCTCCTTCTGACCCAATCTAATTTTCTTATGTAAAATCTATTACATGATCAAAATCTTAGGGTTATTCCCATTAGCTATAATCTTAATAAATAGTTTTGATTTGACTAATTTTTAAATCTAAATAGGCCAGGTTCTTTAATGATGAAATACCTTCACTTATTCCTTAGGTTCCTTTAGTTAGGAGGTAATTTTGAGAATTAATTATTAACTCTAATGAGTAGAGATTTTGCAAATTTTTAAAAGAAGCTCCTATTGCTATGGCTCCTTAACAACTTATATAGTTTGAATTATCGATAATTAGCTTTAAATTTTAAATCTATGTGAGACAAGAAATCCCCTCAGCTAACCATTAAGCTCCTAAATAACCTATCTAATTGTCAAACCCAATAGTAAGATTTAAGTCTATCAGCATATTTAAGTTCATAAGCCCTTCTCCAAGTCCTCTAGCTCCGTAATCTTTTATTTTATTTCCTCTTCCAAAATCTAAAATTAAAGTTCTTAATTTTTTGAGATTTTTCAAATTTTAGCCGAATCCATATGCACCATTTTCAAAAACCGAATTATATCCGTTAATTATAAAACTTAAATTCGTAAGGTTTTTCAAGCCTGTAAAACCTCTTGATAAACCTTTAATACCTGAGTCTCCTAACTGATTTCCATCATTAATTATAACATCTAAATTTCTTAAGTTTTCTAAGCAGCATAGACCATCTCCTATTGCCTGAGATCCTTCAGGGAGAATAGTATTTTTTTGTTAAACATGTAAAACCAATTCTATCAATTATATAAGATGCCCAAGACCTTATCCTAAGCTAATTGCTGCTTCACTGCCAAGAATGTTATCATGACCTAAAACTAACTGAAGCTTCTAAAGACTTTTCAAAAACATAATTCCGTTTCCAAAAAATTAGTTGGGATTATAAACTTATTGTTAGAGGCTCTATGCTACTGATAGTTATAATTACTTTAGATTTACCAATTGTGAAAGACCTTATTGTATATCTTCTCCTGAGGTAAATAGAATATTTTCTTATATATTTTCAATAATTAATTTCTATAGATTTTTCAAGCTTCTAATAGATTTGAATAAGCTACAAAGGCCTTCTTATCCAATTTCATTTCTCCCAAAATCTAATGAAAGGTGAGTCAGATTTATTAGTTTCACTAATCCTTCTGAAAGCAATTTAATCCCATCAGCTTGAACATTATTTCCAAAGCCTAAACATAAATTTAAATAATTGAGTTTTTTCAGATATTAAAAACTATCTGCCAAACCTTAAAGTCCTTAACACAGAATACGATTTGATTTACCAATATTGATTGAAAGAGATATGAGATCTTTCATATTCTTTAACGAGCTACCTATTTCATTAGCCCCTCTAGAGCTTATGATATTATCGTTTTCTATTGAAATAGTTAAATATTAAAGCCTTTATAACTGTTTCAATGCATCTGCTAATTCTTATGCTCCTTCCCAAGTTATATTGTTATATTAATTTATGATTAACGTAAGCTTTGTTAAGTTTCTCAGATTTTTTAGTCCTTCAGAAAGGCCTATACAACCATGCCATTTTATGTTATTATTAGAACCTATAAGAAGATACAAAGATTCTAAATTAATTAAGTATCCTAAGCCTTCTCCAATAGCTATTGTTCCGTCTTTAAATAAATAATTGTCAAAATCTAATATTAAATTAAGATTTTTGAGATTTTATAATTTCTTAAAAGACTTGGCTATACTTTAGCATCCTTTAGGTTTAATGTAATTTGAAACAATAGTTACTCTTAAGTCTAAGAGGTTTTCCATATTTTAAATTCCTTCAAATAACCCTAAAGTTCCTTCGCTAGAAATGCTATTATTTTTACCAATGTAAAATTTGAGATATCTAAGATTTTACATATATTTTAATCCTTCTCCGATCCAAGTAGCACCTTCAGCATTAATAAAATTGTTTTTACCTATATAAAGGTATAGTTTTTTAAGATTTACTAAGCTTTTAAATCCTAATCCTATAGCTTAAGCACCTTAGTGTCCGAGATGATTATCAGAATCTATTGTTAAAGATAGATCATCAAGATTAATTAAATTCTTAAATTCAAAACTTAGTTTAAAGTCATCTTATGGTAAAAGATTGTTATTAGATAATATAGTTATACTTAACTTTTGAAGTTTTTTTAAGTTACTTAAAGATTTTCCAATTGAACCTAAACCAATACTTGTTAAATTATTATAAGAACCAAAAGATAAATTTAAGTTCTATAAATTGACTAATTTAGAAAGTGATTCGCCTATCTTTACTGTTCCTTCCTATCCAATAAAATTTTTTGAGCCAAATTACAGCTTTAATTCTTTAAGATTAACTAAAGATTAAAGTGCGTCACCTAAAGAAGAAGCTCCTATTTATTGGATGCAGTTATTTGAACTAATTGATAAAAATAACTTTTAAAGGCTAGTTAAGAGTTTTATAGACCTGCTAATACTTTACATACCTTCTTACTAGATGATATTATCATAACCAATGAACAAATTCAGCTCTTGGAGGATATTCAAATTCTGCAACCCATCTGCTATTCCTTAAGCTCCAATTTACCCAATCTAATTTGCATATTAAATATTTAATGTTAATCTTTATAAGCTCTTCAAGAGTCCTAGAGATCTGCCTATTTATACAGCACCTTCTGAATGAATTAAATTATGGTCACCTATGAATAAATTTAACTCTTAGAGATAAATTAAATGTGATAATCCATTTGTAATTAGATTTAATTTTTCTCCATTTATCAGATTATTTGACCCAACAAATATTGAAATTTTATTTAAATTCAAGAAGCAATCGAAAGCTTAGTTTAAATTTTCTAAAGATTGATATCCTTCTAGCCCAAAATTTTAACAAGAATTAATTTTAATCATAAATTCATTTTATTAGCTCAAGATTTTTTGTAACTCATCATATTTTGTGATATCTTAAAAACTTGGTGTTATAGAAAAATGGTTTTTATTTTAATGAAGCTTTATAAAAGCACTTATTGAGTTCATTTTTTATTAATAAATTAAAATTAGTATTTATTTTTATTTATGGTTTTTGTTTATCTAATTATTTAAAAATAATTATTTGTTAATATCCATACACTATTTAAAGAGATATTAATTGCATTTCTAATTGGTTTTTGAATTAATTAGGTTTTTAATTTAATAAATTAATGTTCCTCTAACCTGATAATTCATTTGTGTTTATTATATTTATCAAGAATAATTTTTACTTTTAAGGTTGATATTGATGGAGACAGTCCTATAAAAGAAGTTCTTAATTTTAAAGTAAAGTAATAGCCATTTTTAAAGCACTCTATCTATTATTCCAATAAAATACTATTTATCTCAAACATGAAACATAATTGATATTTAAGTAAGTTTATATTCCTATTAAAATCAATTTATTCTAAAATTAATGGAATTCTTTGTATTCAGTAATTAATTATCATCAAAAGAATATTTTTTTTTAATTTATTTAAAAATAAAATAGTAATAAAAATAAATAAATAAATAAATAAATAAAAATAATTTTTATGAAAAGAGAATAAAGAGATATTTACTTTTTTTAAATTTAATATTTTTTTTTTAATTTGTAAAATATATATTCTCAAACCTAATTATTAGCTTGTAGCTATTACATTTATCAAAAATATTATTAATAGTTTGAGATAAATATTAATGGAGACAAACGTTGAAACTAAAAGAATTAAATTTGTTAACTTAAATTAAAGTAATAGCCACTTTGGAAAATCCATTTTTTTCAATTATATATCTATCTTCAAATAGACTATAAACATAAGAATTATATTTTTAATTATATTAATTTAGAGCTTTTTTAAGTAAATTATATTAAAAATTTATTATTATTTGTAAGAATAAAAATTTTATTTAATTATAATTAGTGTTATTATATTGAAAGGAGAAACAGGTAAAGATTTTTATAAAAGACTTTATTTGATTAATTTAAGATTTATGATACATTTAAATAAAATTTATTTATTATAAATAACTTCATTTATGTCATAGATTTAATAATTTTTTAAAAAAAATAATAGATATATGAAATCTAAGATGGGAATTAGATATTTTATTTAATTATTTAACAAAAAGAATAACAATCTAATCATAGGTTTAGAAAATCTAGTAGTATTCTTTGAAATTTTCTGTTGGAATACTTATAAAAAATATATTCATTAGTTTTTGAAATAATAGGTTCATATGCTTTGATACTATTTGTAAAAAATTAGTAAGAAATTTAGAAAATTTTAATCAATTAATTAATTAGTTAGCTCTCATGTAAAAAATTAAAATTAAAATCTAACTCATTTTTAATCACAATAAAGAAAGCAACGAATATAAATAAAAGACAATTAATTATATTATAATTTGTAAATATAAATTAAGTAGAATCTGAAAAAAATGATGAACTTAAGTAATAGCAGTTCTAAAAATGTGAAGCTGTAAAATAATATACTTTAAAGTATGAATCAAGATTAAAAATTCTTGAGTTTGTTTGTTAAAGTTTTATTTAATTAATTTAGATTCTATTATAAAAAATGGCAATAACGAAGCTTCAAAGAATGACTTGGATGCTGATCAATCTCTTGATCCTTCTAAGATAGGAGAATATATGTAAAATAAGTAGCATTCTTTTTATAAAATATTTATACTTTAATCTATATAGTCAGCTACTTCAAGACTATGAAAAAAATTGCTTAAAAGAATAAAACTTTAAAGAAGCTGAGCTTGTTACAAAGCGTATTGAAGAGTTATAATAGCATGAATTAGTTTATAGGTCTTTAGCAGTTGTTGAGAAAAATAAAGAAGAAGTAATACTTTTTTCGGAATATTTGTAAATATTAAAGACTTTTTTTAAAATATTTAGATAAATGAGTTAGAGCAACTAAATTTACAATAATTCAATGAATTTAATGAAATTTGGGATTAAATTATAGATGAGCATGTTCAAAAGCTCAAATAACTAGAAGAAAATATGGTATAGTAGCATTAGCAAGAAATTATAGTTAAAGAATAGGAGCTACAATAAATATAACCTGGCAAATGCAAATACTCTAAAGAAATATTGAATCTTAGATTTGTTTTAGAAAATCTCATTAAATGCAAAAAGTAAGCACAAAAAAAAATATTTAATAGATTATATTTCATTATTTTTAATTTATCAGGTATGGAGAAGCACATGAAGTTAAGGAAAGACTTGCAAAACTTGAAAAGTAAGAAGAAGAAAAATGGGTGAAAGTTCATGAGTAAAAAATTGAAAAGAAAAGAGAGTAAATAGTTTTAAAGTAAAAGTAAGAAATGGAAGCGCTCTAAGTTAGATTAGAAAATTCGTTGTAAGAAAAAATAAAAATAAGAACGTTAGAGCTTGAAAAGTAAATTTTTTAGCAATTAAGTATATAGAACTATATAATTTGATGTATTTCTTTGTTTGTAATTAGGTTATTGCAAAAGTTTTAAAATATGAAGAATGAGCTTGAAGTAAAGCAAAACTAAGAGCTATCAAAATTACAAGTAATGAATAATAAAACTATGAGTAAGTTAGCCTCTAAAGGATCAATTATGGGTTCAAATTATATCAATACTTTAAATGGATCAAGAATAAATTCTTGATTGATATTAATAATAATCAAGCCATAAAGGCTAAAACTAAAGCAATTATTTCACATAAAACCATTATAAAATAATTAAAAAGTTTTGAATTTATCAGGATAAGAAGCAAAATTTTAAATTATCTACTTAAAATATCCATAAAGTATATTTGGATATATTGATTGTTAGATCTTTAATCTTTAAAGGATCTTAATGAATGAATTATTGTTTGTTTTAAATTAAAATCAAATTATTTGTAAATTATAATTTCACCTATTCTTTTCTGTATACTATATATATATATATATATAATTAAACATTCTACTTGTTAAGTATTTCCTTCCTTACACTAACTACAACTAAATAAATTACTTTGAAAATATTTTATCTGAAATAAAAAAGTTTTAACTTTAAATAATGAATGATTGCCAAGACAATATAATTATGACCTGTCTTTTGAATTTTTGTAAAAGTAAATCCTTCAAACAGACTTCTTAAATTAAAACAAAGTAATTGCCAAAAGAAGAATGGGAAAATATGCAAAAGTAAAAAAAATATTTCCATTTTTATATACTTTAATATAATTTTAAAAAAAAAAAAGAAAAAATTACTGATTTTTTATTTGTTATAGCTATTCTTATTAAATTTTTAAAAGAATTTAATTATTGTTTTAAATTAAAAATTAGTTTTCTGAAAATTATGATTGCCATAATTTTTAAAAAAATAAATATGTTACTTGTTTAGAATTTCCATAAAAAATTAAATTGGATAATATTTTTTATCTTAAATACAAGAATATCAGATTTAAATTATAAATGAATTTTCTTTACTGTATAATATACTATTAATGCCTTAACTTTTTTATATTTCATAAATGTAAGATTAAAAATTTATTTTATAATATTTAATCTGAAATAAAAAAATATTAGATTTAGATAATAAAATATTAGTTTTAAATCAAAGTTAAAATAAATTCAATTAGTTAATCTATTATTATCTTTAATTGAATAATAAACTATAAAATAACTAATAAATGCTTCTTAAAAAATTAAAAAACTGAGTGTACTTTTAATATATATATAACTTTTAAAATTATCCTTCATTTATTTATACAAAAACATAATTTTTTCATTATAAAAATAAATCAATAAATATGTGTTATGGGTTATATGTCATTAAATCAGCAAAATATTTTTTAAGGCACTATTATTTTATAATTTCTAATTTTTTTGTGTTACAATGCTGATACAATATTTCTAAAAAGTCAGAGTTGTCATCAATTTATTCAGTATTTTTTACTTCTAATTTCTAAAGATATTGGCAACCTTCTTGAACTTTCTTGAAAAGATGGGTGAAATTTGGATTAAATCTATTTTTTCAAAAATTAATTATTAAAAATTAAGAGTATTAAATAGTTTTGAATACTCTATTTGTAGGTGGAATTCTAAAAGCTTATTTAATTTTGAGACATCTTGAGATAATTAAAGTATAGTTTCTCTGTCTAAAGAATTTCCTCTATAAAATTTGATTGCATAATTAGATAAATTAATTATAAATTGCATTAATCAATTATTAATTACAGTATATTCATGAATAAAAGACTTAAGTTATTTAGTTGCCCAAGTCCATGTGATAGTTTTTTCACTCCTTCTCCTTCAAATTCACAAGAGCTAACATTCAAATAATATAAAAATAAATATAATAAATATATATTTGTAATTTTACTCAAGGATTAGATTCAAAGATGTTAAGCTTTAAAGGTAAGGCAAGTACTTTCCTATTGCTGCAATTCCATTATTTCCAATTTAATTACTCCTACACAAAAAATATTAACATAAGTTACAACCTTTTTCATATAAATTTACGATAGATTTAATATCAAGCTTGATAAGTTAGGGCATTCTATAAGACCCTTCATTATACCCTCTGTTCCTTAATCTCCAATATCTAAATTTCTATTTTTATATAAAATTTTTAATCTTTAAATTAATTTAACCTTTTAAATTTACTGGACTAAAACTAAGCAAGTTTCAAGTTATTTAAGATTCTTAATTCCATTACCAATAGCAATAGCACCCTAGTCTGATATACGATTTACTCTATTTATTATTATATTTAAAATAATCTAAATTTTCTAGAATAAATTTACCTTAAGCAAAGTCTTAAATATTTTAATTATGAGCACTATGAAATTGAATTCATAACATTTTCCATACCTATATCACCAATGTCATTCATACTTAATTTTTTATTTAAAAAATTGAATTTTGGATTGAGAGAAAGCATATTTATTTACTCAGCGCAAAAATCAAGCCATTCTAACTATGTAAATTTTGATATTGCTTAGGACAAATAAAAAGCACCTTTGTCTTTAAGTTAATTACGTCTATTAATTTTAATTAAAAATAGCTGGGTTATAAAAAAAAGTAAGCTGTTAACGATTTACCCACCAGCAATCTTAAATTTCTTAAGATTTGTAGATTGAGTAATACTTTCACAAAAAGCACCTATTCCAATATCTGTCACAAAATTGTTGCTAAGGAAATTTAATAAAAAATATATGCTTAATTTAAAATGTTTGATTAGAAAAAATATAAAATAATCTTTTATATTCATAACAAATTTTACCACATTTCTAGCTCTAAATATGTTAAATTCAAATTTTTTAAGAAAGAGCTGACTTCCATTAGTTTATCATCCTTCAATCCACCCTTCTTTGAAATAGTGCCTCTGTAATTTAATGATTTAAAATTTTTTGAAATATTTCTAAATAAACCATACTAAAATAATAATATAAAGCAAACAACTTTAAATATAATAAAATAACTTATATATTAATATATAATTACTCTTGGGCATAGGTAAATGAAGTAATATTCTTAGGATTCAACTTCTTAAACACATAGCTTATGTCTGTTGGTAGCGTTTATCTATTAGTAAGAAAAATTAGGTTAAATTTACGTTATATTATTTTAAAAATACTTAAAGTAGATTTAATATGATTCTTTAGTCAAGTTTGATTTATTGAGAACTTCATCGACTTTACAGTCTTTACTATTTATTAGCATAAAAAATATTATTTTAATCACATAGGAAGATGTATTCGTGATTTAAAAAATGAATTTAATTCAATAAAGTTTAATTTAATTACTCAAATTATATAATTTCAGTTTCCATTTTTTAACTTATTAATTATTTGAGTTAATTACTTTTTTTCAAATTCTTACAATTTTTTACAAAATTAATTTATCACAATTATTAATCTTTCCTTCTCCTTACGTTTATATATTTATATATGTTTTCTATCTAATGTGACTAATTAACTAAGAATCAAATATCTATATAATTTTTAGTTGTAATAGCAAGCTTTTTTAAAAGCAAAATCTTACTGTAAAGTAGAATCAGCAATTTTATTCTAATTTTCTTTCTATTAATATTATTTTTTTACACTTATTAATAATTTACAAGTACTGAACAGCTTCATAAATTAATTTAAATTAGATGATAGGAAGCATCTTACTCAATAAATAATACTTTGATATTATTATATTAAAGTCGATCTCTAAAATGCAAATCAATTTATGAATTTAAGCTTTTATTTTCTAAAATGAATATAAATTAAATCAACATAAAAAATTTCATTTAAACTAAAAATATAAATTTAATATAAAAAAAATTTAATTTCTTCAGATGATTGGCAAAATTAATTGAAGCATTAAGTAATTGAATGATTAAATGAATAAGTTAATATTTATTTTATTATTATTTTTAATAAACCATTTCTTTTTTTTTAATTTTGTATTAAAATAGAAAAATTTATTATATGTGACTTGTACGCACGTTGAAATTACTCAATTTATTTATTTAGTAAATTTTGCGCAATTAATTATTAAACTCTTGATGCATATCTATCATATCCATTAATAATTGATCTTTTGATTTAATCGTTATTCATAAATTCATTATGAATAAAGAGAATGAGCTCATTTGAGTTTTCAAATTTTTTATTCTTGCATTCATATTCTCAAGATAAATCTTTCAACTATGCCCAGACATTTTCTATTAAGTTCATGTCGGGCGAATAAGGAGGGTAAGTAACTAACTTAATTTTATTTTGAGAAACCATTATTTTATTTTAAAATTTTTTTGATAAATATTAGTCATACTTTTATAATAAAAAAAAATCCCACTATACTAAACTTAATTAAAATATCTTTTTAATTTTTCATATTTTTAACTCCAATATAAATTATTACTAAAATAATTAAGTTTTTAAATAACAAATTGGTCAAATTGGATAAATTTTTTAAAAATTAAAGTATAGTCTAAGTACCTTTAGCATAATTAAGCGCAGTTTTACTAAAAATAGACTTACGCCCATACTTAAGGGCCAAAAATTCCTAGGCACTAAATTTAATGATCACAATCATTTCAATTAATTCATTAAAATTTTAGTTTGAAATAAATTAATTATTTTGTAAAAAAAATATTTGAATAAAAGAATGAAATGTTTTAATAAAAAATAATTGATTTATTTATATTAAAATTAAATACATTTAATAATAAAATAAATTAATGAATGAATGAATAACTTATTCATAACTTTATTTTAGGGTAAATCATTTTTTCTATTTGCTCTCCAACATTAGAAGCAATAGCTACACCTTAGCCATTCATTCTTGCAGCAACAAAAATATTCTTTTCTAATTATTCAACTATTGGATTTTTACCTTTTCCATCTTTTGAGAAACACTTTTTTAATTTAAAAAAATGATAAATAATATTTTATAAAAATTATTAATACCATAATCCCAGACCACTCATAATCGACTTCAAAAGGAGTGTTTAGTAAAATAACTTCTTTCAATATGACTTTGAGGTTATTTATTATTTTAGTTGTTGTTTCAATTTTCGTAGTTGTTTCTCCTATAAAATCTGTATTTCTTCCTCCTCCAAATATTACTCTTCCATAGTAGTCTCTGAAATAATAAAAGCCTTCATCCATATGGAATATTCCTTTAAATTTGAGATTTTCAATAGGCTTAGTAACAATTACTTAACCTCTTCCTGGTACTAAATTTAGTTCTGATTTAATCAAATTGTTTGTGAATCCATTTGTACAAAATACTAAATTTTAAGATTCAAAAATTATATCTTCAGCAGAGTTTGTATTCTTGACATTAACCTTTTAGATTATTTATAATTAATTAATTATATTATCTTCAATCTCTAAAAGAATGTAAGCTTTTTAATTTGATAATCAACATTTAATTAAAATACCTAAATACATTAATTATCAATCTTTTTATAATTTTTGACTTCAGCTCCTGTAAGATAAAGACCACCTAGAGAAACAAAGTATTTGTATAAATTTCTCATTGCAAGACCAGTATCTATTTAGCCTTCAATACTACTCTCTATCATGAATTTAACTTTATTTTAATTAAACCCAAACTAATTGATCAGATCATTGCGAAGAGTGAAAATATCTTTCTTAAAAATATCTCTTAACAAATTATTAGCATAATCTATAAGCGAAACATCAAAATCTTGTTAATCAATCAATTCGTAAGATCCTTAAAACTTAGCATCACATCCTCTTTAACCTAACCTTTTAAGTAGATGATTATAACCTTAGTATCTTTAACAAAATAAATCAATAGCTTCTTTTTCACCCATCTTTTTAATATCTTCAACAAATTCTGTTAAACCTGATTGTAATTTAAAATAATTTAAAAACATTTATTGATTTTTTTTGGAAGATTATTTTTAGTATTAATCTTACTGTCTGTGCATATAAATCCTGCATTTTTAGTGCTAGCTCCTGTAGGTAAAATACCTCTTTCAAGAATAAGAATTTTTTTATCTGAATTTTTTTCTAAAATAGAACAACCAACTGATAACCCAACTAAATATTAAATTACAGGAGTTTATAAACCTTATAGTGTTTTAAAAAACTTTGTTACCTATCCCACCTCCTACTATGATTACATCATGCTTTAGGTAGCTTTGTTTCTCCCAAATACTAAACATTCGATACTTTTTTAATTTACTAATTTAATTAAATACTTATTTTTATGATTTTTAATTTGTTATTAACACAATATTAACTATATAAGATATAAATGATGCAATTTTTACACAATAATTAATAAATATCACAAAACAAATCTTATTATTTTAGAAGAATATTTTTTATTGATTTAATTCTTTAATTAATAAAGGTTTTTTTATTTAAATTAAAAGAAAAGTTTATATATTTAATTATCAGATAAAAAATCAAAATTTTAATGAATAGGCTAAGTAAATCTTTGAGAATTCTAAAATTTAATTAAGGAAATTCTTTTCTCTTCAGAGATTTTTGATTACATAAATATCATTAAAAATATTAAAAGATAATTTTTAATTCACCTAAAAAATTAAAATTTAATAAAATTAACAATTTATATCAAATTATTAGCTTAAAATCAATGAATTTTTAATAAAAATATCTTTAAAATTAATTAAAAATGAAATTTTAATTTAAAGGCAATTTAATTTAATAAAGCAAGTCATTTAGTAAAACTTTAATATAATTTTTATTTATTTTTTGATTTAGATTATTTTATTAATAATCTTATTATGAATAATAAATACTAGAACAATTTTTTTTCTTGCATTAGAACAATTAAATATATTTTTGAAAAAAATTGAACAAGCTATATATACTTCTATTTATCAAATTTAAAATTAATTTTTTGCTATAAATTTAATAGATCATCTTCTAAAGCTATTTATCATATTTATATATTATTTTATAACTAAATGAATGAATAGTTTAACTTAAACAAAATAACAACATTTTATTATTTCACCTAGACTAAACACATTCTTAGATTATCAAAAATACAATTAAGTAATTGAGTAAATTTTAATAATAAAGTAGAGTAATAATAATGTAAATTTTTTAAGTACGTAGATATATATAGATTTTTAAAAAGTAAATAAGTATTTTTATTATTTTTTGATAGAAAAATGAAAATTTTGTATTCTTATTGCTTTAATTCTAGTTGTATATATATAATATTTATATATAAATGTTAAGAAAATGAATAATAAAATACAGAATATTTCTTAGAAAAGTAATATAGAGGCTAATTTTCAAACACATAAGTATTTTTGTTGAATTTTAAATATTTAAATATCAAACATACTAATATTGCTTTTATTTTGGCTTGATTACATAATATTTTTATATTAATTAACAATAATATCAATAGATAAATAAGATTCTGACAAACTTCTAATATTATTAATAAAGAATTATATATTTATTACAAATAAACATTATTGCTGACTTTAAATAATAGAACCTTTGATTTGCTGCTAAATATAATTACATATTAATTTCTAAGAATATCATTTAAAAAATAGTAATAGTGATAAATGAGGGATAACAGCGAAACAACAGAAATATATAAGAATGAACAAAGTTCTTCCTCTTAGGAAATGGACATTGATGAAGTAAAAACATTTTCAGAATAATAAAACATTTTTTGCACAAACTCATAACTAACTATCAATTTGGAATACCAAATAGGCGATGGAAAAAGTAGGTTAAAGGCATAAATACTAAAAAGTTATAGTTTTCTTTTCTTCTTTAACTATGTTTTTTGCTACATTTTGTTATATGGTCATTCCTTATTACTTAAGTCCTCCAACATTTGAATGTTTAAAAGATGGTAAATGGACAACTTGCGATGAAGACAACGTATTATAACTTGTGTTAGACTACTTTAAAACTAATCTATCTATCATTTTATTGTAAAAAGGGAGCTTGTGATGCTAAAATTTAGTCAAGAATGACAACAAATGTTGACTCAAGTATATCTGCCTAACTAGAGCTTTATTGTGATAACAGAACATGGAGAACGATAATATAGAGCACTCCTTATTTTGGTTGTATTGTGGGTGTATTTATTTTTAACTACTTTTCAGACAACAAAGGTAGAGCAATAACTATTAAAGTATGCTGGGTTATTGGTACAGTTTTCTCTCTAATATTAAATTTTTCTACAAATATTCCTATGCTTTTAATTGGATCCTTTGGTCTTGGTTTTGGCATTCAAACGCTTCTTTCATTAGTGATTGTAAATTGTAATGAAATTTCAGGTAAACATTTTTAAATTCTTTTATTAGGAATAATTATAGTGTTATAGCATATTAATATTGAGTTACTCCCTTCAAAAAATTTGTTACTCTTAACTCTAAATTTATTTACAAATTTTTTTAAAATAATAAATTTATATTTAGGAGTAATTTTTAAAATCTATTAATTTTTAGAATTAAATTAATGTAAAATATTATTTAGCTGGCTAGTTTAGAGTTATAGCAGTCATTCTTCTTTATGTCTTATGGGCAGTAAATGAAATGTAATACATTTGGCTTCTTAAAGTTTTTCCTAATTGGAAATGGTGCACTTTTATTTGCTTTACAGCCCCTATGTGCTTACTCACCGCATTCCCATTTATTTTTATTCGTGACTCTCCAAGGTATTAATTTTATAAATTTTTTAATAAGATATAACTGAGTAACTGGTATTAATTAAATAGATATTTGTATTAGAAAAGCAGACAAAAATGTTTAGAAGCTTTAAATTATATTGCAGATTTTAACAAAAGAGAAAAAATTAGAGAATATGATCTTAAAGAAGAGGGAAGAAATGATGACAGAACATATAGCTACATAGACTTATTTAGATATAAATCTTAAAGAAAAACCACCATTTTTATGATGATTCTTTTCATATCTCCCCATATTTTATATTATGGAATTTAAGTTTCATTAGACCAGCTAGGTTCCTCTTTTGAAGAAAACTCATTGTATATCGGTATAGGTGAATTTATTGGATATGTAGCTTCAGGTAATTGATTAACTGAAATATTTTAAACTTTTAAATTTTATTCTCCAAAATTGCAACAAAATAAATATTATAAAAATAGATTTGATTTCTCACAAAATTCCAAGAAAGAAAGGAACATTTTACTCTTTGTTAGTTACATGTGCCCTTTGTATTTCTTTCATATTCTTTTAAATTCCTGAATCATGTAAAAGTTCTGACTAAACATGCTGGTAAAAGCCATTTTAATCTTTTATGGCTGCCTTATCAAGATGCATAGTTTCATTAACATTTAGGTAATAAATCTATTTAAATAATAAATAATGTTAAACAAATTTTTTTTATATAGTTTAATGGTTCTACTTTGTGGTGAAACATATCCTACTACTTTAAAATCAGTTGGATATGGATTTAATTTTGCTATAGGAATGATTGGTAATTAATTTAATCTATAAAATATGTATTATTAACATTTTCTTTATGAAATAAAGGTAGTTTCTTATCTCCTTACATAGTTGATATTTCTAATAGAATGGGAATTGTTCCAGTTGCAAGCTTGGGTGTTTTAACATTAATGGGATGTGTTGCAGTATGTTTTTTAAAAGAAACTCTAAATTAGCCTATGCTTTAAGAGATACCAGAACTTTAGATTAGAGCTAGTAGTAGAAAATCATTAGTAATAGATATAAATAATATTCATTCGAATGTATAAGAAGATGAGAATGCTAGTGATGTAAAATAAGAAAAAATAATTCATATTAATTGAAGCATTTTAATGTAAAAAAATTTAAAAAATAATAAATTTCATATAAAATAATTCTTAGCTTTCAATACTCTTTTTATTTATAATATACATACTTCAACTTTTCCATAAAAAGTAGAACTTTTATCATATTTTGAAAATTTACTTTTAAGCTCTTTAAAAGAATAATAATGCTTGTTTGTAATAATAACTTCTTAGAGTATTTATATATGTGGAATGAAAATTAAAGTTAAACATCTAAATTTACAATTGAATTTTAGTATAAGAATTAGTTTAATTAAAATAATTAAAACAAAAATATTTCTTTTATAATAAACAATCATTCATTAAGATTGACTTTCAAATTTTAATGAATTTTTTGTATTTTTGTTGACTTTTATAAATTTAAGTATGAAAAAATAACAATATTGCTTTTACTTTGGCTTTATTACAGAATATTTTTTAATTAAAATTTATTAAAACCAATAAATAAATAAGATTCTGACAAACAATAATAAAAATCTTATTTTAATAATATAATATAAATTTTTGCTGGTTTTATATCTTTTGCTTTGCTTTCTAAATTAATTAATTAATTAATTTCCAAAAATATTTAATTTAAAAATAGCGAAATAAAGTAATAAACAATGAGGGATAGTAATCAACCAACATAAATATACTAGAGTGATCAAAATACATCTTTTGTGCAATTGGATATAGATGAAGTAAGGATATTTTTAAAATAAACCAACAATTTTTTATATAACTCCTATAAATAATTTTGAATAAAATAGGCTATGGAAAAAGTTGGTTAAAAACATAAATACCAAAAAGTTATAGTTTTCTTTTCTTGTTTAACTACATTTTTTGCATCCTTTTGTTTCATGGTGACTCCTTATTTCTTAAGTCCTCCAACATTTGAATGTTAAATAGATAATGAATGGGTAATTTGTGATGAAGACAGTGTAATATTATTTGTCCAAATCGCTTTAAAACTAACTTATGAATCACGTTCATTTTTAATAGGGAGCTTGCGATGCTAATATTTTATCAAGAATGACAATAAATGTGGATTCAAACATATCTGCTCAATTTGAGCTTTATTGTGAAAATAGAACATGGAGAACAATTATATAGAGTACTCCTTATTTTGGATGCATTATAGGGGTATTAATTTTTAACTACTTTTCAGACAACAAAGGCAGAGCTATAACTACTAAAATATGTTGGGTTATTGGTACAGTATTTGCCTTAATTTTAAACTTCTCTACAAATATTCCTATGCTTTTAATTGGTTCCTTTGGTATGGGTTTTGGAATCCAAACACTTCTTTCTTTAGTTATCGTAAATTGTAATGAGATCTCAGGTAGCGTTTTTAAATTCTTTTATTATAAATAGTTATAGTGGTTTAGCAAATTAAATCTTAGTTACTCTATTTATTTATTAATTAATATATTAAATTCATTAATTAATTTAATTATTAATGTTAATTTTTAATCTAAAATTTATTTAATTTTTATATTAAATATTCTTTAGCTGGTTAATTTAGGGTTATAGCTGTAATCCTTCTTTATGTATTATGTGCAGTAAATGAAATGTAATACATTTGGTTTCTTAAAGTTTTTCCTAATTGGAAGTGGTGTACTTTTATCTGCTTTACAGCCCCTATGTGTTTACTTTCAGTATTCCCATTTGTTTTTATCCGCGATTCTCCAAGGTATTTGTAATTTATCAGCTTAATACTAAATAAAAATTTACTAATCAAATAGATATTTATATTAGAAGAGTAGATAAAAATGCTTAGATACTTTAAATTATATAGCTGAATTCAACAATAGAGAAAAAATTAGAGAATATGAGTTGAAAGAAGAGGGAAGAAATGATGATAAAATATATAGCTATATAGATTTATTTAGATATAAGTCTTAAAGAAATACAACCATTTTTATGGTTATCCTTTTCATACCTCCCAATCTTTTGTTTTATGGAATTTAAGTTTCGTTAGATTAAATTGGTTCTTCTTTCTAAGAAAATTCATTATTTATTGGAATAGGTGAATTTGTTGGATACATAGTATCGGGTAATTTAAAATATAATTAATTGATTTTATTTTTATTAGGGATAGACAGTATAAACAGTTAAAAAAATTTTAATGAAATTTTTCGAAATTTTGTTTATTCGGTATACATTTTACTTTAATTTTTCAAAAATATTATTTATACGGTATATGGCATTATCTGAAAAAGTGATATATGGTCTATCCCTAATTTTTATAATCAAAATTAATACTACAAAAAATTAAAAATATAGATTTTATTTCTCACAAAATTCCAAGAAAGAAAGGAACATTTTTCTCATTGTTAATTACATGTGCTGTTTGTATTTCTTTTATATTTTTTCAAATTCCTGAATCATGCAAAAATTCTGACTAAACATGCTGGTAAAAGCCATTTTAAACTTTTATGGCTGCCTTAGCAAGATGCATGTTTTCAATAGCTTTTAGGTAAAATTAAATAATAAAAATGTAACCTTAAATCATTTTTTATTATAGTTTAATGGTTCTTCTTTGTGGTGAAACATATCCCACTACTTTAAAATCAGTTGGATATGGATTTAATTTTGCTATAGGAATGATAGGTAATTAATTTAATGTATAAATATCTATTTTAACACCATTATTATAAAATTAAAGGTAGTTTCTTATCTCCTTTTTTTGTTGACATTTCTAATAGAATGGGAATCATTCCAATTGCAAGCTTGGGTTTCTTAACATTAATTGGATGTGTTGCAGTATGTTTTTTAAAAGAAACTATTAATTAGCCTATGATTTAAGAAATACCAGAACTTTTAGTTAGAGCTAAAAGTAGGAAATCTTTACTAATAGATTCTCTTCAAATCCATTCCAGTGTTGAAGAGGAAGTTAATGAAACAAACAAATAAAAGACTATTCATGTCAATTGAAATATTTTTAAAATTATAAAATTCATAAAAAAAAATATTTTTCTTTTATTATTCTCATTTTATTTTGGAACGAATATTATCTATCATATAAAATTTAGATTTAAACCATAAATTAAACATCAAAAATAATATAATATTTACATAAATTTTGTTTTAAAGCTATATTTAATCTTTAATACATATCATTTATTTATTTAAGAAATGACAATAAATATATAAAATTATAATATTTTAATTTAATATAAATTTATTAAGTATAATTTATCAAATAATTAAAATATTTTTATATAATTTAAAACATATTTAAATAATTTTTAATTATTTTGAAGCAATATTTAATCTTTAAAATAAATCATTTATTTATTTAAGAAATCACTATCAATTTATAAAATTATAATATTTTATTTAATATGTATTTATTAAGTATGATTTATGAAATAATTAAAATATTTTTCTAAAATTTAAGATTTAATAATTAAGTTTTTTTTTATTTTTAAATTTAACAAATAATAAATTTTAAAAATTATTTAATTAGATCATATTTTACTAAAAATTGAGCTATTTAATATTTGTTATGAAAAAATGATATAAGAAAATATTATTATATGAAATTTATTAACATAAATAAATAAATTAATTAATTATAACTCTATAATTTGATATAAAATTTGATAAATTTATAAGCGATATATTTATTATAACATAACTCATTTTGCTAGCTAAGTCACATCAAGATCTAGCTATCCTCCTAAGGTATAGAATTAAATAAACGACTCTTCTTTATAAACCTCATCTAAATCATTTATAAAATTTAAAAATAGCTATAGCTTTTCTAATCTTTATTGAGCTTGCTAAAAATAATCGAGATAAGACTGTTTAGAGAACAAAGAAGTTATTTTTGAGATTGACCTTGAAGGAAAGCTTACAAATTCAACTTTTTTAATATTTTTTTGAAGCTAATTTTTTAGTTCTCTAAATTACTTGTATCTTCTTTTAACTAAATAGGTTAGTCCATCATTTCTAGTTACAGCAATATTATAAACAAATATATTTGGTTTTCCTGCTCTATCAACTTCTTCAATTGAAATGATCAAAGCAGTTAATTTAAGAAGGGATCCAATATCCATAGTAACGATTTCGAGCTAAAGCCATGAAAAGTTTTTATCTAAAAGCTAGTCAACTTTACAAGAGTCATTTTAGCTTCCTTAGTTAACTTTATCATTTAGATTTTTACTTTATTTAAAATCATTTTGCTAATTTAATGACACATTTCTAGTTTAGCTTTACGGAGAGAGATTTTCTCTCTAGTATTTTGTTTCTGTTTAACTAATTCCGTCAGTAATTTATTTTTAGTTCATTATACTGAGAATATTATTATCGGAAATATAGAATGGAATAGGTTTTTCAATTTATACAAAGTAATCTTCGAAATTTGATGAATTTATCCCTGTTAGCTTTGAAATTTGATCATCAGGATTATTTTTTCTATTTACTGAGTATTTATCACTTATTTAGGTTTCTTAGATAATACTAGGATAATAAATTGTTTAAGAACGAGTTTTAAAAAAGTTTGTCTCTTTTTCGACCTCTTAATTTTTGCTTTTTAAAGTTTCTTGTTCTTAAAAATTGTTAGAATCTTCAGTTATTTTATTCATTTTAAGCCATATATTCCACTTTTTACCTGAATTAGTAGGCACTAAAAAAAATTCAACAGGAATTACTTAAGTATTCATCAAAGTTTTCTCCATATAGCAATCGCTATCCATGACATCTACTATAATATACTTTGATAAATCTTTCAAAAATATTTTTTTTTCAGATTGTTATTCTTTTGGTGGTTAGCTACTTTTCCACCTTTTATGCAGAATAAATCTGCCACTCTCGCTCAAATCATTTAATGATTAGGTTTTTTCTTTACTTATTACTTGGCTTTCCTCTGTAAATTATTAGGTTTCCCTATCTTAAAATCTAACAGCTCCATCATATGTTTTTTAAGGTTTTGTCTCAAAAAGTAAATTTGTAGAAGTGTGAACTGATACAAATATACTAAATGGACTTTGCTGATTTTAGTTATTTCTTTATTTCAAAAAGCTATTTGAATGCAAGCTGTCTTGTTTTTATAATTCATTATTTTCAAATAAATAATTTTTGTCTTAAAAATTAAGTTAGTTGGTATCTTAGTGTCGAAAATTTTAGCTAAATAATGAGTCTTTTGATTTATACTCCTCTGTATCTCTTTTTTCTCTAATACCTTTTAATAAATTAAAGCCGCTCACTACTTTTACTAATAAATATGGCTCTTCAAGAAGTGCTTAATTAGGGCTATTCATATAGTCAGATAACTTTGTATTAAAAATATTGACAGTTTATTTTATTTTTTAATTTCTACTGTATGTAGTAATTAATTTGCCAAATCTTTCTTTATTATGTTAATAACTTAACTAAATGGATTTCTTTTTATGGTTAATTTAGTTTTTATATTAATAGAAAAATTTGATTCTTTAATTTAATCAATCTATACTAAGAATGACTTTTTCTTGATCAGAAAACATTTAAGTACCAATCATAAAAATTATTATAGTACATAAAATCTAAAGAAAGCTGTTAATTACTATTTATAATTCTCCCTATTATATTTAATTTAGAGATGAGATTATTAATGTTATCATTTATTCATTCAAAATCTTTTATTATTTTTAAAAAAAATTTTTATTAATTTGTTTAAATTATATTTGTATCAATAAAACCTATTTTAATTTTTTATTTTCATGAAATATTTTTTATCTTTTCATTATTATAAAATTTGACTTTGGTATTTTAGAAATTAATTTAAAATTTTAAAAAATTATTTAGCAAAAAATAATTTCAACTTTTGATCAAAATATAAATTAGTTAAAAATATTTTTAAATTTTAAATGAAAATTTAAATTAATTTAAAATATTATTTGAATTAAGCTAGTAAATAACATTTTAATTTTTAATTAATTTAGTATTTTAGCATTTTTGAAAGCTAGGAAGAAAAATATTATGAATAATTTAAAAAAAACAAAATACGTTTTTCATTTCAACTTTTAAAAATATGTCAAAAAAATTGTATATTTCTCCGCAAAAAGAAAAACACTCTTGATAAACAAAAAAGATATTCTTAGAATAACAAAAATCATATAAAAAATAGACTATTTTCCTATATTTAAGGCTGCAAAATTAGAACTTGAGCATATTCTTGCTATTGTTTATATTGTTTATTAGAGTTCTTTTAAAATCAGAAAGTAAAAAAAATTAAATATATAATTAGAAAACGAAAAAAAATTAATTAAATTAAATTTAATAGATAAAAGGTAATCTAATAGAAGATCATTTTAGATAGATTATTAAAAATTAGATAGATGAGACAAACTTCAATTCTACTTGTTTCCCTCTTTTTATTAGGTTGTTTTTGTTTAGATGTTCCTGAAGGCTGCAGTAATATCAGTATTTCCACCTTTCTTAAGGATGACGGAGAATTCGCTTATGATATAATGAATAAAGGGTAGCTGAACCCTGAGTGGAAATACGAGAATGACTCTATTAAAGATTCTGATTCAACTGAGTTAGATTTTTTATATATCACTGTCTTTGGTAAACATGATAAACTCACTAAGAAGAACTTTTAGATAAAGACAAACTCCTCAGAAATAGTTTCAAATACTACAATTTTTATTGAAAAAATAGTTGATCACGTAGATAACAAAACTTATTCTGTACGTATCAATTACAAGTGCAACGAAGACGCTTCAGCCCCTATGAAATTAAATTTCTAGATTGAGACCATTGAAAAGTTGTGTCCCAAATAATCTAATATTTTCTGGACTCGTTAATGCGGTGATAATGAGCCTCCTCGTATGGGATTTTAAGTTGATTACAACATAAATCATAAGTATAACCATACAGTAGTTGAAAATGGGTAGCTTATAGATGCAGATTATTTTAGTGAAGATTATGAAGACTGGGTACTCCGTATTCCTAAACGTGTAAAATACTCTCTTTTCTTTGCATCTCTCAATTTCTCTCAAGAAATGTATGCCCACAACGATTTAACATTTGAAGAAATAGACTAAGTTTTTAAATCAAAAGATCCTGAAACTAAATTACAAACACATCAATTATAGTTTGAAAAAAAATTAGATATAGATAGAATAACAATGAATTATGACTAATAAATTTTAGATGTTGATCTTAAAGGTTCTATAGTAGAAGGAGGTTCTATTACAGGTGATGCTGTCCCAATTTACTTAGAATATAAATGCAGACGTGGAGGTGTATCTGGTGTTTAATTGACTTTTGAAATGTAATTTTTCAGAAATGTTAACATTTTCTTTGAAAAAGAATGCCCTCTATAACCTGGTGAAGGAAGTGGGTTATTTGGCACCATTGCCTTCTTTATTTTAATATTCTTTGTAGTTATTATCATTGTTACACTCTATAATGTGTTTGCTCTTGAAATAACTGGTGTCAAAGCAGTTCCTTTTGCTGTACCAGTTTTATCAGGATTGTCTAAAATACCAGGAGTTAAAGGTACTTCTGTTGGTGATAAATTATATAGCTTAGCAAATCCCTCATATTCATCAAACACTTTGAAATAGGATTCTGTAAATACAGTTTCAAGTCAAGTATCATAAGATGAACGCGAATTAAATAATTCAGAATTTAAGATTAAGAATATAGCAGAGAAGGATGAAGAAAGCAATTTAGATGACTCAGTTATATCAAGCGGTAATAATGTTGTACCTCAAGTAGGCAATTACGGCTCAATTTGATTTTTTTTATTAAGTTAGAATATTTGTTATTAATTATTATTACTATTTACTTCTATGTAAGTTTGTTTTCTTATTTTAACAAAATACCCTTCCTTCTTTAAAATAATATAAATATTTTTAATTCTCAAAATTATTTTTATTGATAAATAAATAAATAAATATCATTCATTTTTTATTTTAACAATATATAAATATACTCAATTTTTAAAAATCTTTTCAATTTTTTCTAATTAATTTTATGTTTTTTTTTGTTATTTGTTGCTTTTTTAATAATTTATTTTTTTTTAAGAATCTTTTAATTGAATTAAGACATGCTTAATAGAGTAAAGTATTTCTTATTTTGATAACCAATTACAAATCTTAAATTTTTAATTATTAATCTAAATAAATACAAATAGAAGTAATTTATTTATTAGTTTTTATTAAATTATATCTTTTTTATTAATAACATAAATAGTGGTTAATATATATTGCTTCTATATATTATTAGATTAATAGTCATGAATTAATTTAATTTTAATATTAAAAAATTAACAATATCAATATTTAGATCAAATTAAATAAATTATAGTTAGCTGTTTGTAAATCAAATAAAAGGTTTAGGGCATATTATCAAAAATACAAATCTTTGCATCCAACAGATTGTTATATAAAATAATCATTTAAACTGAATCTTTTAAATAATTTTGAAAATAGTAATTTATGTATGAATTCATTAAAGAACTAACCTTAGCATATCAAAATGTTTTAAATTAGAAAATACGAATCTCAAAATTTAAACCTTTTGCAATTATTTGTCAATAAAGAATACAGCTACATTTCTTAGCTTAGTGATAGCTAAAAAGAGTAAAAGTTTAAACCAAATTATGAAACAAAATAGAAACCTATTGTCTACTTAAACAAAATAATTTCAAAAGTTTTAGAAAGCTTATTTCAATTTGTAAATTCTGAGATAACTTTTTATAAAATCGATTAAAATAAATATATAAAATATTGGTAATTTCTTTTATCTAGCTAGGTTTTTATATATATTGAATCTTAAATTTTTTAAAGATGTGAATGCTATCTAGATACATAGTATAATGCTATAATTATGAGACTTTCTAGCTACTTTACTTAGGCTTGTTAAATATTATTAGATATTAAAAATGATGAAATCATTTAAAGTTGGAAAAACCTTCTTAATTTTATTGAGAAAATAGTAAATGAAAATTATTTTAAATTATAAAAGTATAAAGAGAAAGTCTAACAATAGTATTTTTGTTTAGGATATATCAAAAATACAATTGAGCATTTTCAAAAAAATGAATTTTATCAGCTAAATGATAAAGATTAAGAAAAATATTAAGATATAATAAACTCGATACTAAACCTCAAAATGAAAGATTATTTACTTAGCGATGATGAAGAAGATGATAATCCTTAAATTAATGCATAGTAAAATACCAGATAAGATAAATTCTACTTCCATACTTAACCAATTAGAGAAATCTAATAGTCAGCTTAATTTAATTCTGAGTTTGTTGTTGAGCCTGAACAGTAAACTTATGCAATTGCATCACAAAATAATATAATTTCATCATACTACTTAAAAGAATAATCTACATAGCAAGAAAACGGAGATGGAATTGATACAAAAAATGCTCTTTCAAATCGATAATCTAATAATCCTCAATCTACTGATCCTCAATCATTATCTCAATTTGATTTTAATATGAATAGTAATAGTAATAGCAATAATAATAATAATAATATTGCTTAATTAAATGAAAATTAAAATATTTAACAAGCAAATAAAAACAGAGACTAAGGGCTAATTTAAACAGAAAAAGATAGCTTGTCTGTGAAAACTAGCAGTTCTAATAAGAGTAAACTACTTTAATAAGGAGTTATATAATAGTAAGTGAATTAAAATTAATAACCTATTTAGCAGTTTTAAAATATAAAAGGTATTTTTGTTTTTTTTATGTAAAATAAATTAAAAAAAAAAATATTTATTATTTAAAAGGAAAAAGAGAGTCTTTTTTGCTTCCTTCATCTTAGTTTGAGTTTTAAAGTAATATTAAAAATGGAGGTATCAGCCAACATCTTTTGAATAATTAGAATGATAATGTAGTAAATAATTCTTATTTATCTAATTGTCTGAAAGAAGAAGAAATATTAAACTAAAATGGAGAAAATATTGCAACAAATAATGGTTTCTTTTCAAGAAAAGTATCTGACAACCTTTTAGATGACCTTGATCAGATAGATTAATCATCAAAAAGAGATTAGGATGAAAATGGTAGAATATTTTAATTAAATTACTTTTATTTTCTAATTGAATACCTATTTTATTTAAAAATAGAAAATTAAAAAAAAATGGATACTTTCGATTAAGAGTCTTAAGTTTCTAAAGCTAGCTCTAACATACACTCACGCAAATCTTCAGAAAATACAAGCTAAAATATAGAGGATTTAAGCAAAAGCTTAGACTATTTAAGTCAAATAAAAATAACAGCAATTTAAGAAAATAAGCAAAAAAAGTTCAGCTAAGACAGCTAAAATAATGTTAGATCTAGAGAATTTTCTTTTAAATAAGATTTAGTGGATTAAAAAAAAGATGGTGCAAAAACTATTAAAGAAATTGAGGAGCTCATTAATAAAGAGCTTGGAAGCTTAAGTTAGTAATTAGGTTAACTATAGAATTAGTCTGATAACAATCAAAGCGAACAAGAAATACAACATCCACCTCGTTCTTCTATATTAAGCTAAATTGCTAGAAGATCTCGCGTTAGAGGATCAAATATTTAAAGTGAATATTCTGTTTATGAAGTATAAAGTAGCAGGGTTGAAGAAAACATAAACAATTCTCAGTATATTGAGAGCGAAAATTACAGTTCTTTTGATTCAGATGATTAAATGAATGGAGAAAATAATAATAATTTAAAAAGAGGTGCAATGGAAAAATATACAGCTAATGGGAATCTTTATATGAATGAAGATATCATTTTAGATGAAAATGAAAGCGATGAATAAGATATGACTGATTCTTTTGATAACAAATATATCTATACAAGAAATAGAAGCAATGTTTACTTTGAAAATAAAATATTGAGAAGCAGAAATAGCCATCTTGATAAAATTCATAAGTTTTAAAATAAGAATGGATAGTTAGGTAGAAAGATCTCTTAAATTCAAGATGATTTATTTTAAAACGAATAAAATTAAAATTCTTAAAGCAATTCTAACATAGGAGAAAGCTAAAGCAATATTTTTAATAAAGAAGAATAAGAGAGTCATAGAGACTATTAAAGTGAATTGGAAATGTAAGTAAAAATTTCACAAGAAGAAATAGATTAAATTAAATAGGAAGTTATTTAAGATATTGAAAAGCTAAGAGTGAATTTAGATAAAACTTTAATTGGAAATGGTCTGGGTAAAAACTTCAAAAAATACTCATTTCCTTTAGTTTTTAAAAATAAAGATAACAACTTAAAAAAAAGACTTCAAGAGAAGTATAAACTTATTTAAAATTTTTAGTATCTTCTTAATTTAGATTCAAACATTTTTGCAACTGATTAATAGCTTTATGATTAATCAAGCAAATTTATATATACAAATAATTTGGAATATCTAAAAATGATGAATAAACTACCTGAAAACACAGAAGAATTAGTAAAGAAAAAGAAAAAGAGTATAGAAGAGATATAACTAAAATATCAAACGAGGAAACCCTCCTATTTATAACAATTAGAGTAGTTAAAAAAATCTAATGAAAAAAAAGAAAATATATTCTAGAATGATTCAGAATCAAACAACAATAACGATGTGTTCTCTTTAAAAAAGTATCTTAAATAAAATGGAGAATCTCTTAAAAAGAACAGCTAATAGCCTCTCTACAATAATTTAAGGCAAAGAAAGAGTGTTGAATAAATTGCATATAATTCTATAGAAGATGAGATAGAAGAAGATGATAAGCATTTTTATGATTAAAAAGATTAGAGAGGGTTCAGTCTTTAGATGTATGCCATTAACAAGCATAATTATTATTTGTAGTTTAAAGAATAAGCTACTGATTCTATATTATAAAGTATGTTCCAAACTATGGAAACATTTAGTTAAATGCTAAAAGAAGAAGATTAAATGCTAAATAAAAAAATTAATAGAAATGAAAATAATATAATTAACAATAATGAAAATGAAAATAAATTAAGATAATACAGTTTACTGTAGGATATTAACTCAACGTTAAATATATAATCAAATATTTCATCTCCAAAAAAAATTGAAAATTCTGTCAATTAAACTTAGGTATTTAGCAGAATGTTTTGAATTCTTAGCATCAATTTTTTAATAAATTTAATAAAATATTTTAATTAAATTAAAATTTTAATTAATAAAATATTTGCTCATAAACATATAATAAATTAAAAGGAAAATTTTATTTATAAAGTATATTTTTACCTTCATCATTGAAATAAAATTATCAAAACAATATCAGTAAATTAATAAATTTCAAATCATATTTTATCTATAAAAATTATTATTCATCGAATAAAATTTTAAAAAATTTTGCAACAATTATGTTTTTATATTATTTAAAATAAATTAAAAATAAAATTATTATTTCTCACATTTAGGTTTACTCATAGAAATCAAAATTAAATACAAAAAAAGAAGTATTTTAATTAACAAGAAATAACGAGCTTTTTAATAAATTATTTCTTAAATTGGATATTTGATAAAAATAAAAAATATTTAAAATAATTTAAAATTCTTCTAAAATTATTTTTATGAAATTTATTTGCTTCAAAAATTTTTATTTATGGACATATTCTGATAAATTTCAATATTAAAAATTTTAATGCTAATTTGCTTTGACTAAATTCAAACACGTTTAGTAGATTAAACATTAGTCAGGCATCTTTAAATAAATAAAAATTCATAAAATTATTATTTAGAAATAAGAGTATTTTATTTTATTTACTGTAATATATTTTATAATACATACAAAACATAATAAAATGCATGCTTTTGTTTATCTATTTTTATGAAGTTCTATAAACTTTCAGCTTTAAGGATCCTTAGCGATTAAAACAAATAATCCCATCAAACCTAAAACTACATACTTAACTGTAGGGTAATCATTTAAAATAATTGTTACCATTCCGAGATAAGGTAAGTAGCCTTTTACTTTACCTAAGACATCTTTTTTATGGATCCATAACTTAGGAGGTGAATAGAGACCTCTATCGTCACTAAAATTGTTATCACCCTTTGTTAAAATATAATATTCGTTATCTTCTTTTTCTTAAACAGCAATAACCCTGTGAACAATTGGAATTTCTTATTCTCCATTTTGATAAACTACGACATCACCTGTAGTAATCTTTTCTTCTCTGTTATACAAGAAAAGGATATCACCTCTATAGTATAAAGGTTCCATACTACCTGTAAGTACTACGACTACAGGAGAATCACTCATTGTAAGTACCATTAATGTTTTCCAAATCATCAAAGCAGATCCAACAATCATAGCCAAACTAGCTCCCTAAATTAGAATTTTTCTAAATTTCATGCTAGCTATTTCTTTGATTGTATCTTTAACTATCGACAAAACCATTTTTATTAATCCTATATCTCAAAAAATTTATTTGACTTATATATTTTAACTTTTAATAATTGATTTAGTTTATTTTAAAAGATTTGCGTTTAATGCTAATCAATTTAAAACACAAAACAGTGCAAGCGTGTAATATTATTAATAAATCTTAGTTAGATATTTTTACATGCAATTTTATAATTCAACTATAAACTTTAGAATCATCAATCCCTTAAATCAATAATACTTTTACAAATGGTTTAACATCAAAAAGTTAATAAGATAAATAACTCAAAATATTATTTTTTTAAACGAATCAATTATTGTTTAAATTTTATAAAATAAAATATTTTTAATTAAAAATTAATGCAAAATAATTCAAAATTTAATTTAATTTTTGAAGTATTTTATGCACGAATGATTAATGTTTTTTAAAAAAATATAATAATTTTTGAGATATTTAAAATTATTCTAAATATATTGAATATATTATTTTGCTGAATGATATTGTATTTTATGCACAATGAATGATTAATGTTTTTTAAAAAAATATAGTAATTTTTGAGATATTTAAAAAATACTAAATATATTGAGTGTATTATTTTACTGAATGATATCTAATATTTAATATATGGTATTTTATTGTGAGAAACAAGAAGCTTATTTTTCTAGAATTTAAATATTTGAAAGACGAAAACATTAGAAGAGTACAGTATTTTTGAAAAATTAATTTTATTAATTTTACTAAATTTATTGACATTATTTTTAAAAATTTAAAGTGTTTTTATTAATAGCTAAAAAAAATAACTAAAACAAATTTACACAACAATATAATATTTTAGATTTCAGACAAAGCAAGCTGTTTTATATAAAACACTAAGAGAATTTATTTGAAAAATAAAATTTGTTTGTTTTATATATTTATTATTTATTTGGTAAGTGAAAAATATTTATTATTTATATATTAAATTTAAGTTTATCAATTTCAATGCTCGTTGTCATATGAACGAGATCTAGAGCGTGAGTGTTATTGATTTCTATCTCTTCTGCTATAGCTAAAACCGCCACTTCCTTTATTGCTTTGATGAGTTTTATTTGGGCAGTCTTTAATAAAGTGGTCAGTACCCTTACAGTGGAAACATTGTTCTTTTAATATAAAATATTTTAAAATAAATAAATCTAAAGTATTTTAAATCATATTTTACTTGCTCCAGATGCACTGCCCTATCCTGAAGAGGAATTATAGGATCTTTTATTTTTGCAGTTATTAGCAGCATGACCATATTTACCACAGTTTTAACATTCTATTTATAAATTAATTATGATTTAAATAATCAAATAAACTTTACAATTTAAAAATAAATAAAAATTTTAAATACTTTGTCCTCCAATGCCTCTCTCTGATTTTTCATATTTGACACCACCTTCTTATTTTATGCCAATAGTTCCTTAATTACTAAATGAGCTAGGGGTCTTAGATGCATATGGTTCTTCAGCTTTTTTTACATACTTTTTGTATTCGGGAGTATGGAAGCAATCTTTAAACCATTTAATTAAATCCTTTAATTGTCCAAAATACTTTTCATGGAAATAAAAGCCCTAATACTTAACTTTAATCCACTCTTTGGTGACTTAATCCTATTTAGAGCAATATAGCAAGACGATAAATTGAGGATATTTAGGGACACAACAAAAGTTATAGTGAATAATGTCTGGTTATTCTTCTTTATTTCTCTTTAGCTCCTATTCTATTTCTTCTATTGATTTTTTTGAAAACTTACGATTATCTTTAGCTGAGTTCATGTGATTATTGCAAGGAATGATATATCTGGAATTAAAATAGAAAGTAAGTAAGTAAGTATATTTAAATTACAAATTCATATAAATAAATTAATTTACCTTTCAATAATTTCATCAAAGTTATCAAACGATTCTTTGTCATTTAAAACATATTTCGTTTAGAACCCCTTTTCTTTGCCATATTCTTCCTTAAGTGATAAGTGGACAAACACGTCATCGAAGAATTTCCATGTTATGGCAAGGTATTGTTTACCTTTTGAACTGGGTCTAATAATAAATTCACCATTTTTTGCATTCTTCAAAAGCTTTACAGCATCTGTAATACTTATATTTTTAAAATTAGGATGAGCAATCTTTCTTGGTTCGAATTTCTTAGCTTTTCTTTCAGTGACATCAATACCCAATGGCTTGTCTTCAGCTTCAATGAACTAAATAAAAAATTAAATTATTATAACTTAAATTATACTAACAAAAGTAAAAAATAGAATACCTTGAAAGTACTAAGAATATCTAAGTCTTAAAATTATCTCATTTCTCTGACTAAATCATTAAATTTGATGGCTTTAAAAGTTAAAGTCACACAATTGACATCGAAACCAATAATTTTATCCTTGGAGCGCTTGTTGTCAAGGACAAAAATTTGATCAACATAAGCTTTAATAATATCACCAACCTTATAATTCTTTGATTCCTCTTCACTAACAAGTATGCTAGATTTTAGGTCGTTATCAACAATCTTAACAAGTAGTTAGTGTTGTTTTATTTATTGATTTTCTTTAGGTCTAATTTGAATGATTTTTGCTGAAACAATCATTCCTTTACGGAATGTTTGAGGACTTTCTTTAATCATTTTGAAGAATAAGTCTTAATCGCTAATTGCTTCATAGGTATTTCTTTTATAGCTAAATGGGTTGATAAGCTCATCTTTGACAAAATCTAATACAGGAGCCATGTTTGGTTGATTTTTCATCTCCTCAAGCTGTTAAGCATAATCTTCCAAGTCCATAGCATCAATATATTTGGGATTTTTCATAACATATTCTACTATATCTTCATCACTTTAGCTTTTAATTTAGAAGTTATCAGCACTGTCTCTGCAAATCTTTTTTGCAATTTTGTATACTAAATTTTAAAAATTGAATTATTTTTTTTTTGAAATTAAGTTTTATATTTTACAATCTTTGTTGATTCTAGTCTTTTCAATAGGGTCTTTTGAAAATCTAAATCTGATGAAACCATTAATATTCTTGAATACAACATCCTTTATATCAAGTTGAGTAATTAATAGACCTCTCTTTTTAGGTACTTCCTTTTCTTTTTCAAAAATTACAGCATTTTTTTCTAAGAGCTCAATTAGCTTTAATGCCTTTCTAGGTCCTAAACCACATACGTGTTATAGAAGGTGTTTAAGGTGAGGCTAATCTTAAAGCATATCCATTTCAACACCCATAAAATTGACTATTTAAACACAACATTTCTCTAGTGAGTACTAGAGCTTATCAAGACTAATATATTCTTAAGATGGATGAAGGGGGATATGAAGACACCCGTTTTGTTAAACATTATCGTTCCAAAGCGAGAGTATTTCTGCAGTAGGATTTAAAAGTATTCTTCCTGTTTAATAAATATTAGGAAATTATTTTAATAATCTAAGGGTTTGTTATTTTTACCTTATGAAAGAGCAACTCTGAGTACAGAATCTTTAAATTGTAAGGTATTTCCTGGTCCTTGAATTGTAGGTTACTTAGCCACAATTTATGGGATTGTGTCATCTCCATATTAAATATAAGATTAAGATTTTTCATATTTTTAATGAAGTAGATTTTTAAGTCTTTAAGATTCTATGCTATTGGCAGCAACAACAATTAATTAAGGTCCAAAAGATTTAAACTTAATTTCAAGTTCATGTTCTTCTTAGGTTTTTTCTAGTCTGGCTTTAGTTGAAAGCTAGTCTTCTTTCTTGGTGAAGTAGTTCAAAATCATAGAATTATTAGGAATTCCATTCTTTTTTTTAAAAAATTCGTTAATCTGTATTAAGAACGAGTTTTCATTAAAATATATAAGTTAATTTTTACTTCATCAACAAAGACAACACCTATTCTACCATTTGTGTCTTGGACAACTGACATTATTTTACCATTTTTCTAAGGTTCAACATTAATCATGTTGTAAAACTTTTGTTAGCATTAAGATACAACCCACTTTTCAGCATTTTCATGAAGTTCTATTCTTACTAAGCTCTAGGCATAAGGTAAGCTTTATTATTATAAATATTTTTTAGAAAACATTTAAACGAAAAAAGTTTATTGAATTACAAAAACTTATCACAAACATTTTCTATGTTGTATTTACGGAAGAAATTCCATTCAGAATTAATTTGTTTAATTTGAGCTTCTAAATTTTTTAAACTGATCATGTAATTTTTACTCATAATATCAAATATGCTGTTATTGTCTGAGTTATTATCATTTTCACTTTTTAAGAAAATCTTAACTGTAATAAAGTTCAATCTTTCAGCTTCTTCTAAGAGCAACCAAGTGTCATCAGTGAAAGAAGTGTAAGGACCTGTTAAATGTTAAATTATATTGATTTATCTTTAGAAATATAGCTATTTATTGAAATTAATTGTTTACGTTTATGAATTCTTTTAGCTGGGTATAGGGGATGGAACATATCTATTTACTTTTTACCAAGATCTGTGGGTTCAGTAGAAATTAAGCATTTTTATTTAAACATTTCATAATACCATTTTTTAAGGGGAGGATAGTTAAATAATTCATTTGATAGATAATCAACCATGCATTCTAAAGCCTCTATAGCCTATTTATAATAAAAAATACATTTAATATTTATCATCACTTTAAACATAAATTTTTAATTACTTCTTTCATACAAGGAACATTTGGGTTTTCTGAAATTAAATTATCAGCATAGGCTTAGGGCTTATTTTGTTGTAATTGAGGTTAATTAATTTAGTTCATTTCTTCTAAGTTTTTAACGAGATCCTAAGGAGAAAGAGTTAAAGTACTAACTAACTTATGAACCTTACATTAAATATAAGTGTTAATCATTCTAGTTTTACGGTCTTTACGAATTTTTAATCTTTAGTGCTCCTTTTAAGGATAAATTTTGATAAATAGGTAATCAAAGTATTCCTTGATAAACTTAAGAGATTAAGTATCAATGGCTTTGTGGAAAAATTCTTCAACTTTTCTAACTTATTCAAAATCAATTATATTATTTTAAATTAGCAGAGGAGTATTCTCAAGTTCTCTTCTAAGCTATTAAATTTATAATAGAATGCGATTTTTTTGTCTATTGAATTGAGCCCATTCGCCATCTAAGTCATATAATCTCCATAAGTCTTCAAGATCAAATTGTGGATGAAATTCATTCTTCTTGTATGTATAGATATACATAACTTCTTCTTTATCCAAATGTAGAGATTGGAGGAAAGAGAATATTTTTGAATGGAAATTAATATCATTCAACTTCTTGCTACCCTTATAATCCTTTATAGTCTTAATTTTTTCTGATATCCATTTTGTCTCTTCCATGAGCTCTTCTGGATCAGGAGCTTTACGTCTGATAAATTAAATAATTAAACTTAATATTAAGCATATCTATATGTTAAAAAAGTATTTCATACCCCTACATACGAATCTATAAGCGCTCAGGTATATCCTCTTCTTTAATTTTTTTATCATCATCACGCTCGAAACGCTTTTTAAGATCATCAGGTTCAAAAAGCTATTACACATCAATGTAATCATCAACTTCTCTATTTTCCTAATAATAAGATACAAAGTATTTTATAAAAGAAGTATTTATTGTTTTTAGTTTGTTAAAAGCTTTACTATATTTTCAAAATAAGATAAAAAAATTTCTTAAAGTAATTTACATCATCTTCGTTTTCATTTTGCTCTTCTTCTCCTGACTCATCGTCCATGAAAAGTTCTTCAAAGGCTGTTTTTCCATACTTTGCGCCATAATCACCTACATCTTCTAAGTAATCTTCATTACCTTAATCTTCTAAATCCATCTTGTCTCCTTAATGACCATCATTACCGGTTCTACTTTACTGATTTCTCTTTCTATCAGGAATACCTTCTTCTGAATCTTCATGATACTCCTCAAGATCTTATATCTCATTATTTTCCATTTCATCTTCTGATAGTTCTCTCTTCTTAGGTCCTTTCTTGAGGATACGCCTGTGTTAATTTTATTTTTCCAATTTTTTTTATCTTTTCTTTTCTTTCTTGCGACGACGTCTTTCTTCGGCATCTTCATCCTCTTCTTCCTCAATTTCTTCCTCTTCAGAGTCTCCAACGACGAATCCATCCTATTGATAATCATCCTATTCATCATCGTCTTCTTCTTCCTCATCATCCTCTTCTACTTGATTGTTGCCATCTTCCTCTTCTTCTACTTGCCCTTAATAATCTTCTTCTTCTTCGTCTCCAATATTTCTCATTTAATCATCAACTTCTTCGTTTTTTCTTGGTTTACTCATTTTTCAAATATTTGCTGTGAAGACTAATGTTTATAATTCCCAATATTTGCTTAAAAGTGCCTATGTTAGCTACAAAAGTTTCCTCCTTGTGCTTTTTTGATTCTAAAATGCAAATCTATATTTAATTTTTTTATTAATCTAAAATATATAATTTGATAATGCCGCTAATTATTGTATAAATACTGGTAAGATACCAAAAAAGGAATACTATTTAATTAACAAATAATTAATTAATTAACTAATAGTTTGCTTGTTTGATATAAATATCAATCAATAACCAAGTCATTCCTTCTATCAAAAAATTAGACTAATAATTAGTATAAATTATTTATTTATTTATTTTCCTCTTTTGATTAAAAAAGCTTTATTAATAATAAGACTAAGGCAGGTGCTTTATCATAATTAAAATAATAATTAAAACAAAAAAACCAAACAAGTCTAAAAAAGAGGAAAAACACAATTTCCTTCTTATTTTTTCATTTTTTTTTATTTTTCCCTACTATTTTTCAAATTTTTAGCTCAAATCCTCTCTGATCTTAATTAGACACAACTTAATTTTGGTTTAAAACTACAAAAATTATAAAAAACTAAAAAATCTACAACATTTTAACATTTTATAAATTTACAAATACATAATATGGTAAACCTCAAAAAATTTGTTAGGCGTATTTATCTCTTAGCATAAAAGCTAAATCAAATTAAACAAGACTTTATCAAAAGATTTAATTTAATTGTTTGTAGAAAACTATTTTATATGAATTGGTTAATATTGAATGCTTAAAATAATACAATTTTAACAAAATAATGATAGTAAATAGATTAAAATCAATTCATTACCAATTAAATTGCTTTATCTCAAAAAAAAAAAATGAAATAGGTGCTAAGTATCATTTAAACCGCATAAATTTTATAATTTTATTTAAAATATTAACAAAACAAAAATTTTTTTGTGAGTGGAGAATGATATTATGCAATTATTTAATAAAATGAAGTAAATACTCTATACTTAATTATCTAATTAACTGCATTTATCTTGTAATATTTTAAAATAAGCCAATTATAAGATGATCAAATAATTATTTTGTGGACAATTCTTGTTATTTTATTTATAAAATTCAAAAATTCAAAAATTAGCACAAACAATTTTTAAAAGTATTTAAAATCTATGTCTTAAAATTACAAAACTTGAAGAAAAAAAAATAATAATAATACAGCTTGCTAAGAAAATATGTTTTATAAAATTGTAAATAATAATTTTAATTTAATTAATTTATATAATTTGCTTAAAATAATTTTGCTTAAAATTTTTTTGAATAATGAATTATCTTTATTTTGTAAAATAGATAAAATTTATTTTTATGAAGTTAATTCTTAGTTTGGTCTCATAATTTAGATTTATTATTGCAAATCATGGCAAGCAATATAGCTAAGGAGATTATATATTCTATGAATTTAGTAAACAAGCTTTTTTAATAGTATCTAATAACTAAGTCTCCATTTAATTTAGCTAAAATATTAGTATTTTAAGATCTACGTTATTAAATTTATTGCTTGAGAGTCTATCGAAGTTTAGATTTAAAGATTTTAAAATCTATTAAATATCCTTAAAAATATTATCCTGCTAATCCATTAAATCGGTGATTTTTTCTTCATTCTTATTTGATATGAACAATAATAGATTTTAATTAGAGTATATTTAAGACCAAGTTTATAATTTTTTGTAAGCCTTTATTATTTCGACAACACTTTCAAATGTGTTTTCAAATTCATTGTCAAATGATAGCTAATGTTAGAAATATAAGCATCTAGAAATTAAAGACTTTAAATTAAAAGTAAATTCACTGGACTTTACATAATTTTAAAAGTAAGTTTGTCTTTATAAGGAAATTAATTTGAAATTATCTACTTGATCCTTTATGTTGCATTCATGTGAGAAGCTATATTTACTCAGGCATTCCCAGCAAAATTCATATTAGCAGCAAAGGCATTTCATGTGAGAGCATCCTTAATTTTTTTCTATATTTGAAAAACATTATGGACAATTTTTAGTGTTTTTAATAATCCAAGTATTATCTAATTAAAGAGATTGTTCAAGTTAATTAAATTATTCACATGTTAATGGAAGATGTGATTATTATTTACAAATATTGCAATAATTTTAAAAGCAAGAAGAACAGTAAACACTTTTTTATACTTTTTCATTAACTTATTTAGCATTTTCTAATTAATTTGTATCAGCAATTCTTTGAACCATATCACAATTAGGAGAAGGACATTTTGAGTAGGAATTATGTGTATTCAAAATATCTGAAATAGCTTAATTTATTAATGTTTTAACTTATTTTAAACTAAAGAAAAATGTTAAATCCTAATACTCAGCAGTAATTTGGCAACCTTCTTGAGGACATTTAAACTCAAGAAATTTCTTACCTGTTTATAGGCAATTTAGCATATAAGATGTATAGCAATTTTTGCAAAATTAATGCTTACATTTCATTTAATAATGAGAGTCCTATAATTACGAAATTGTATAAGGATTAGTACAAATTTAGCAATAGCTTTTTTTCTGAAGCCAGTTCTTACCAAATTTGATTGTCTACATTAATTAATCTAGTTTACTTTTCAAATTTGATTTACTTCCATGTTATGCAAATGACTATAAGTATGTTTCTTCATAGTTTTAACTTTTCCAATTTTTAATTAATTCAACTAAGTCTATGTTTACATTTTTTGATACTGATTAGAGTTGATTAAAAATCCGAGATTAAAATGCTGTTAAAGTTTCTTCTTTAATAGTATTTTAGTTACAGATAAATATTTTTTATTATACTAATTACTCTTCTTCAGACAAATGAGATTGCGCACTTATGTAATCTTAACTGTGTTAAGATTTTATAAATAAATTTTCAATTGGATTATATGATGGAGCCTAGACTAATAAATTTTGACCGTCGGAATGGATTTTTTCTGTTTTAATATTAATTTAACTAAAAGAATTTTCCTATTAATTTTTTGATCTTATATTTAATTATTCACTCGAATTTTCATTGGTAATCTTTTAATTAGATTCAAGCACTTACTGTAACTCAAATACTTAGCTTTTATTTTGTTTATTTGGGTCTCTCATTAATCCTAATTAGTAGTCTAACCACTCTAGATCTTCACTAAATTGTTATGATTGGTCTTCATCTTAAATTATATTACCTTCTTTTTGGTTTTACTTTTTTTATGAGAAAGAATAGAAGGAGTCATCTGAGCCAACATTTACATTAATTTACTATTCAGATTTTGGTTTATTGTTAAAAGTAAAAAATTTGAATACTTTTGATAAAATAGTTTTAGAACTTTCAAGTTATTTCTTTTGTTCATTATTAACATTTTCTAGTTGTTTTGAATTAGATTTTTCAAACTTAGGATCTAGAGACCAGTTTTCTACTTTCCATTTTGTTATCTTAGGATGAAAAGAAAAATAAGATTTATTAGAACTTGTATCATCTTCATCTTAAGCTTAATAATCTAAGAGTTAATCGTTTTAAGCATCTTAAATTTTGTTGGCAGATGAATGAAGATTTTCTTTACTTTCTTCTAATGAATCCGTGTTTAAGGATATGCTGCATCTCTATTGGTTGCATTCTAATCTTTTGTTGGTATGTGTGTCTTACAAAATTGATGTCTCTTGGCAGTAATCATAATTCAAATATTAAGATACAGCCTCAAGAGTGTCATACGAATCAGAAAGATATGTTTCTCCTATCTAAAAGTTCACGTCAGTATTTTAAAAAAATCCCTAGATCTTAGAATGCAACTAATCTTACTTCTAAAAAGTAAAAAATTTTTCTTCATTGCCATCTTTGAATTTTAAATCATCGTTAAAATTGATACAAAGTTATGATTTAATGAGCTAGTTACTATTAAATTCTAAATTACTTGTCGAACCGATCTTTTGCTTTATAAAAATTTCTTGATTTGAGAAGAAAATTATATCTGAATTTTTCTAAGATATGAGTTGATTTTTGGTTATTATATCATTTTCTGATTTACACTTTAAAGAAAACTTAAAATTCAGCGCAAAAGATGTGTTTTTATCACTTGAAGACTCAGATCTGGAAATAGGAAATTAGATAGAAGTCTTTCTGTTTTGTGTTTTAACCATGTTTTCAAATATTATTGGTATTTTAATTAAATTTTTTTGTAATTAAATTATTTATACAAATATCTTAAAACAATATCTTTTTAAATTAATAAATGAAATGAAGTAGCTGTTAATTATAAGAAATTATCAGACTTTCTATATAGTTATATATTTTTTTATTTAATTGAGACTTAGTTACAATTTTAATATTTTTTTAATGATGGTAAAAAGAATAAATCAATTAGATACTTAACTTGCTTAAATAAGCTAATAAGTTTATAGAAATATTATTTATTTATCTGTTTCAAAATATAAAAACTCTTATAATATAATTTAATCATGCAGTCTTTTGTAAATATTAATTTATAGAAAAGGTATTTGATTTTTTAAAAACATTTTACAAATCAAATTAATTTACAGTTAAAAAAAATCTTTATTTTTTGAATAATAAAAGAAGATACTCTCAATCAAACCTTTTATTTAGTGTACTTATCTCATTACATAGAATTCTTAAAATCTGTCCAGCCTAAAATTTGGCTAACACCAAATAAAAACTATCAAAATTTATATTTTTTTAGAAATATTTACAGATTCGAAATTTAAAAGAAATAGATTTTTTATTTTTCTAATAATTCAAACAGACAAACAGAACAAAAAAACATTTAGTGAAAATTAAAAATATAATACAAAACTTATAGATCAAATAAAATACAATAATCAAGTAACGAAATATCAAAAAGCCTATCAAAATTATTCGATATTAGAAGATTCAAGCTATTTATTTTTTTTTAACTTTTTTGTTTTTTATAAAACCAAACCAGCCTGATATTTTCAGATTCAGGCTTTTCTAATAATTTAATTTTTTTGCTAAATATATTGCTTGCTTAATTAACTAATAACTTAATTGATATAGAAGAAAAGAATAATTTGAGTTTTAGAATAAAAATATTTATGGAATTTACATACTTTGAACTAATAATTAATGCATGAATCTAACAAATATAATACTTATATATTCTTCTTAATTTAATTAAATTTGAAAGGTTTTTTATAAATTAATTACAAGCGCTTAAAATGTAATTGAACTTCTCTCATTTTTTCTTTTACTCAGAACTTTATCTTGTTGCTCTAAGTTATTTTAATATAGAAGCAGCCTGTTCTGGATTTTCCTGTTTTTACGTTATTTTATGACATTATTATTTTTAAATTAATAAATTATTTAAATTCTTACCACTTTTACTTCATTTAAATTAATTTAAACTGAACACATAGGGCATCTTCCCTCTTCTGATTCAGCGTACTTTATAAAATAATTAATATTTGCTGGGAATCTGCAAGATGGGCAGAAACAAAGCTGGTCAGCAATAACGTGTCTATAACATTTAAAAGATTTGTTTTAAAAATAAATCAAAATTTAAGTTTAAATTATTTACGTTCCTGAAGCAATACAAAAGGGTATGACGTTTTAACAAGATTCACAGACTAACTAAAATTCGCCTACATATTCCTAAAAAAAATAATAAATTATATAAAGCTTATTATTTTTATTTTACTTTGCAGAATGGACACTCAGTTTTGTTTTCCACAGGCTCTTCTTTTAGTGGCTTTCTAGCAATGTTTTCAATTCTAGTTTTGTATTTTTCATTTATGTGTGAACGGTATTCAGGGCGAACTAATTCAACTGACCACTTGTAAGCTAGTGGTCTGTTTTTGCTTTTCATAGCTGCAATTACTGCAGATGTTAAAATATTGACAGCGTGAGTGGGGAATTAACTTATATTTTTGCAAACTCTGTTAAGTAACCAAGCTTTTTTATTATTAATATTAATGAAATAGACAGGATCATAAAAAATATAACAACATTTAAATACAATATTTTTTTCTCAATTATTTGAAAACAAAAAATCAATTAATTACCTGCAAGTTCTATTTCTTTATCTTCTTCTTTGTAAGCTAAATACTTTCTAGCCAAGATATAAGAGTGAATAATCATTAATTTTTACTCGAGGTCGAAAGGAATAGCAACATTATGTTCTTTTACTTTTTGATAAGTTTCGAAGAGTCTTTCATGAGCTATTTTGTAATTACCTTAATCATGTTCGTCGCTAGCAATAGTAATTGCTATTTTGACTAAAGACTAAATGTTACCTTATTTGTTTTTTAATGAATTATTCTTTATTTTGTTTGCTTAAATTAAATTTTCAATTACCCAATTTATCATACAATTTAAGAAGATATATAGGATCTTTAGGTTTTTCTCCTTCAAGCAAATAATCAAGAAGAGTCTGTTAAAGAGATTCTTGTTACTTATTTCTACAAACAAGATCAATCATATCATCAATATATTAATCCCCAGCCTTTAAGTAAAGCTTTAAAGATTTAGTAGGATTTTTAGCTTATTCGAAATGCTTAGCAGCCTTAACCCAAATTCTAATTAAATAGTTTAAAAAGATATCTAACAAATTTTTCAAAAATTTAAATTTTAATACCCTTAATTTTCATAATATTAGGCAATACGCAAACGCTCTTCTAAAGTGAAATCTTTCATATTATCAGAATAGGCATCCATGACATTATATTACTAAGCTTTTTAAAAGGCCTCTTCTTTTTTTCCAGCTTTGAGTAAAAATTCAACTAATTCACCCTTTTTTTATGAAAATGTATAATTAGATAACGCTATTCTACATATGAATAAATATTTTTACATAATTTCCTTACTTTTCACATACGTTAGCAACCATTAAGCAAACAGTGCTTGTATCACACTATTAAATAAAACAAATTTATTTATTTTTATTTATGAAAGAAATATTAAATTTACTTTAGTCCTTAAGACGGCAATTGCTTTTCTTAAGTTATCTAATTTATCCAGATTTAATCTAACAACATCTATAAAATTAATTATTAATTAATATTGATAACATATGTTAAAATTATTTTCAAAATTTAATTTTACCTTCCCATGATTCGGCTTATTCATATGTTTGTTCTGCTTCATTATATGCACCTTCGGATTCTTTAGCTTTTGCATATTGCTTAAGAAGATTGGGGGATTTTATCATGCTGATTAAAGGAGCAGCTTTTTTAAAGTCTTTTGATTCAATATATAAAGATGCTGCTTTTTCAAGCATTCCAGACTTTTGGTAAAGTTCAGCAGCTTCAAGATACTACTTCATATTCTCACAAACTACTGCTATTTCGATAACAATCTAAAATATATAATAGAAATAAGCTATTATGATCACTTTGTAAATAAGTTACATTATTGTCAATTAGTTCTTTAGCTATAGTAACACCTCTTTGAATATCTCCAAGTTTAATAGAAGTACGAGAAATACCTGCAAAGCAAAGTTAATTATGATTATCGATTTTGCTTCTATCTGAAGGACGATCGTCTTTGTTTAAAACAGCTCTTTCATATAATTTTCTGGCTTCTTAGTTATTTCCTTAATTCTATTATTTTTATTATTTTTATTCATATCATAATTTTTATTTATATTTTACCTCTATTTAGAAAGCTAATCTTCTGCAAATAAATGGCTCTTCTTAAGGTGCTATGCTTTTCGCAAGATTAAGAGCTGTCAAGTAATCTTGTATATCACTTCTCATTTCAAGAGCCAAAATAGGCTAGGATGATTTTAAGAATAACTCTTAAGCCAAGTCATACTGACCTAAAATCATAGCAATGTTTCCATATATTATATTTTTTTCATTAATATGCTAAAAGCTTTATATTGTCATAACCTAATATTAATTAATAAATCCTTAGACCAACAATTTTAAATTTAGTTAAATTACCATAGATAAACTTCCAGCAAGTTGATAAGATTTCAAGGCAACATCAAGATCAACAAATTCTAATGCCTTGCGTCCAAGCTCTTTGTAAAGTACTGCATTATGGAGAAATTGTGCAGCAATCAAACAATTATTGTACTTGTGCAATTGAAGATTTTACAGGAAGAATCTGTAGTGCCCTTAATCAGTGTCATCTCTACCTTTGTAACTCCCTAAGTAACTATGGGAAGTTAAATTCTAGCCGTTTATACTACCACTTGGTGTGAAGCACTTAAGAAGTCCATTTGATAATGTTAATGGTTTGACTCCTCTGTCTAAGATTGTTTAAACAGGAGGTCCAGGATTTTTTATGTCTTTGAATTTTATTTAATAAGATATTTTTTAAAAATTCTAAGAAAAGAATTAATTACCTTCAATAGCAAGTAGTTCTTTAACAGGTTAAATAAGAGTACCATTTATATTATTTTTATTAATTATGAATGTAATTAAAGTGTCATTTTGCAAGACAGCAAATAAGTTAGGGTCTTTTTAGTCCCATAGAACCTAATTAAGAATTTGTATTTAGTCATTCTATCAAAAAAATAAAATAAGAAATTACTTTTTCAGCTCTCTAAGGGAAATGCTCTAAAGGATAAAATTGCTCTTGTGCTGGTTCAAATAAATAAGCAGAACCTTTATTGTCAAAGCAAACAACTCTTGTACCTGAAAAGTTGGGATAAATCTTAACCAATTAGCAATCAGCAGGTTTGTACTCAACAACAAATTGTTGATCTTCTAAATGATAATATCTAATCTTACCAGATGAGTCTAGCATAATCAAGAAGTCGTTTGTTAAACCAATTCCTGATATAGCTTTATCTGTTTCGATTTGAGGGAATTTCCTTTTTAAAATAGATACTTTTAGTTGCAATTTTAATGAAAAATATTTACTAATCTTTGACATTGTTATTTGGTTGAATTGTATGAAGAATGCACTTGCCATCAGTTAACACTGCTGCCCAAAATTCATTTAGTCTGATGTCTTTAACACTTCCTAAATAATCTCTCTTTTGTATCATTTCTCCTCCTTTAATTATACCATTTCTTTTTTGGTCTAGCCATAAATAGTACCATACATTGTTATTGATACCTTTTTTAAAAATTTGTTTTGATATTTTTTTTATTTTGAAACATGTTTTTATGTAAATTTTTTATATTTAAAACAGCTTTTAATGATGTTATTTATTTACCTGCTGCCAAGTGATATAAACCTAATGATAAAAATCCTGGTTCAGTTTCTAAATTAATAGATGATACATTTTGTATTTGATTGATTCTACTTGTATCAACAATAGAAACTTCAGTAAAGGATGATAAGACTGAAACGATTGATCCATAGGTGCTAGTTAAGAATGGAATACTAGTTAAATAACCATACAAATGTCCATTGGCTGTAGCAACAACAAGCAATTACCCATTATTAGCCCATTACATTTTAGTTACATTACCTGCTGCTTTAGGAAGCTCTATTCTTTAAGATTTAACTTCTTCCCAAGTTCCAAGATTGTAGATGTGAATTTAATTTTCTCCAGCAACTGCCAATTTATAAATGATATCATTTGTACAAAGAGCATCAAGGGAACTTTAAAATATTCTCTTAGACTAAATTTCATCCCCTTTTGATTAAATATTTATTAAATATAAAAAAAAGGATAAATAAATCTGCTTACTTAATTCATATAAATGAGAAGAGACATGTGCAACATATCCTTCAGTAAAACCAGTAACTATATATCCATCTCCAAAAAGTTAATAATCAACAATTTTTCCATATTTTGGTTCATAAACAAGTTCTAATGGCTATTTCTTAGTGTTTAGATCATACATAAGTATACTTTTGTTGCTTAATATAGCAGTAATGGTTCTTTAAGAACTATCACGATCGTCTGTCTTTTAACGTGCCCATTAAAGATTACTGGGTTCATGCTAAACTGTAATAGATTCTCCTTTAGAATCGCTGTTATGGCTACTAACAGTTAATACTTTTTCTTCACTACCAGTAACTATTAAATAAAAAATTGAAATTCCTAAACTACATAATTTTAAAAGTGAATTAATTTTACTTAACAATCCTTCATCGTTCCAATCTCCTGTAGTGATTTTCTTTGAGTGCTTACCCATAGTAGGAATTTTCTTTTGAGTTTTTTTATTATAAAAATAAAGAATGCCTTTTTCAGTTCCAATCACAAGAACTGGATGAGTTTTAGACCATTTAATAAAACTTCCTTTTGATTTTTCTTCTAAATCCTACTATTCAAAGCTGTTTTAGAATACATTCCACAGCAAAAAGCATGTAGAGTTTTCCTATTTAATATTTGCATGAATTTATAAATATATAAAGTAATAGATAATAACTCTTATCTAGTACTGATTTAATATTATAAAATCTATCAATCAATAAATGTTTTAATTTTAAATTGCTTGTATTTAGTAGAATCGTACTTAAAATTAAGCTTCTTATAATTTTATAATTTAAAAAATTGATATAATAACTTTATATTTACCTATAATATTGCCAAAAATTCCTAGTCTTTATCCCATTCTAAACCTATAACTTTATTCTTAGATTTTAAAACAGTTTCTTTAAGTTTTCTACCTCTCCTATGATATTTTAAAATTTTTATTAACAAATCATAATTTTGTAACTTCTAGGCATTTTAAAACTTGGGCTTGCAGAAACTGTAAAAATTAGAATAGCAAACTTCTAAATAAATTTAATATCAACTATATAACATTTAATTTTTGCCCTTCTTAAAATTAATTATATTGAGTTTAATTACTTATCAAGCACATAAACCACCTTCGATTATCCACAAACTGCGATATAACTACAATCTTAGCTCCATGAAAATAACACTTTTCCGCTACCATTGAGGTCATCTTTGAATTCAAAAACCTATGATTATTTTATATAAACTAATTGAAGCATATGGCCTAAACAAATGCTAAATTATAGGCATATTTAGCCATAAAATTTTATTAAATTTAATATCTCAAAGATATAATTATCAAGTAAAGATTAAGTGATTTAGAACTCGCAATAATCTAACTCCACTTCCAATTAAAATTTGGCTAAAAAATAGATTAACAAGTATTACTTTCTTGCTTGATGCCATTATTACTTTGCTAAAACTTCAAAAACTTTATGCTATAACTTTCTTTAAATTTTAGTACTTTTTATCAATAAAATAGCAGGATATTCAGAAATCAATTATATTTTTTATAGGATTAATTATTAATTTGATAAAATCTCAGTTTCTTTCTTTTCTGTATTTTTGATTTTTAATTAATTGAAAAATTTGTAATTTTTAAAATCAAATAAAAACAAGATCAAAATTTATGAATCAAGTTGATTTTTCATTTGTATTTACTAAGAATAAATCATTCATATATTTATTTTATTATTAATATCATTGAATTTATATTATTTTTAATATTTATGCATGTATGTATTCCTGTCTGCACATATTCTATTAATAAGTCAATTTTCAAATTATTTTTAAAAAGAAAGTTATATTAAAAATAGATTGTGTTAATTTATTTATTATTGATTACTTTTAAGTATTTTCAAATAAATTGTATTCTAATAATTAAATTATTATTTAAAACATTAAAATTCATCAAAATTTTATCAAATTATTTAAAAAAAATAATTTTTAATTTTTTTATTATTATTAATTCTTTTTAAAATTTAAAATATATTTATTGAATAAAAATAAAATTACATCTAATTTAAATATGCATACAAATGTAAATAATAATATCATCTAAGATAAAGAAAATTTTGTTGTTTTTTTTAATAGCTTTTAGATATCATTTACATTTAAAATTCATTTGAATATATAATTTATTTTAAAATGTAGATGTATTTTTTATATATGAATATATATGTGTATGTATTCATATATCATACAAAATTAGATTTATTGAAAACTTAATAACTTCGTTTTGAAAAAAAAATAATAATCCAAACTGAATTGATTAAATAATTCAACTAAAATTAAAGCAATCAAGTAAGCACGCAAATAAGTGATACCATAAGAGATATTATTTTTAGCTGACCAGTTCATTACACAAGCTTACACATAAAGTAGATATTAATAAAATAATTTTAAAATTTTTAATTTATTTAGGAGATAATGTTGAAATACACTCAATTTATTAAAGCTATTTCGATACAAAAATTATAAAAAATATATCATTTAATAATTGAAAAAATAAACGATAAAATCATTTACATAAGCAAATCTGCAAAAATAAAATTAATTGTTTATCTCAGAGACTTAAATTCAATTCATTTTAAAAATAAAATTAGTAAAGAAAAAGAATTTAATAGTGGAATTTGTGAGAAATGAACTCAATATAATATGATGATGAAAAAAGTGCTCTCGAAAAGATGCAGAGCTCTCTTAGAAATGTAATATTCGAAGTGCTTTATTACGTGATAAACTAGACAGAGCAATTCTCAATACTAATTTATATAATATTTGTGCTGATTGAGACATTTTAGATCTTATATTGGTATTTTACTACAGATGTACTTATTTAAATTTCATACATATAAAAAATTATTTCTACCAACTCAATAATTTAACTACTTACTTAATTAAAAGATTGCTAGTTTAAAAAAATAGCAGATACATAGAATTTAAAATTTATTAAATTTTCAAATAATAGTCTTTTTTTTATTTTTCAGTTGATGTTGAAGTAGATAAAATCTTGAAATAATTTTTTTCTAAATAATTTGAATTAAAATCATTTTTTTATTACAGATAGTTAATTTATGGATTGTAATGAGTGTAGCAGACGATTTGCAAAAGTTCTTTAGTTACTTTTTATTAGTGCCTTACTTTAACAGCTTTAGTTAGATGATAGTTGGAATGTATGTAATAATAGGTATCTTTGGTTGTTTACTCATTCTTATACTGTATGTATCTATCAAAATTAAGAATGGCATATCAGGATTGTCTGGTGCTTTATCAATTATCAAGGTAATGTTTATCAAAATAAATAAAATTTAAATAATATTTTTCAATAAAGATCTTTTGCTAACTAAGCTTATCATTTCTCTATTTACCCATGTTTGACTTGTTTTTATCACCAATGCGTTGCAGAATGATAAATGGCTCAGAAACACACAAGATATTCTAAGATTAATAATGCTATTCAGGAAATAATTTACTTCATTCATTTTTTGGATTAGTCAGTGCTATCGTTCTTTTCTGCATAGTATATTTAATCACCCTAACTAATTTTGAATCAAGGTATCAGCCAAACAGAACTCTTCTAAAGTATGTTTGTTTTTTATTATTTCATTTAAATAAAAATATTTTTTATTATCATTTATTTATAGATTATCAGGAAGGGAAGATGTCAAGCTACTTTTCTTCAAGACAATACTTGTAGTTAGTTTTACTTTCCTAGATACAACAGACCTACTCATTTTGGTTATCATATTCATTACATTATGCACACTTGACTTATTTTTGACCTTTAACAAATCATCAAATATACTTAACTACATGTATAACAAAGTGATTAACTCTCAAATAGCTTGTATATTTTGGACAACTCTTATTCTAATATTCGGATAAGTATTAATTTTATTTTATTGTTTGATTGTCAATCTAAATTTAATTTTGAAAAATATAGATCATGGTCTTTACTAATTTTAGGGGTGTTGTTTACATATGGTTGATTGGTTTACCATTTTTAGTTTTTATTGTGTTTATGAGAAGGGAATATAGATATGATTTAATGATGGTAGATTCAAACAAATTTGATTCTCTGAATTAAGCAGTCAGTTAAATTTTATATTTGACCAGGTGCTTAAACTACTACAGTAAAATACGATCAATAAAAATTATAATTAATACAAAAATTTATTAATTTTATCATAGATACTGATAGAAATATGGCAGCCATTTTAGATGGTTTCGTGGATTACCATAGAACTATTTGCAATAGAGATGATTGTCCATGCTAAGCGAAAAATATGAACTAAAAAAAAATCAAAAAGTTTATTAAAAGTAAATTATTTTGAGCTTTAATATTTATTGAAATTAATTCCCTGAAATAAAAAAGATGCAAGGGCTGGTTAATTTGATGATGAAATAAAAGAAAAGTTCGTTGTCTTAGTTTACTTAATAGAAAGAATATTTGTACTTGCCTTAACAAGGTAATTTTTAATTAAATTATAATTCATTCTAAATATTATATTTGAATTAGATTCCCCGGATGCACCCAACTTAGAGTTAATCACGCTCTCTTCCTGTTAGATAAAATGAAGAGTACTTAACAATCTTTATCAGAGCTTGATATTGCTTAACAAGAAAAACCCTATCTTGATGAATAATTTATGATTTTCAGATATAAAAAATTAATTGAAGACTCCATGCTTGAGGCAAGAAAAAATACTAACGCAAACTAAGAATCTGCCAATGAAATAACTGCAGATAATGCCATGAAAGAAATCATGCTTAACATAGAGTAATCAACAATGCTTCATATAGATTTTTGGTCTTAACTCTCTGAAGATACTCCAGATTTATCTAGAGTTTATGAAATTGGTATCAAACTTAATTATGCTAATAACTTAGTAAAAGAGAGTTGGAAAAAGCAAATGAAATTAAATTCCGATATTTCTCCAAATTAATTAAGAACATATGCAAGATATTTACTTGATGTTTTGAATGATAAAGATTAAGCATACGAAGTCATTTAAAAGTATTATATTTTATTTAGAAACTATTTAAATAACAATTTAATAATAAAGACTAAAATCAGCTTAATCAACAAATGTAGATCGCAGCAAGACAACGAATAATATAAATGAATTTTAAAATGAATCAACAGGTCTAATTTCAGTTTCTGCAGAAGATGTAAAATAAAATATATAAATATAAAAATGCAAGCAATTTTAAAAAATATTTTATATCTAATAAATAAAAGGTTTCATTTGCGAGAATATCTGGATTAAATTAGACTGCTGCTATGTATTTTGGTTATTCAAAATCAGAGCTTATAAGTATATATGAAACTTTTTTATATTAGAATGAATTTAATAAATTTTTTATTATTAATAGACAGAAAAGTAAACTTGATTATGCCTTAAGTATTTGCTGACCATCATGATTCATTTTTAGAAGACTATCTTCATCATTTAGAATCTAAAGTACTAAACAGAGAAAGGTTGTTGTTTGGAAAAGCCAAAAACGGGTATATATTCCCATCTTATATGTATGTCAGAGTAATCATAGAAAATTTAGTTTTATCAGTTTTTTTAATTAATGGTAATTTAAAAAGTATGTACCAAGCTATATACATGGCACTTAGTTTATTGCTTCTATTAGAATTGAAAAGTACTTTAAGCTCATTGGCTTTATGATTATTACAAAAGGAGAGTTTGAAATAGTAAACATAACATCAAGTAATTTTTAATTAAGGAAAGGAATATTTATTAACATAATTTATTATAATTAGACTGTATTACTTTATTTGATTTAAGTTTGGGAATATTAAATAAGAAAAAACCAAGCATCACTGATTTAATACCTGAATTTAGCTTACACACTAAAGAATTTTAAGCAAAAGGTGGATATGATATCCATATAGATATAGGAAATTCAGAGGAATAATGTAAATAGTTAGTAAAGAAGATAGAAAATCTAATTTAATTTTTTTTATATAGAGTTGTATAATGTTCAGATCAAAGAAATAGTGTTCAGAGGTGGATTAGGTTTGCAAGGATATGAAGTTAGATTTGAAAAGTAAGTTAATGAAAATAAGTAAGCAACAGACTAAAGTAATTTTATTTATATTTTTTTCAGGATTAAATCATTAATTATTTAAAAAAAATAAGTGGGAAACGAAACACTGAGATAACCTGAGCAAAATAACAATTTGTTGACAACAGGAAGATCGAAATTAAATCCTCAAAATATAAATAAATTTGTATTGAAATATGATTATGAAAATCACTAATTTTGTGGAGAATATAATGCCAATATTATTATGAGCAATGTAAACAATTTGAACTAGAATAGCTCAGTAAAAGATTCTCATATCTAGCGTAAAATGATTTTTTAAATTTCTATTATAATAATCTTATTAAATAATAAAGATTCACCCAAAGAAGCTGCTACTAATAATGAAATTGCTATTAATTTCTCAACATACTAAATTGATTAATCGAATAGAGAAAAAGATAAGCAAGATGAAGAAGATATGTAAAAGATGAACGTTGAATATGCCAAAGGTATTAGAACAGTTAGGCTGGTTAGAGGCCAATTCTTGGATGTCGATGAAATGAGGAGAGATGAAATGGAAGATGAAGAAGAAGAAGAGGAAGAGCATGACAAAAAATTTGATAATTGTATGAAGAATAAATTATTAATGAAATCAAGAGTTTATTTTTAATTAATTAAAAAATTAAGTAAAAAATGACATGATCAAAGGATCCAAATTAGACGAACTCGAAAACGAAAGTAGTGGTCCAGGTGAGTCAAATGCATTTAAAAATAAATAAAAGCTTGTATAATTTTTATCTGAAAACAAAGCTTCACAAAATAACAGTTTGGAAGTATTTAAATGGTCTGGAGTAGTCTTACTTGTAATATTAGGTATTTTGGCAATCTTGAATTATGTTTAATCTCAGTCTCTTTTTGACTCTATAAATTCATAGTACAAAGTTATATCATAAGTAATTATTCTATATTTATTTAATGAGTTTGTTTTGAAAAATATTATTTTTACAAATTTTTAGAGCAATTTAAGATAAGCAGATGTACAAAGAATACTTTTTAAAATTGCTAATTACGAGTTAATAAGATTAGGCTTGTTACCTCCTATTACTGATTTAACTATTGATTAAACAGACCTCGATAATACAATAAATGAACTTTAAACTTTACAGCAATATATTGTAGACAATTCTTCCAATATGGGAAGTGCTTAAAAAGAATTCTTTAACTCTGCTACTATTAATTTATACAATTCTTAATCTGGATAAATAAGCACTCAATAGACTGACATGAATCAGGCTACATATTAAGTAAATTTTTTTTTTTTAATTTTTAATAAGCCTAAATTAATTTATAATATTTGAGTTTTTTTGTTATTTTTTTATAAATTTTTAAAGCTTTTTATGAAATTAAATTATTTTTATGAGAATAATACTTCATCTTTTAAATAATTTACATTAATTATTAGACTAAATTTGTGTTAATTAATATTTTTTATTAACCAATTAGTATATTTCTAAAAGCTTAAATTTGGTAAATTTAAAAATTCCTGATTATACAAGCACTCTCTATCCAGAAATATTTTTTATAGAATATAATGGCCTTAATGATTTCTAGCAATCGTTATTTTAGTCTTCAAATTATTATGCATAAGATCTTAATAGTTACATAAGTTCGAAAAACTCTCTATTTGTTACTTATCTAATTGTCTCTATAGTTGTAGTTGTTTTAAGCTTTATTTGCATAGCTCCAATTTTTTCATTTGTAAATAAAAATCAAGAGTCTGTACTTAAGTTGTTTTTAGAAATACCAGTTGCATAAGTAAAGGTAAAAATTATATTTTTTATGAAATGCCTAATTAATTAACTGGATTGAAATGAGATCACTTACTTTTTCATTAATATTAAAGTTGAGTTACATTTTATTTATACAAAATATATAGCTTTTGTTTTCTAGATGTGAACAATTTTAAAATGGAATGCAAATGGGAGAAGATGATAATGTTAGCGAAATGGGTATTAAAATTTTTAAATTTTATAAAAGAATTAAACTATTTTATATTTTTATATGTAAAGATGACTTGGTTGTTGAGGATGAAGATGGTGGAGATTATGGAATTGGAAGAAAAAGAAAGAAAAGAAAATTCAAATTTGAAAGTATCGAGAAGAGAAATTTCATTATAAAATTTTTACTTAGTTTACTTCTCTTAGAAAGTTACTTTATTGCAACATATTTTGTAAGTACAAGTTTATAGTCTTCTCTTAGCTCGTTAGTCACCGAATTTAATTATACGTGTTAAGCAGAGCCTTACTATACATATATTAATAATGCCTTGAGGAAGTTTTTCATAGATTAAACATTCAATATTAATCTAGGAAATGGAGCAAATTTAATCCAAGTAGCACTTTAATAGCTCAATGACATTAATACAAATATCCATACTGTAATTCAATCTTTCTTTTATTATTACAATCATTCTTTATTTTTTCTTTAAGAGCAATTCTAAAATATCAAATTTAGAGTACTTTGTAGCTTACCAATTTACTTATTTTTGATTAAATTAGGAACATGCAAAAAATATTGGATCACATACTAGTACATATAACAATTATTTTGAAAGTATTAATGATCTTAATGCTTGTACTGTGATGGAAAGTTTAAATCTTTAGAAAGCAACTGATTGTGCAAAATTTGCTGTCGGTATAGTTTAAGAGGTAAATAAAAATTATAATTTATTGCATCTAGCTAATTTAATAGACTCTTTAATTTTTGATTTAATCATATAAAAATAAATATTAACGACTCTATTTAAATTATCAAAAATATAAAGGGAATGGGTCCTGGAACAATTAGACACTTTGAAAATATAAGATATTTGATTACACTTTATCAAAACTTTGCTAATGATGCATCACAGACATTCCCAGCTGAAGAAAATAAACCTGATAGTAATCTAATACCAGTGCAAGGGATATCAGACGTAAGAAAACTTAGAATAGCAAATATACTATCAATAAACTCTGCTATAGAAATAAGTAAGTCTAATTTCTATTTTTTTTTGTTGCATTTAAGTCAGTTCTAAATTATTTCAAATATAACTTTTAAAGATACCATGCAAGACATGTATATAAGGAACCTACAAAGGTCATTAGTAAATTCTTTCTTATAAGATATTAGCAGTCAGATATCTTCTAACTAAACAACTAGAGTTACAATCTTTATTTGCTTTATGGTGCTACTAGTTTGTATATATATTGTATTCTGGATTCCTTTAGTAACAAAAATTACAAGGGAGGTAAAAAAATATAATTTTAATCTTGTCTATTTAAATATTTAACATTTTAAACTAAAAAAATTCTAATTCAATTTTAAACATATATTTATTTATTAAATAGACTGCAAGGACCACAGCTATGTTGAGCTTAATACCCTTAAAAATTATTGTTTCAGTTAAAGCTATTAAGGATTACTTAAATAAATTTTTGAAAATAGAGTGATTATTAAATTAAATAATTAATATTTGTATGTGTATGTGTGTATGATTATGTGTGCTTACCTTTTTTTATTCTAACTATGTTATTATCTTTAAAATATAATTACTATAAGCCTCTAAATATTCTTCAATTAAATAAATTTTAGAAAATTAAATTAAATTTAAAAAAAATAATAGAATATTTATTAGAAAGTAATAAATAGTTAATTTTGCTTTAAAGATTAAAAGTGTCTTCTGATTATTCACGATTATTTATTTATTTACTTAGTTTGTTTGTTTGTTTATTAGGAGGAGAAATATTTGAATTTAATTGAAAAATAAAAAAGAACTTTAGCAAATTAAGATGATAAATAAAGAATCAGAATAGATAATTAATTAAGAGGAGATTCTATAAAAATTAAATAAATCTGAGAGCAGGAAAAAAAGAAGAAAAATTGGAAAATTAATATAAAAAAGTTTTTATGATTATTTTACTTAATTATTTCATTCATTTATTTAATTTCAATGTGATTGATTTATTGAATTGTTTAGATTATATTATCATAAAGAAATGAATAGTCGCATATTCATATAAATATATATACACACAGACACATACACACACGCATAAATATTTATATATATTTTTTTAATTAGTGTTCATAAAACTAAATCTCTACAATTAGAAACAAGAAGGGAAAAGGAAAAAATTTACTTTATTTAATTTCAATTTAATTTCAGAGAAAAAATAAATAAATAAATATTAATAAATAAAAAGTTCATTCTATCTTTTAAAAAGAAAGGAAAAGCAATTTAGAAAAAGAAACAAATTAACAAACACTCTCAGTATTTTCATCTTAAGTTCAAAGACAAAAGTAAGGGTATAATAAAATGGACGCAGTTCAAATGCTTTCAAAGAAGATTTAAATTATCACAAAATCAAAAATACGTTATGAAGGTGAAATTTTTAAGATTGATACAGCTAATTCTACGATTGCCTTAAAAAATGTTGTCTCTTTCGGTACTGAAGGAAGAAAACCAGGCAATGAAATACTTCCATCAGCTACTGTGTACGACTACATTTCATTCAAGGGATAAGATATCGAAAAAATCGAAACTAACAGCAACAATGCATTAGGAGCTACAAACGCACCTCCTCCCAACATAGTATCTACTTCTCCTTCCGTTTCATAAACTACTTAAGTAAGTAATACAGTTTAATAATAAACTACTACTGTTGTTTCTACCTCTGCTATAAGCACAAACACTACATCAGTTAAGACTTCTGAATCAGCTAACAATGATGGATTTGATTTTGAAAAGCTTACTTAAAAGTTTAACAATGAAATTAAAAATAGAGAATCTTAGTAAGATCAAACTAAAAAATTATACTCAAAAGACGACGATTTCTTCGATTAAACATATGTATCAAAATCTGAAGGAATTACAAAGGAATAATTGATGCACTAACGTTAACTTGATAAGGAGACTTTTGGTAACGATGCTTAATAATACAGACCAAATACTTAGCCATACAAATCGAAAAGAAACTTCAACCCTAATAATAACAATAACAATAACAGATTCAACAACAATAACAATTAGCGCAGAAACAACTACAATAATAACAACAACAATGGTAATAATTACAATAATCAAAGTAGAGGAAACTTTAATAATAATGGCAATAATGGAAATAACTTTAATAGAAATGGAAACAATAATTACCAAAACAACAGGAATAGTAATTACAACAACACCAATAATAGAAGCAATTACAACAATAGCAATGACAATAGTAACTAGGTTTATGGCAAAGACTTTTATTATGAACGTAAGGATAATGAAGGATAGAATAGACCTGAAACAACAGGAAACAACAATTATCGTAATAATAACAATAATAGAAATTACAATAACAATAATCAATAAGGAAATTTCAGAAACAATAATGGCGGTAACAACAACAACAATAATAATTATAATAACAACAGAGGAGGCAACAATAATAACTATGAAAACAAGACTAATTTCAGAACTAATTAAAATAACCAAGATGGAAATTAGAAGTTCAACAACAATAATTTCAATAATAACAATAGATATAACAATTAGAGAAACAACAACAACGGTAGCAACAATAGCAATAATAGCAACAATAACCGCTTTGAAAACACTAATTAGAACTAGAATTGAAAATGAAATAAATTGCAATCCCAAAACAAAACTAAGCAAAGCAAAACTATTGAAGCAGTTTTGACAACAAACAAGATAAAAATAATAATAACTAAATATATAAAATCTCTACAATTGAAATTAATGCGATTTCCTTAATATGTATGATGAGTGTTATTGAAAATTACTTCTTTATTGAATTAATATATTAAGATCCTTCCTCTATTATTATATTTAAAAATAGCAAATAGGTATAAAAAAACTAAGTTAACTACAACAACCAACAATAACAATAACAGCGTTTAGCATTACTTCACATTACAATAAATGAATGAATAATTAATTATTTTGCCCAATAAAAAATGACCTCTCATATTTATTTAATCAAATCTCTATCTAATATATATATTTATTTTTTATATCTTACAAACAAAACAAACAATCATATCTGATTTCAGAAATTTTATTTTTTTCTATTTGACTACTTATTTTCTTTTTTGTAATTTATTTAATAAATTTTTATAATTTCTATTTTTTAAATAAATATCTCACTCTCTCTAATTTTTATCCAATATATTATTAAACTCTTTTCAAAAATTAGATATTTTTTTAAATTAATTTATATTTTTATAAATTGTTTGTTTAGAACATATTAATAAATCAATTTTCTTAAATTTTTACAACTCATTAATAAATTAATTATAAAATAATTTTTGAACAAAATGATAAAATTAATTAATTAAATATTTTATTTATTTAAATTTAAAAAAATCATTCACAAATATATATCGTTGATAAAAACAAACAGAATAATCTTAAGTAACAACAACATTCATTGAAATCCTAGATTAAAAATTACTCTAAGTTTAAAAAAGTATCTAAGTTTATAAACAAGTACATACATATATATTAATTTGCTTCATTATGCTTGTTCGAGTTCTCCAACTAATTAGTAATAATTATAAAATATTAATTAATGATTATAATTTAATGTAAACTGTTTTCTAAAAATACATGAATGCATTCATGCATTTACATGATATTTCCTAGGATTAAAGAATCTCTTGAATAATAGAAAAAATAATACAAATTGTTAACTCCTAATCAAAATAACATAAAGTATAAATAAAATGCTTACTGTGATTGTTGAAGAAGTTGATTTGTTAGGGAACAGCTCTAGCAGAGATGATTGGTAATTCGTAAGTGATGAGCAAGTAAATATTAGAGTTTGCCTTCTTAGAGAAACCCTAATTTTATTTTTTTAAATTGCATAAACTTATTAATATATTTATTATTCTTTGAGCTTCATTAAATTTATGAAATAATAAAATTATAAAATAAATGCAAAATTACTTTAGCAAGAGAGATACCTTCACCAACATCAGCATCACCTCTTCTGCCATAAACAAGAGGAGGGTGGAATCTATGAACGTCATAGTGTTCACCTAATAATTCAAATCCTAGTAATAATTTTAAAACACTTTAGTAAATGCACATATTATAAAATTTCAGAAAAATATTTTAATCATATCGCAACTTGAATAATCCAAGCTTTCATTACGATTTTATAAATTATATTTTTTTTAATTTGTTTGCTTAAACAAAATCTTAAGTCCCTTTTATATTTATAAACAAACCTAAAGCTAGCTAGTTATATTTATTTTACTTTTTCTAAAAACTTGATGTATGAAATTATTCAAAAAATTCAACACTAATCCTAAAATATTAAATACCTGCTCCGATGGTATTATCACGAGAGTCAAATGCAGTTAAATAAGGTCTCAATTCTTCAACTGAAGCAGGGCAGTTTTTATGAGTAATTATATTTAAATTTTGATCAAAAATGATAGCCTTGGCCCACTTTATTAATTTATAATAAGTAATTAGAAATATTAACTTTTAACAAAATAGCAAACTAAATAAAAGCAAAATTATCATTTTTATTTCTTTTTTTGTTAAAATGATTTTAATATTAATATCTTACCTCGTCTTCTTTCATAAGAGCATCATTAAGAGCCTTGGCATTTAATCCTTCTCCTTCCATAATTATTTTCTTTATATCTTAAGTTATTCAAAGCGCTTACTTTTGTTTTGACAAAAATATTATTAAATTTTGAAAAAAATTATATGTTTATTGGATTATCTGCATATACTTTTAATAGCAAATTGTTGAATAATCATCTCAAATTTTCCTTTTTCTTCAATTTTTCTATTAAATTAACTAACTTTTAAGCAGATCTCTCCTTTCTTTATCAATAATCTAAATAGAAAATTTCTTATTTTCCATATCTAGATAGAATCAAGACAGACATAAAAATTTATTTTTATTTTGTCAATTCTATCATTGAAATTAAACTATTCCAGTATTCTTTATTGTTACTTCAATGCAAAATATTAAATTTTAATATAAAAAAAAAAGAAAACTAAATTTAATTTATTTCTTCCTTGTAAATAATAACATGTGTTCAATTTAAAATTGTAAAAAACGATTTAATTCAAAATTTATTTTTGCATTTAGCACAAATTAAATTTATTGAAATAATTTTTGTTTATAAAATTTTTATAAATATTTACATTTATTTTTAATATCAATTTTATATTTTTGTTTTTTTATAAATATTTTTTATTTTTTAAATATTCAAGTATTTAAACTAGTATTATTTGGTATCCAAGTAATGTCGTCTTTCTTCAGCTTATCTTTTATTATTGATTCTATTCCAGTGTATTCAGTTTCTTCTTTTAAAATTATACTTTAAATATAGAACAAATATTCCCATAAATTATGTTTCTTAATGTGTTCTTCAAAAATTAGATCTTTCTTTTCAAGCTAAATAAATTAATAAATTATTTTAAAAATTAAATAATATTTGAGTTAATGAAAAAAAATTAATTACTGTTGCTCTTTCAATTCCGCAAATATAGCATCTATTTTTTTTATCTGATTCTATAAAATTTCTTTTATCTCTCATTTCAGCAAATGTGTCTGTCATTATACCACTAATGATGTTAGTAAACAAAATTGACATGAATACAAAATAAACTGTGTCAGTAATAAATGTTGAAAACTCCCAGTGAGTGTTGCTATTTCCAACCACTCCTGAAAGAGTGAGAGTAATCATACAAGAAAGCATAGAATTGCATGTTTTTTCATCATTTACAATTTCATCACTGCTATAAAGTTCTTAGTAATAGTTATTGAAAGATAGTACGCTAAAAATATATAAGAAAAGAACACCTAAAAAGCTAACAAGCACCAACTATTTCCTTTGAATAAAAAGAGCTTGGTATAAATTCTCCACAACACCTTAAACTAGCTTTAATTTGCTCTTTTTTAAAATAAATAAATAAATAAATAATTTATGTTCTATTTTTATAAATGGATTTATTGATATTTAAATTTTTAAGAAAAAAAATTACAAATGAGTAAGGTAAGCTCAGAACTATATATTTTGGGTGAATTATCAAAGATAAAATAGAACTCAACATAAGCACAAACAGATATGGTGCTTAATCATTTTTACACAGTAATAAAAATCGATTCCAAAAATTTTCTTAAAAATTTATTTTAGGTGGAACTTAATTTATTGCAGTAAAAAAGATGAAAGTTGTAACTAGTATGAAAAATAGGAAGACAAGAGAGAAGATGTTATGTTTAGTTTCATAATGATGAAATTTTAAATTCATTCCAAGTTCTGGATCAATTTAAATCATAGCTGACATAGCCAAGTACATATTAAGGAAGAGACTGAAATAAGTAATGATAGTTTAAATCAGCTATACATTGTCTCCTGTAGCAGGAACTTTATTCTTGCTTAGCTAATAGTTATGATTCATTTCATCAAATACAACGCTTTAATGAGATAACAAATCAATAATTTTATCTCTTTAGCTTTAACGGTTTACATTCTTCATAATTTTTTCTTTAGTTATATCAGATAAAAAGTTATACAAAGGAACTAATGGTAAATAGATTTGTTTAAATTTTTTCTAATGGTATATTTCTATAGTAGCAATTTTGGAGTTAAGGCACTCAAGTATTTCTTATTCTTTTAGAATGTTTGTATAAAATCTGTCTTTTACATTTGCATCATACTCCTAGCACCTTTTAATTATTATCAAAACATTAAATATTTCTACCACATGCTTATCATAGTATCCTCTAATCTCATGAGTTTAAATATAAGCTTTCAATTGTTGTACGTTCTCCACTTTCATTAGCTTAAGTCTTTTATTAACTATGATTTACATGAATTCTACGGATATTTTACTCATCACTTCTTCATAAATTTAAGGGTCGTTTCCTTCAAATACAACTAAAGCAGTTTAAATAGCCTTTAAAAAATTTTTTAAAATTAATTATTTTATTTGAAGAAATTTTAAATAATTTCTTAATAATTAATTTTATCTTTAGAAATAAAATCGAATAAATGAATACCTTGCTATACAAATCTAATAAATTGATCTCTTCTTCAGGTTATTAAGAGTTAAATGAAATTAAAGTCTTTGTTTTTTCTTCCACTTACTTTTTATTAAATCAAATTCATTACTAAGAAAATTTAATTGATTTATTTATTTACTTCAATAAATTGGGATAATAAAGATATGTCTTCAAAATAAGAAGTTTAGCAAAGAGATATTTGATTTTATAAGCATGGTACTTGAGCAACTTCAATTAAAAACTCAGAAATAATGATAGGTATCTCAACAACATTCTTTTATTTAAAAAATTAAATTATTTTTTTTTTTTAGATTAAATTTACCTTATTAATTATTTTAAGAAATTCTCTATTAATTTCAGTTGCAATTATTATAAAATTAAGAGAATTGGATTTCGGTCTATTGTCTATGAATGTCTGTTATCTCATATAATCTTTCATGTCAATATTAGAACTCTCACAGCATAGTTAAAGGAATCTAAATATTCTTTTCATTACTTGAATGCAAAGAGCCTTAAATTAGTCTTCCTTGTAATCATCAGGATTTTTTGTATTTTTTCTTACCATAATTTAAGAAACACTATCATAATAATCATGAGTATCAGATAAATTAATTTAAGGGATAGATTTTTCACGTAGTTGTTCCTTAGAAAATCTGTATATGATTTTACCTACAAAAACGATATCGTTATTAACTGTAAAGAATATGAATAAATGTACCTATCTTTTATATTAGAGTGTTGATATTAATTAAGATCATATTATCAAGATCTTCTTTCATGTTAGTTAAGATTCTATTTTAAATCTTTCTGTGTCCTCCAATCAGAAGACTTATACCGAATTGCAAGATATGAGAAACCAAACCTAGTCTTTACTCTAAGTTAGGCTACTTCAATAAATTGCATATTAACTTTGCTCCTCCTTAGTTATAAACTAGTGTCTACATACTTTCTATTTTTTCTTTATTGCCTTTCCAATATGGAGTATCCCAAGTATCTATCTCTTTAATCATACCCTTTTATAATAAAACAAGCAAGCATTAAAAGATTAAGATATTAAATTTTTTATAATTAGTATGAAATTAAAATCTACGTCTGTTTAAGGATTTTAGTCTTAAATCATCCTAATTAAAATATTAAGATAGAATATGTGTAAATCATCAGGAAGGTGCTGATTTGATATAGCTGTATCTAATATACTTTAAATGAATTTTTTTTTGGAGATTGCATCATGACTGATATTTTTAATTAACATTTAATCATCATTTATGTCGTCTTCGTCCCAATGAGTTTAAAAAAGTTTATCGCTTTCACTGATTAGTTTGAAAATATTTTTAATAAATTTATTTTGTATTTTTTGGTTAAAATAAATATACTTCTTCAAGTAATCTTAGAATGACTTAGAGTTATCTAACACATAAAGCTCGAATTTTAACTAGTTATTTAGTACTTCATTCATATCTTCAGATAATTAATTTTTTGATAATTTGCTTTTCTTTGTTATGTTAATGGACTATTTAAGGTCGTTACCACTCTAATCATATAGCCTAATAAATGATTTTATATTACTCAGCAATTATTTATCCTAATTTTCATTTTGTTAATTCGTTTGCATCACCCACTTTAAAGCTTCATATTATGCTCCCTTTATTTCTTGGGTATGGCAAATACTCTAATTGAGCATAGTATTATTAATACTGCTGATTAACATACTATCATTTATTTCTCTATATTATTTATTATTTAAAAATTTGTTTAAAAAATATTGAATTAATTGAATTAAATTTACGCTGCTCTGAGTGGAGATTAGTAAATTGTACTTTCTGTGAATTTCAAATTCTATAGATTTAATGATTTAAAGTCAAAAGTTTTGATGATTTCATAAAGCTTTCTAATAATCTATTTAATAGGCTAGCTTAAATAGTTGCTCAACTTGAGAATCTGCATTAAAGAGTTGACTATGCTTATTAATATTCTATGAGGATTTTCTTATTTATCTTTTTGCTTTAAGACAAACTAAAGTTGATTCTTTAACAATTCTGTGAAGTTTTTATTTCCAAATAAAAAAAACAATGAATATACTATTTCTTTAAAATGAAGAACAGCATAAGATTTATAATATTTAAGTCTAATATAGTTATTGATTTCTACATTTTCAAATTATGAATTGTTTTGTAAAAGGTAGACATATTCACTTAAATCGTTTGAGATGCAGCCAAGATCTTTGATTACTTCTAAAAGCATTCCATTCTTTTCAAAAATACTCTTCTTATTTGGTAAAAATGACTACTGTTCTTTCACATTATATTCATTAAAAAAGCTAGATTGCATTTATCTTTTGAAGTTCTATTTATTACTACATATCTATTTTTATCTTTTCTCTAAATTTATCTATGATAACTCTTGTTCTCCATCAAAATTTTCTTTTACTGTTTCAAGTATTTTATTTTGATTGAAATCATCTTCAATTTAATCTGGCATTATGTTTAAATCGTTAAGAGATTTTAAGTTTTCTGATGAGTTAGGCTGCTATGAATTTGTCTTACTAGCACTATCTGATTCAACACTCTCAACTTATGAATCAGATTTATCTTTTTAGTTTTATTCTTCTTCATTTTGTTCATTTAGAACTTATAGCTATGAAACTGATTTAAAAATGCTTTAATGAATAGGAAATTTTGGTGATTGCATTTCATTTTACAAGCCTGACTATATATTTTAATTACTAACAGGAGTAAAAATTAAACTACCAAGAGAGCTCCCTCTTCTCTCATGCTCTTGTACTTCAGGTATTATTGATAAATGAGAGGATAACATATTTTTATTTAGAGTGATGCTTTCAGAATTACTTTCTATCAAAATAGAATTTACAGTACTTTCATCTTTTATACTGCTTCTTTGATTATTAACTTTTAAGTCATTAAAAATTTCTCCATCTTTTCCTTTTGATTGATTTTGCTATAAACTTATGTTTAATTCTTAATTATTTTTAGATTAATTATTTTCATCATTTTCTTCAAATTATAAAGAAAAAGATTGAACCAACCCCTTAGATATAGGCTAACGCTTGTTGAGTAGATTATTTTTATTTTATATGTATTATTAATTGTAGTAAACTCTATTTATATATGTTCTAATTTCTTTTTTGAGAGGAGTACAAATACTACATTTTTCCATAATCGAAATTAAAAATTTGAGTGGATGCAGCTTGATACTTTTTCTAAGATTTACTTCGTTTTATCCTTCAACAAGCATGCTAAATAAAGAGAATATAGACATCATGTAGGCAATTTATGTTGGGATGTTAATTTTTTAAGTTGTTGCACACTAATCAAACGACTTTTCATATTCTGAAATGTATTTAGGTAAATTATTGAGTATTTCTTCTTAAAATTCCAAATCAAAAATTTACAAATTTTTATATGATTTATTTTGAATTTCTTAATAAATAATTCCTTAGTTAATTTTTATAGGATTATCATTAAGAATGATCAAAGTTCTTAAAAATGATATTAATTTGCTTTAGAAATTGATATTATTGGTATTTTTATTCACAATTTTTAAAACTGACTAAGTTACTCTAATTATTTCTGACTAATTTAATAACAATGGCTTGACATTTGTGTATAATTCCTTTAAAAACTCTAAAGCTCCCAAATTAAGTTCTATTTATGAAAATGCAATATTTTTAGCTTTAAGTAACTCCATTTTAGCTTCATGATTATTCCATATCATCACAGTTAAAAACTCATAAATTTATTGTATTAATATTTATGATTTTAAAGAAATAAAATTCTTGTCTAATTAACTTAAAAACTATTAATAAAAAGTAAAAATAATTACTCTAAAATTTTAATCTTAATCAATCAATCTAACTAATCAAAAAAGGAATTTTTATTAGAAATAAAGGCAAGTTATAGTTTTAAAATTTTAAATTAATTAGTCTTAATTAATGAGTATAGACAGTGTATATATTTTTATTTATTTTAATATAAGTTTACCTAAAATAGAGTTGGGTGTAAATCATGTGATCTCACGAGATTCTATATTAATAAATTATTTAATTCCCTCTCATTTATAAAATTTTTTAACTCTCTTTCGTATTTTTAATTACTGAAAATGTCATCTGTAACTAATTAAGACGATTCTTCTAAGCGTTAATCTTTTATTTGTTTTGGATAGTTCTTCATAAAATGAGTTAATTACACTAAATCTGTAATTATGAATTCATAATTAGCCTTAGATCTAAGCTTTATTTATTAGTTAAATATTTATTTTTAGCTATCTGATTCTACTTCAGAAGTGTTAACTTCAGATATATTAAGCTTAAGTTTATCATTTATTAGCTTAGAAATAGGTTCATGCTATTTTAATGGAGATTAAATCGAATTTTATCTGCTATGAACCATATTAGTAATTTCAGATTAGTCTGATTGTTCTAAAATAATAGAGGGAGGTAAAGTTGTAAGAGGATTTTTTTTAAATTCTTTCTATGTGCTTTCATTAGTGTAAAAGCCACTTTTCCTTTTATTATTTTAGTATTACTATTACCTTTTTGCTGCCTATTAATTTTCATTATAAATTGACATCGGCGAATCCTCATAATCTTCGTTATTTTTATTTATTGGTGATAAATCTGAATGATCTTTTTGGTTTTCCAGCTGAATCTTAAATAAATATTTCATTTAATTGTTTTATTCTTTAGAATTATTTAATTATTAATTTTCTGCCAATATATTTTCATTTGTATTTAAACTTTAGTTAATTATTTCATTACCAATACTATGATTACTATTGCAAAAATTTGTGTTAACTTCTTTAATGCCAAAATGTAAAGATTAAATTTCTTGGATACTAAAAAAATCTAAGCTTTGCTAGTCATTACCTTTTTAGATATTAGATATTTCTTTTTTTAATTCTCTATTTTCAAATAGTTCTGCTCCACCTAGTTTAGAAGTAACAGTATCATCACCTTTATTGAAGTTAAAAGTCATACTTTGATTAGATAAAGAATCTTCAACATCATCTTTTTACTTTTTATCACCAGATTCATCATAGTTTTATCTTTCTTCTTTCATTGATGTTTGCTTTTTATTTAAATATAAAATATTTTTTTTTAAAATTGATTAATTAATTAGAAAATAAAAGGAAAATAATTAACTATCATTACTTTAAAATCTAGTTTTAATTAATCTTATATTCCTTCTAAGCTTTTAATTTTATTTAACTATGGGAACATAAGTGGACTTATACTTATATTCATTTTTTTAGAATTGTTAGCAGATGAGTTAGACGAGGCTCTTTTGAAATCCACTTCTTCCAAATCTTTGTTTCCTGAAGCTGTTTTATCCTTAACAAAGAATTGATTATTTTAATTATCATCTTAGTTCAATTTAATGCTTTAAGGTGTAAGGCATTTTTCATCATCGTGCAACATAATTTACTTATTAATCATTTTATTGACATCTTTATCTATACTATAACTACTTTGATTACTTTTATCCTCGCTTAAATTACTAAATCTCCTATTGTTATTACGTATGGGTATTGATAAATAATCACTATTTTACTAAACCATGGGTGGCAAGTCTAAAGCTATATGCTAATTAGTGTCAGTCAATCCAAAGTTTTTCCAATCAATATCTATATTATTATTTGTATTCTTATTTTAACTTGTTGAATAATCTGCATCTGAATTACTCACTAAAGTAATTTTAAGATTACTGAAGCTACTTTTGATAATAGGCCTTACTTCAGGTGTTTATCTATCTGTTTACACAGAATCTGATGTATGAAGTTCTTTTTTGTCAGAGAAATGTCTACTATACGACCTTAGCTTAACAAATGATTCTAATCCAATTTCAGCTTTTGCTGAAGGACCATCTTAAACTTCAAGAGGCTTATTCAATTCCGTTAAAAAATAGGAATCTTTTAGTATCTCAAATTGCTATCTATATTTTGGAATATTTTTAGAAATTTATTCTGCTAAGCCTCCTTTAACTAAGATAATTTTTTATAAATTTTGGTAGAGTTCTCTTTTTTATTAAAAAACTCTTTTCAAAAGCAAAAGTATAGAATCAAATATGCTGGTATTATTTTTTTGTAATAGCTCTTTCATCAGAGTGATATCAATATCATCCAAATAATGAAGAAATTCTTAGTTTGAATTAGGAGTGTCTTTGATTTGCAAATTATTGTAGTCAAAGAAATCTTTCCACTTCTTTGAAATTTGACTAATGTTTAAAATTTTTTAAGAAAGCTATTAATATGATTGATTTATCCAAAATTAATTAGTTACTCATTAATTTTTTCAAATTATCCTTATGATATCTAATTCATAAAGTTAGATTCTTCTGTATGATCCTCATTGTATTCTTTGAATTATTTCAGAATCTATCCTATCTGAATATTTATTTGGATATCTAAAAAAAATAAAAATCAGGTTATTCTTAAATGTTGAAATTATAAAATTAATTGTCACCTAAATACTCTTGAAGGATATCTGTTATAAGCTGCTTACATTTTTAAACAATAGAAAAATTAACTGATGATATTATACTTGATCCATTTCCACGCTTTTTATAATCAAGAGATCTCTAGCTTCTTAAAACTAAACAATTAAATAATAAGATAAATTAATTATATTATTTAATTTCTTTATGAATAATAAATTAATTACTGCCATTAGATTTTTATACAGCTTTACTTTTAAGAATATTAATCAAAGTAGGTATAAAATTATTTATTTATGTATTATCAGACTATATGCCTAAATCAATCATTTTTCTTTTTTTTAATGTAAAATAAAAAATATCATTAAAGTGAATTTAAAAAATTATTTTCAATACTTAAATATTTCTAGCATAGTTAAAATTTCTAGATTAATTGAATCGTCTACATTAGAAAGCTCATCACAAACGTTAAAAAATTCAAAAACATAATCGAGGACTTTAGAACTCTCTTATATGTGCCTATTATTTGACGATTAATTAATTCCACATTAAAATTTAACTAAATTCCACTGTCTGACTTTTAATATCTTTGGTACCTAAAAATTTATTTAAAATTTTTTTATCATAAAAAAATTAACTAAAATTTACCACAAAAGAGCTTGGTACATCGATATAAGCATTTTATAACAATTTAATAAAAGGAGTTTTTAGTGAACCTTAAATTATAGATCTATTTAATGTTATCAATGACAGAATTTAATCAATTGATATTATGGATTCTATTAACTCTTTTCCATTTTTATTGCGGCTATAACAAATATTTGCTAAAAGATCTATATAGCTTATAAAATATTTAAACATTCTTTAGTTATCATTATTTTCATAAGATATTCTTTAAAGTTCAGATATTTTCATTACTTTTGATAAATTAGATTCCTTATCAGCAATGCATTAGATAAATATTTATTTTTTATTTAAATCAGCACTTTAGCTTGAATCTAATTAAGATTCTTCAGTTTTATTCAATTACTATAAAATATTATCACTTTCTTCTGTAATAAACTCAAAATGAAAAGCAGGATGAAATCTTTTAGCTTTAAAGAAATAATCAATAATACAATTTTAGTTACTTGATATAGCCATATTGTTGCATTGTGTAACTGCAGACAAAATTTTGCAATGGAATGGATGAGGTAGCTTTTATTTATAAATTTATTGAATAATATTTTAAATAGAGCTTGGCGATATTAAATCTGAAATAGTCCTGTAATTGTCATAAAACAATTCACTTAGGAAGAGCTATATTTAGCTTTCATCCTGCATTTGAAAAGCATGATAAATAAAAACTTCTAAGTTCTAGCATATGATTAACTTCGCTTTTTGATTATTTTTCACAATATTCTTTAGTACAACATAACATAATCTAAGGAGCTACTTGAGTGATGTAGATTTCATTTCATCATCTTCAAACAAACTAAATACATTATGAGAGTAAACCATTGAATAAAGTATATAAACGATTAAGAATGCAACTTTGGTATCAATTAATATACATTGAATTTGCTTTAAACTATCATAAATATATTCGCTATTTTTACATGATCCACTACCTTGAAGAAAAGGATTACCATTAAGAGATGTATACACTTTCTGGCTACTATCTGTCCTATTAATACTTGCTCCTATCCCTTAAGTCATATCTTCTTCGTATTGATTATCATCTTCTAATGGAGAATTTATACTTAGAAGGCACTTTATTGTCTATTTTATGCATTTATGGGTAATTTTTTTATGTAATACATTTTTATCATGCGTACAATGAAGGGCAGAACAAAAATAATACAATTATTCTTTCACTGATAGAGCCCACAATATCACCTTTTTTGTAGATGGTGGAATTTTTTCAATCCTAAATCCACTTCTACTTTTTTTAATAGCAAAACCACATTATCTTGTCTCACATAGAATTTCCTAACACTCTTACTACCTTTTAACCATATCTTGTATTGATGTCTCAAAATGAAGAGTTGAATTTGATAAACGAGCTTTTCTACTGGGTAGGCTTGAAAGTTTTTCAAATTTTGGTAGACTAAATTTAGAAGAATAACTTCTAGTTGACTAACGCTGAAGAAACTTTTTTTTGCTTTAACTGATTTAATTCTTTAGATTAGGTATTTAAGGTAACTAATTTTCTGCTTATTTGCTTTGATCTTCATCATTATGAAATTCAATAAATTCTTATTTTTCATAAATAAATTTTACAAAGCAAGGCGACTACCTAAGTATTGGCTATTCATATTAATTATAACTTATAAAATTATTTTTATGATTTTCTTTAATATCTTCGTCAAGCGAATTATCACAATTGTTTTCATCTTAATTCAAGTAATAATAAGTGCTATAACTTTATAATTATTCTTACTTTTTCTAAATAGAAATACCATTTCTTAAAACTAAATTTATTTCGATTTACTACTAAAAAGATTAAGAGTTTTTTTCAGTTAAAATAAATTCATAATTTGGTTAAACATTAGATTACTCCATATCACTAATAGTTTTCAAGGGAATCACCAAATTTTCATTGCTTTTTGTATTAAATTGAAGCATATGCTATTCTTCATTCTTTTGCAAGAAAAGTGGTTCATTTTGAAAATAAATTTGTTGTTTATTGCTAGATTAACTAAATTTTATGTGCTTTTCGATATTTCCCTTTTAACTTTAATTAGAATTTTGCTTTTTTAACGCTGGCTAATGTCCAAGGTATTTATTTATGTTTTCAGAATCTATTTTATTTTATGTTTCATCATCATCATCTGCATTGTCGCTATTAGTACCTTCGCTTTCTCTATATTTCTTTTTTATATGAATTTATTTAGGAGAACTTTATTTATTATGATGTTCTTAAGTTTATACGTGACTTTCTTGTTAGCCTGCATATTACTTTTAAGATTCATAAAGAGAATTTTTGTTGATATTTTTAGTTATTTCTAAAAGATTTAATTAGCTTTTTCTTCTAAAAGGATTAACTGCTTATAACTAATTGCTTAAAATTTAAGTGTTCACATCTAAACTTAGTCTTTAAGACTAAAATTTGCAATCTTAAAAGCTTTGACTTTATTCTAATGAAGCTTATTCTGATATTCGTTCTTAATTTATTTCAATTTATTTTAATTCTGTTTCATCTAAATTAGTTTAGCTCTATGCTGGACTTGAGTCTCCACTAACAACTTATTTAAATATTTTTTCCCTTTTTAATTTATTGTTTTTGGAGTCTGAATCACTTGCTCCTGTTAAATTTGATTTTTTTAGCTATTATTAACTATCTTTATACAATTCATTATTTCTTTATAACGAACTAAAACCAGAAAAAATTTTTTTGTCATTTATATTAATTTAAAACTAATCGTTAACTGGTAAATTTTAATCCAATTTAGCAAATTTCTTCTCTTCTTAATCATGATAATATTCATTAATTTGCTTACTCTTATCTCTTGCTGTATTCTATGATGATTACATTGATTAATTTTTATTTTTAATAACTATATCATTTTCATTCTTTACTTCTTAAATTTGATTCTATTCAGTACTAATTTATTTAGTTTTTTTATTTTATATTGTATTTTAGGAAGTGGCATTCGGATTGTCCTTATTATTAATTGTGATTAATTCTCCTGAAATAAAGTGCCTTAAATAAAATTTATTTTATTTATTTTGAATTTTGCTAATTTCAAATATCGAGTCATAAATAGGTATTATAGACGATTACTCCTATTCCTTTAATATTAATTTATTGCCTAAATTGCTTTTAGATAAAATGCTATTTTTATTATTGTGTATTATTTAAACTAAGTCAAAGTTATAAATATTATCATCATCTTTATATGTCTATTATAATTCCATTAAAATAAAATAAATTCCTTTTTTAAATCTCATCAATTTTCAAAATTATAATTCATAAATATTATTTTAGCATAAAAATAATTAATTAATTGTTTACGTGATTAAATACTAAATTAAAAGACCAAATAGTGTCTCTACTATTTGTTAATATACCTCTAAATCGTTTATCACCTTTAGTTGGTCTTTTCAATTGAATAAATTCTTCTATGCTTTAAAATGCCTAATACTATTGCTCATCATAAATAATTTATTTTTTCCTAAAGACATCCACACAATATCCTGTTTTAACATGCATCAGGTAGATTTCTTATCCTAAACTAACTTCATCCCCTTCAATATCATAAAAATTAGTTGGAATTATTTTAAATAAGTTCATGCTCTTTAACTATGATTTTATTTTGAGCTTAAAGGAATCAGAAGGTACATCAGGACACTTTTAAGTACCATATAAGTATTCACCAGAATCCAAATGCTAAAGAATAACTTCACTGCCAAAATGTACAACGGTTCCATTCATTTGAATAACTAAATTTTCATAATTTTTCAATTCCCTAGCAAGTCTACTTTCTAATAAAAGTTTATCTTACCTAATACATATAAAAATATTTAAATTTAAATTTCCTTGGATTTTAGAACTATTTTATAGACTATGCTTATTTCTTTATCTATCTTTTAATTTTTTAGAATCCTTAAATCTACTTGTAAATATATTTAAGGCTTTTTAAGCATATTTAATACTTGATTAATTTTAATGGCAAATAAAATAATTTAAATAAGTTACTCGTTTGATTTTGAATATTCGTCATGAATATAAAATGTTCCTTTAGGAAGAATCCTAAAAAAACACTCTCTTTTATTCGAAACATCACTCAAATTCTTCGATTCTACAAAGCATATATTTCTATCTGTCCATCTTTTACATTAAAAATAATTATGCTTGCATGTTTCTCCTATAAAAAGGCTCTTTATAATTTATCTAGTATAAATAGTGTTTAATTTACCCTTTACTATATAATAGGCCCTTATGATTTTAGTTGATGCCACATATTTCAATCACTTATCCATATCTTAAGATAGAATCCTTTTGCTATACTTTTGTTTTGCTTAATTATTGCTAGTCTTATGGATATGCATTCCTAGGAGATCCTTGAGCAGACCCAATTTTTTGAAAAGACACAAGATCTGGTAGTAGGCTTGTAAAAGATCTTTTTGTTGACATTAAAACTGAATCTAACTTTAATTTCTAAACTTTAAAAATTAAAAATTTTTAGTTAAAAATATTATGTTTTTAATTTTGCAAACTTAAATAATTATTATATTTTGATAAATCAAAATTTTGATTATCTATCTATTTATAATTTATTCAATTAAATAGTTAAGAATATATTCAAGATTTAACACAAAGTAGCTCTTTCTTATAAACTTTATTCTAAGCTGTTTGTAATTTTAAATTTTCTATCCATTGAAATATAAAATTTTATATCAAATATAGCTAAAAATAATCTTAATTTATTAGAGTTAATAAAAATGTCAAGTAAATCTTAAATTTTTGTTTATAAAATAACTATAAATGCTTAAGGAATTGTTTTATTTTTCAAATTTATTGGATTTTAATTCAAAATAAATGCATTGTTATTAAAAATAATCATAACAAAAGCAATATTTTTTGATAAATTATAAGGTAAAATTTATGCTTTTTGAATGAGCATAATTTAAAAAATAAATTATAAATTGAAAGATTAATAATACTAATAAAATCCATGAAAATTCTATTTAATACTCAAAAAATTTTATTTATGTTCTACTGATTTAATCTAAAAAAAAGATCTTTTTTTTCAAACACTAAATAATTTATAAATTTTAATTAAATAAAATAGAATATTATTAATTTTTTTTTGAATAGACAAATAAAAGTTTGAAAGATAATTAATCAAAATTTTCAAATAAAATAAAAAGAATTTTTGTTACTTTACTGTACAAATAAGCAACTTCTTTTTTTTCAAATTGGTTAACTAAATAATTTATTTTGTAAATTATTTTATTAAATTATTATTTTAGATGAGTTTAAGATGTAAGATTTATTAAAAAAATATATTTTCATTAAAAAAGTGAGACAGTATTTTGTAACGTGAATATTATTGGTTAAATTGAATTGAAAAATGATTTTAAAAATTTTTTAAACTAATAAAAAAAAATGTAAAATCAAATTTATCTATTAAAGTTTTTTCTTTGTAAATCTTATCAAAATAATAATAATAATAATAATAATAATATAAAAATCTTATTACTACATACATATTAATTTTTTTTTTTTCTCAACTTTTTATTAATTCAAATTAAAATAATTTTAGATTTTTAAAAGATTAACAAAAAATAGTAGAAATGCAATAGATATATTTATAATTATTTTATAACACGATCTGAATCTTTTTCAATTTATTCAATTCTCCCATAATCTAACCTACTGAAGAAAACTATCTTACATGGTTTCGACTTATCTCATAATAGTATCAATAGTATCTATCAAAATTTAATTTGTATTATCTTTTACTGTTTAGACTTTCAACTCAAGCTTAGGCTCAAGAGGATGAGGAACTTTATACCCTGCAAACTTTACTTCTTTATTCTTAAGCAAATGCATTCTCATTAAGTTACCTATAGTGTGATCCTCTAAATTCATATGTATTGTTTTTGAATTAATCATTTTTTCGTTAGTAACAATCTGCATTTTTTCTTTTTTGTTACCTTGATTAACTACAGCATCAAGTTCTCTAAATTTCTATCTAAAATCTTCTCTGTTAGCCATTTTAATAACTTTTTTAATATGGAATATTATCTATTCGCGGTTTTTAAATTATCTATAAAAATTAATGTTTTTAATTATTAAAAAATATATATAAACATACACTATTAATAAATAGTGTTTAATATCTTCGCTAATATTGAGTTTGAAATTAGCGTCTCTCAAATTAATTTTAAAGACTAATTCTTAGCTAGCTAAACAAAATATTATATTGTATTTTTTTCTTTTACTTTAAATTAAAATTAAAAAAATTTTTAAATTAAATAATAGAAAATTAATTTAAGGTAAATTAAAAATTCAAATTGTTTTTAATTAAAAGATATAGGGGTTGGGGTTGGGGTTGGGGTTGGGGTTGGGGTTGGGGTTGGGGTTGGGGTTGGGGTTGGGGGTTGGGGTTGGGGTTGGGGTTGGGGTTGGGGTTGGGGTTGGGGTTGGGGTTGGGGTTGGGGTTGGGGTTGGGGTTGGGGTTGGGGTTGGGGTTGGGGTTGGGGTTGGGGTTGGGGTTGGGGTTGGGGTTGGGGTTGGGGTTGGGGTTGGGGTTGGGGTTGGGGTTGGGGTTGGGGTTGGGGTTGGGGTTGGGGTTGG